TATAAGTATCATCTATCCACCTAGCTGACTCTGATTGAAACTTAGATAAATTTTAATTGCAAAAATAATAAAATTATATGTCATGGTAAACGTGCCAACAGATGCCCTTCATCGGGGACTTTCTTTAACAACAATGATCCTGTTATACCTCCATCTTCTTATCCTGCTCTTATTAATAGTATTAATTTGGAACCAATACCTACAACTTCAAGTTCCAATAATACCCTCAATACAGAAACAATCCATAAAACTATATCTTTTAGCTATTTTAACCTCCCTAAATAAAAATATTAAAAGCTTAGATAATTGGATTAAACTATTATTACTTATATATTTGAATCTACTTCTCCCAACATCAAAATCAAACTTAACACAAAATATCAAAAAAACATTAAATTCAAATAACACTAGTTATTTTAATATTCCGAAACAACCTCCACATTCTTTCAATAAGCTTTTGACAGATAAAAAAAGGCCAAGCTTATTGAAAATAAAATGCAAATGTAAATTTAGCTATCAACATAGCTTGTTCCAGTGATATTATGGCCCCCAATGATGATAAAACTCTCATGGCCATGCAATCTAAATATCCTCAAGATTTTTCACAAATCCTCCCACCATCTAATAATCCTATTCCTCTAACCGAGATGAAAATCTTGGATACAATCATGTCATTCAAAAAAGATTCTTCTGGAGGCATTGATAGCTTTAGAACCATTTATATTCAAGATATAATTAAACTAACTTTACCCCTATATCAAAATACCCTTACATAATTTACCATATTGCTCAATCATATCTTTCATAATAATATACCTAATTCCATTCAGCCCATCATTTTTGGAGCCAGCTTAATATCCTTAAATACAACAAATGAGGACATCAGACCTATTGCAATAGGGTCACTCTTCCGGAGAATAATTTCCAAAAAAATTTGCTCCCGTATAAAATCTAATCTACTACAACCAAACAAGCTTGGTTTTAATGTTCCAGGAGGATGTGGGGCTGCATCCCACTCGACATGTGTCATCCTCCATAATACACATGATCAATGCATTCTCAAAATCGACCTACATAATGCCTTCAATTTACTTAGGAGGAAATATTTTTTACCCTCTTTTTGTGAAATATTCCCAGATTATACAAGATACATCACTGCATGTTACAACCAACCCACCCTTTTAAAATTTAATGATTCTATCATTCTCTCTAAACAGGGCATCCAACAAGGAGACCCTTTAGGTTCGGCATTATTTTGTCAGGGCATTAAATTAATTATAAAAGATATCTCTTTATATTGTGATAAATATATGGTACCTGGACGATGGCATACTAGCGGACCCTTATAACGAAATCATAAAAATTCCATCTATTATAAATCACTTAGCCCCTATTACAGGACTGCCATTAAACCCTTATAAGTATGAATTTTATTCCCCTTTTGAATCGGACTGCCCGAAAATTTTATTTCAGTGGACAAAGCTAACTTTATCCATCTATGTTCACCCATCGGAGGGGAAAATGCTATATTTCATTTCAGAGATAAATTCCTAATTAAATTCAATAAAAAAATTTTTATTCATGCCTAAAGATTTTACATACCTTCCGTTCATCAACAATCTTCACTTCCCCCAAAATATTATTAGATCTCGAAGTCCATTTAAAAAATACTCTTGAATCTATTTTAAACATCAAATTCTCATCACTCTCCTGGATGCAAGCTGCCCTTTCACCACAACTAGGATGTATAGATATCCAATCCCCCATATCCTTGAGCATTTCACCCTTTCTATCCTCTGTTTCTAAATTTTGATTTACACTTGGAAACTTGGATACTATTGACCCACATCATAGAGTAGCATCTCTGGATCAAAAATGTCCCAAACTGCTCATATCCAAATTCTATAAGACAAAGAGACTGGAATTTGCTGATACAGCATTGCGTCGAATACTTACACTTCAAAGCTGTTCAAAAAAAATCTCCATCTCTTTTTCTCGACCTAAACCCAACCCCAATTATACATAATGACTACAATACGACTTGCTATTGGTCTTCGCTTAGGCTGCGAAATCGTAACGCCTACATCATGTGTCCTATGTGAAACTCACATTGATAGTCTTGGACACCACCCACTACACTGTCATTTCTCAAAAGGCAGACTTCCTAGACACTCTGCTATCAATTCAATCATCAATAGAACCCCGAAATCTATAAATATTCCCTCTTCTCGGAACCCAATGGCCTTAGCTCCGATAATCAAACCAGACCAGATGGAATGACGCTAGTCCCTTGGAACCAAGGCCCCTCGCTTGGCATACACATGCGTAGATCGTTTTGCCAAATCTTTTTCTGCCAACTCCATCACGAAAGCTGAGAATACAAAAACCAATAAATATTGCCACCTTAATAATGTTTCGTTCCTTCTGGTAGTCTCAGACACTGTGGATCATTTGGACCCCAAGCTCTAAAATTATTCAAAACAATAGGGCAAAGGTTACATTTATCCACAGGTGATTCAAAAGAAGGCTTCTACCTTCGACAAAGAATATTCATCGAAATCTGTCGTTCCAACTGCATATCCATACATGGGTCAAGTCCCGTCGACCATACCTAAATATATATTTTTTTAATTCCCAATTATATATTTTTATATTGATTATAGATATAGTTGTTAATATGAAATTATTATATTTTATCAATGAATTATAGTTTATTAAAATATGTTATTTAATGAGTATGAAATAGAATCTGAAGATCTAAGCAATTTGATATCAATGGTAGAGAGCATGAATAATAAATTGCCAGGTTCTATGAGCAACACAATGCTCATATATAACGACGCTAACTTTGAAAAAAAGGAATTTTTTATTCTTCTATTAGCAATAAATTTCAATATCGCAAACAAAATAAAGCTTAAATACAATGAAATTTTTTTATATTTAGATAGAATAAATTATATTTTTGAATATGGTCTTGGGATAAATTTTTGAAACTTATTATGAACTTGGGACGGGATGAGCTGGCAAATTTCTGAGTTTGCAGAACCTGATCATCTTGAAGGTCTCTGATAGTAATATGACACCATTTATAAATGTTCAATAAATGCTTTCTTCTATCATTATCGATTGTTGCGTTGATTGTCAATAATATAATATATTATATATACGTTATTGTTTGTTGTAATATAAAATAATTTATTAGCGTCATCTGATCCGAAATATTCGTAATTTCTATTGGCTTGATTCCATTTCAGTTGCAGGTAAATCAAATAAATTATACTGTAAATTGAAATAGATATTGTTAATTTAATTTAAAAAAGATTCAACATTAATTTACATCGTTAATTAATTATCTAAATAAATATGTATAAAATAAAATCAATGTTATAGTAATTTTTTGTTTCATATCTTCCTAACAAAATAACATTAATTTTTCTAGAAAATCTCTGGATATGCCTATAATAACCATATGAAGGTTATTTAAAACTCAAGCTGTTTTCATTTATTAGTAATCATAACAAACGATGACATAAAATATTATTAAATTTAATCAGGACTTCTAACTTTTATTTTAGCAGGTTACCTTGCATTCACAGTTAGCGCGAATTATATAAAATATGTTATATTTATGTATACTAGACGCGAATGCGGGGTAGGCTCCGAATCAGGACTAAATTAAAGGAAATTGTGCACTAAAGGATTAAAAAAATAATTAATCAATTTTCTTGAAATTTCAATAAGATGATTTTAAAAGGGTCTCTTAAAATTTGAAGATACGAGATTTTTTTTATAAAATAAGAAATTAGTATTAAAATAATTAACTTAAGTTAGGACAAAAAAAATGTCCACTATATCATTATTATTGGAAAAGTGAGGTTTTCTGACCTTTTGGTTGAAACCCGGTCTAAATATATTTAAAACTATATTTATTCTCTCATTGATCCATAGATTGTTGGTATAAGAATATTTTGCTAAAATAATAAGCAGATATCTACACTCTCTGCCCACCCCCTAAAGTTAACGATTTGCTTCCCCCCTCTAAAATTTTATTTCTAAATTTACCCCCCTTCCCCCTTTTCCCTTCTTATCAGCGTCTACATGAGCGGGAGGGGTAGGAACAGTTTGCATCCTATTTTTTTGAGGGGGTAAGCTGCTTTAATGGGGGTATGATAAATTTTTTGGGGGGTTATCGATTAAATTTTGAGATGAAATAGAACAAAATTTATAGCTGTAAAAATTAATACTTTAATTAAAGTATTATTATAATACAATTCATCGACCAAATCTATATATTGCAAACAATCATACACATTGTTTTCCAAATAAACTATCCTTTTAAATTACATTTAAAAGGTTTAGATATTTCAGCAAGCTCACAATGCCATAATAATTAATTCATTGTAAATAATGGAGGTTTTAATTGAATTTATTATCTAAAAAATAAATTATTTATATTCACAAAATATCAATAGTTGGTAGTAGAGATAGATTAATTTAAGTTATCCTTTATAAATTCTTTGAAAAGAGTATCAATAAATAAATAGGTGAAAATAATGGGGGGTAGGCAAAGGTTTTTGAAGGGGGTTTGCATCCAGTGAAAATCCTGTCATGTAGACGCTGTTTTCTTATACCAAATCAAAATTAGGAGAAATGGTAAATCCAAATAAAAAACCACCCATTTCTAATTTTACCCAAATGATGATAAAGTCGTCATAACTACCTACCGCCCTCCAATTTCAATCTTGCGTCCATGGAGTAGAGGTCCCTTTAAAATAAAACCATCTCAAATTATGAATTTAATCAAGTCGTTTAATTTTTTTTATATTATAATATCAACAGTCAACAATGAGGACGAAATGTACTTTTATTTATATATAATATATATATATATATATACTAATATTTAATATTATTATTATATAAATGTTTCGAAAAAATAAATAATTTCATTTTATATAAATAAATAAAATAATTAATTATATAAATCTAGAGTCCAATATGATTTATCAGTCAATGTGTACTTTTTTTTTCAACTTTAAATCATTATTTGGGCCTGTTTTTTTATATCTAAAAAAAAATAGATTTTTCTATATCTAAAAAAAATAAATAGATTTTTCTGGGAATAAATTCCGACATGTGTGAAAAGCTAAGTCTATAAATTCCAAAAAATTTCGCCAAGAACTTTTGAGCTTTAAAAAATTTTATGTTAAATTTTTCATAGATTCTTTATATAAATTATAATTCTGAGTCAAAAGCTAACGGCAAAATTGTCTGAAAGTTATAGGGTTGGAATTATTCTAAAGAATCAATTTCTTAAATTTAAAAAAAAACTCGCTCAAATAAAAAATAATATAATAATAACACATTGGAGTTAACATATATAACATTACAAAATTCAACTAAATCAATCAAACTATGTAAATAACCCTGCAATCACAGTTGCGTTTGCCGTGTTTTTGTATACTTCACCGCTAATTCACGCTAACTGTGAATACAGGGTAAGATTGTGTTAAGGATTAAAAATATATTATATTATTATTGTTTTTTAAAAAAAAACATGATTTTACATTACACGAGTAATTTTCGATTCGTATACAAATAATATAATTCATCACATTATTTATAAAGAAAGAAATTTGATTTTGATCAATATAAATTTTTAAAACTTTACGTGAGCTTAGCGATTTATTATAATTATAAATATGAGCAAATGGTTGCATATAAGATCATTTTCTTACATAGAAGGGTTAAAAAAAAATATTAGTGTTATATATATCGTTTTTAAAATTTGGTTCAACGGCGAAAATAGGTTAAAAATTAAGTTTTCCCTTTTTAAAAATAATAATACAAATTTAATCATTTTTGTTTTGATTATATACTTTGATCGTTGCAAAATTTTAATATATATTTATAAATAAAAATGATTTGATGTGAATTTATATGAAGTTTTGTAGAATGACAAAAAAAATATTAGATATAAGGGAATCCCGAATTTTGACTAGTAAAATTATTATAATAAACAACAATATAATGTAACATTCAAAAAAAAATGAGACGCGCGATGAATTAAATAACGGGATAGGATATTACGTGGAGCTAGGACGAATTCAAAAATTTGTCCATCACTTTAATGTTACCGATACATAAATTTGCCGATTTTGTAGCGCCTTAGATATTAGATTAAGTTATTAGGTTGTGTAACAATGTTTCATTTTATTTGGAAGTGACTAATTGAATAGCTGAATCGACGGGAGAGACTTCAAATATATCTATACTAGCTTCGGTTAATGCGTCGTTTAAACATAAGTCATTGCCGGGTTCTTTGATTCTGGGTTCCATGACAGCGCAGGAAATATTTACTGGAGACGAAATATATTATGTTTAAGAAAAAAATTGTTTTTAGAAAAAATCGCATTCATCAGAAGGTGGCTTTTTCCATTTTCTATATGTAACAAAAATAATATTTAAAATAGAGGGTACCTGGTTCGCTAACACTGTAAGTTGTAACGAGCTGACATTCGATGGCATCCCTCAACTCATCCATAATCTCCGTTTTGAGGTACTCCTCTTCTCGAGGACTATTCTCTATCGCCTTTTCAACGCCACCATTTAAACGAGTGCCGCTCTCGTTTGAGAGAACCATAAGCGAGGGCCGATTCTCTACGTGGTTCTCTTCTCGGGGCTTCTTACTTTGGTGATAGTTGAAAGGGTTTGTAATGTCGATATTTTGGCGTGTTTGGCTGTGGTTAAATTTTGGGGCAGGGCATAAGGGATACAGGGGTAGCGTTTCGTCCAGCTCGAGAGCTAAAATGGGTTCGATTGAATCCAGCCCTTCGTATACGGGGCAGTCCCTATTGTCCTGAAAACAATCGCCAAGAGGAGTAGCGCGTGTTGTTGCTTGAGTTATCACCGTAAGAGGAGATCGGGATAAGCACGAAGACGGAAGATGGGGAGGAGAGCGTGGTACAGAAGGACAAGATGATATGAGAGCTGGAGAGCGATCCTGGAGAATGGTAGTATGATGATGGGGCTGAAAGGTTTTAAAAGAAAACTGTGGACCCATCCAAAGGCGACGATGGGGTCCCGCATAAGTTCTGATCTCAATTTCCGGTAGCCAGGAAGCATAGCCAGCATCGCGAGGAGAGGGAGAAATTGGTAAATCGTTAATGATGGTAAGAATGGACCCTGATTCCGTATCAACATCGCCTCTCCCTACATCCCGAAGAGCTGTCAGGGATCGTGAAAATGACCAAGTGTGGACGCGTTTCAAATTAACGCTATTGAGACTAGACGAATTTAGAGATCGATTTTCAATCACGTATTCGTGCAATCGATCAACTGTACCATCCAAAACATAAAGGGAATAAGCTCCAGTGTAGGCATACGTGGGTCGAGATCGACGTGCGGAGACTGAAGAACGATAGTTATTTTCTGCTAAGTGATCAGAGCCTACAAGCTGGGTGGCCAAATAATCTTTACGATTCCTCAGATCGAGGTTCTGAAAATTGAGTAAGAGATAAGATGGGTCGTCGAAGGAGATGACACCATGTCTGGTATCATTATGGGGGTCAGAATGTAAGGCGTGGGAATTGAGGTGGAATGGGATGGCTCCGCTCTCGACAACTATATGGTCGCCTCGATCAGTGGCCCTCTGGGATAAAAGATGAGTGGTAGATGAAGAGGTATTGAAGGAAATAGGAGCAAAGAGCGATCGCACTAAATAACCGTAAGAAGCGGGAGAAGTGTTAGTGAAAGTCTGGCTAGCATGAGAGAGCAGGTTTGGAAGCGATATATCACGAAGCGGGGTGGTGAAGTCACTGATTGACAAGCGCTCATTAAAGTGGGGCTTAACGCGATGTAGCGCGAGTATGCGTAAGGGAGAGCCACCTGGTATTTGGGCTCCAGGCGTGCTTAGGTACATTTTAAAAAGACGAGTGTGAAGTGATATCGTTCCGGGAGAAGATTCGATTGCGCGCTTGTTAACGATGTTACGAGCCGTGACGAGTCGTTGATAAGAAACGAGTGCCGGATCTAAACCGGCTGATCTGTAATAATCGTTCTCCAAATCTTCCCCCATTTTTGAGCCTATGAAGTTAATATTGTTATAGCCTAAGGGCTCGTGTTCTCGGTAGCAATTCAAGGAGTAAAAATGGATGGTCCCTTTTTCAGATACGAGGCTAATCCAACGGGAATCAGCACTGAAATCGACGGAAGAAAGATAATGGCAAGGCGTGAGCCCTCGCTCTAACGTGTACATGTGAACAATCCTCGTCAAACCAGGTTTACACGATGCGTGTCGACCCAAGTAATATACCTGAAAATGCCGTCCGATGTGACCAGCCACAAAAAGAAGACATCCTTCCGGATCAAACTTCAGGTTAATAATGTTTTCACCGTCCTTAGAGTTATCCCCATACATATTATAATCGACCGGCCTTTTAATTTCGCCTGGGAAGAGAGAATCATCTATGTGAGTAACTCCGGGAAGAGCTATAAAGTGGGCCATCACAACGGACTCTATGGATTTACGCCAAGATGGGTGAGATGCTTTAGAGCGCAAAAAATTGGGATTGCGATGATTCGCGCCGAGTAAGCTAGATCCGAAATCCGATGAGTCAAGTAAGCGAAATTTATCATCAGGCTCATAACATCTCTGGGGGTTGCTCTTACAAGAAGCAGATCGGCATTCGTAAAAACGGTACCAATCATCTAAATCTTTCGTTTCGTTTTCACGTCGATTCGTAGAAAAGTAGAAATCCATGGACTTGGACTTCTCTAATACTTCTAAATCCACGACAGTTACGATATTTTTAAAACGCAATTCGGGCTTAAGAGGGTTAGCATGAAGTCCTCTATTCGCTGTGTTAAGTGTAGTAAACTGACTGCTTTGATAGAAGTTGTCTAAGATAGCTCGAGAATTATAAGCCAAGGAAGAAGCCCCATCTCCGAGGCTACACAGACCGCGTGAAACGGACTTGGCTGCTTTAAAAAGTGCGGAGGCGTAGTAGTTGGGTTTGTTGTTATCAGTCAATTGGCTGAAGCTGCGAGGTGATCGAGAGCGGGGAGGATCAATGTTACGAGACGCGTAACCAGATATGCAAGCAGGGTCTCCAGTTCGTTCGGCCACCAGGGCATGGCACCGCGAGCTCAGCCAGGGCTTGAAGGAGGAGTCAGAGAATGCTAGAAATTTGCCAGCTCCCAATGTAAATGGGTTGGAATTGAAGTCGTCATCCAAGAGTGTATTGTAGTCAAATGAATTAGTAAAAGGTGGCGTTTCGCGATTGCGGATCACAACAACTGGTTGTAAGGTCGCTGAATCAAATATGGCTAGACGATCGGCGAATGCAAATGCAATATAAGACTCATTCGAGTCGATATCGGAGATGGGTAAAGCAAATGTTAAGGTTCGCAAGAGGCGTCGCGTTGTCAATGATACGATTTCGCATTCACCGCCTTGAGGACGAGTGGTTGTATACAAGAGTGCCACAAGGGGTCTAGCCTCAGCAAAGACATCCTTTTTACCGCCTAGAGGGCATCGCGTATTGGCGATCCTCCTTGGTGGGTCTGAGAGAATTTTGAGGGCCATTACAGTTCGATGATCGCGAGAGGGGAGTTCCGAGTAGCTTGGTACAGAGGGGTTATGAGCTCGATAACTGCTAGAATCCATTATAAGAATCGGCGCATGGTCTTCAGATTTTGCGGTGGCGGTTGTTAAATCGATGCTATAAATCCCAAAATCTTGGTCGACCTCAGACCGACAAACATACAGGACACCGTGGTTATTTGTGGAAGCACAGCCACGCTGTAGGTTGTAATAGATAGGCTGAGATTTTTTAGAGTAACTATTGAGTATTTTAGGCCGCGAACTGGCCTGTTCGGTTCCTCCACTCAAAGGAATGGTCCATTCGCGAAACGCATCAGAAGACATTTTTATATATACTTTTCTACAGGAGATGAGATCAGATACTTGAGAAGGATGAAAGGAGTTTATATGTATTAATTAGGAGGCATCATTTTAACTTTCTTTTCAATTCTAAAGTTTGAACTTCGCTATGAAACTGCCATAGAAGGGGTTAAACGATATCTATAATCACCATTCAAGATTATCGCGTGGCATCTATATGAGAAGCCTATTTTTTTAGATAAGAGTTTTTATATTGCCATATCTCCCTCTCTATACATGAGCAAAACTTTTTAGCTAAATTTCATAAGGATAAAAAAATCATTAATTTTGATTAAAATAAAGCCGCCTATTTATTTTAGAATATAACTTAAATAACATATTTTAAATCTTTTTAAAGTTAAATTACATTAGAAACCCAATTTAACGTTTCCCAAGAAAACTTAAGTAAGTATTAAGCCAGATTCAAATTGAACGAAATAAAGACTGGCTGTAAATTTAATGCCATTTTTAGGCTTAACATATTTCGTATTCGTTTTGAGAAGCGAAATCATGGTCATTTAATTCAGTTTGAATAAAAAAGGCGCGAAAAGGTTATAATATAGAAATTTTTTAATTATATAAGATCCCGGTGTAAATCAGTTTTCTGTATTTTTTTTTGGGGGGGGGGGGCATAAGAAGAAGAGTAAATAGAAACTGTTTTTCTAAAAAATAGATTTTAAAGAAGTTGTTAAGCAATTAGACCTTAGACTCTCACGAAAATCAATAATAAAATAAAAAATATTTTTATTTATTTGTCTTATTAAATTTTTTTGATCTATTTTAATAGTGAATCAGGTCCAGCGATTAATAAACAGGACTTTCGATTCTATTCAATTCATATAATTTTTTACGTATATTTTATTATATATTACTTTTCTAGAGGAGTTATTCTTTTTTTTAGTTCATTTTTATTTTACAATAAGCATGAAAGCGAAAAGTTCTTCAAAAAAAAGCATTTTACTTATTTGTATTATTTATTAAATTATTCAGATCTGATTTGATATTGTAAACATAAATTATTCTTATATTTAATAAAATGATAAACAGGAATAGTATTTTTTTTAAAGACCGGTCTTGGCTTGTTTTATTTTAGGACCGTGGAGTGGTCCGGATGTATCCGACCAGTCCAAATACCGGACCATGATCCCTAGCCTGGTCAGCCCATTTTTTAAAATTTATTTTTAGGCCTGATCCTGGCCTGATCGGAATTATTATTTTTAAACCCAAGCCAAGCCCAAATATTTTTAAAAATTTTAAACCCTAATTTAGTCAATTTTTTAAAATTTTGGGTCCAAACCTGGCCCAGCTTTATGGCGATTTTCAGTGCTCTACTGCACCAAGCCTTAAAATAATTACCACTCCAAAAAAAATCGATTTTGCAGATCTCAACTAGATATGCCATAGACCTAGAGGCATGGTCCCAAATATGAATGGTATATTAGAGATCTGCAAAGTTAGGCTCGGGCCTAATTCTATTTAAAATAATCGTATTCGGGTCGGGCCTAATATTTTTAAAAATTTATCAATTTTATATTGAATTTTTTATGTAAAATAAAAATTTTTGATTTAATTTATTTAAACTAAATGCTATATAACAATGTCTTTTATTTTAATTAATTTTAAAAATTAATTTCTATATTTAAATAAATTTGGGCCTGGCCGGGTTGGCAAAACTTTTTTAAAAAAAATTTCGGGCTGGGCTTGAAAATTAGACCCAATGCAGATCACTATGGTATATCATATTAGAGTGAATTTTAAAAATATGGACTAAGCTTATAAATAAATTGCAAATCTGAGTTGGGCTAATGAAATACGAATCTAGTGTATGATAAATTTATTAAAAACATACATTTACTTTGAAGTCACAGCCAAAGTTATTTGCTTAATTGTATCAATGAAAAGTAATATTTTACTGTCCTGAGCCTGAAAGTTAGTGCCCGAGCTTGATCAGAGCCCAATTTTTTATGTTCCAGCCAGACTAAAAAAAGGAATTTCTTCCATACTTATGATTTTCCATTTGTATTTTCTTTGGTCACAAATTCCTGAATTCTAAACTTTTTCAGCTAAATTTGGATCCATTCACTAAACAATTTATAAATATTATCATTTCATTTTCAGGTCTCGGGTCAGGGCTGCCTCTTATAGCTCAACCCAAGCCAAATGAAAAAGCCCAGCTTAGACATCTTATGCAGAGTTCTAGCTGCAATAATGACATTCATATTTTATCGAGGGCTTTTAATGGCAGACTTAAATGTGTGTACACTTTTTAATGTGTTTAAATGAATGAATGAAAATTGTCAGTTTCATGTTAATATTAATGTCAACAAGATAGAAATAAAAATGTATGCCATGCCAAGTTTAACTAGCTGAAAACTCATAATGAATTATTTAGCATTTATTTGGCACATTTTCAATTTCCATTTGAATTCATAAAATATCCCCGAAATTGTTTAATTTTAGACCTAGGATGGGCCTGGTTTATATATAAATTTAAAAGGTCAAATTCTGACTGGGCCTAAAATCAAAAAATTTGGGCTGTGTTTGAAGAGGGGAAAACCTTATAACTTGGGTTGGGTCTTGGTCTAAAGATTTAATTTTAATGGTCTCTGATTATGCCTTGGAATATTTTTAATTGTCCACTTTATTTATTTTATTAAGTTACCTTATATACAATCACAAAATGGATAAGAGCAATTTAATTTTTTTTAATGAATTATAGAAATATTAATTTTAAAATAAAGGTGTGCCAAATTTATAATAAAACAATATTTAATTGTTACATCTTTAACTTAGCCTCAAATATTTTTAAATTCTAGTTGGCATTGGCAAGCAGGGTTCAATATTTAAATCACAAAATTTTAGAGACATATTTAATTATTAGGCCTTAAAATTTAATTATTAGACATTAGAGGCTCTTGTATACTTTGCCATTCATATATATATGTAATGATAAGTCCACTATTTATTTATTTTTTAAATTTAAAGTCATTTTTCTAAGTATACTTTTAATTATTATATTTATTTAAATTGACTAATAATAATATAGCAATGTATTTAATATACATGATAGGTTTATAGAATATATATCATAAAATAATCCTTAGAAAGAATAAGTTTATAAAATATATATATCTCAAAAAAATATTGAAATGCTATATTGGAAAAAATTTTGGGGCAGATAATATAAACAATTTTAATAATGTAAACTCATGTACAATATTTATTAACATTTTTTTAAATCAATTTATTTTAATAAAATGCTTACTCTTATTTTATTTAAATCCTTTTGTTGTCAAAACCTTCAAATTTTTTAATCTCATAAACAGATGATTTTAAAGCTTCAAATTAGACAAATTAATGAATATAATTATTAATTCAATTATTAAAACAATTAATTATTATTTAACTTACACAGAAAATATAGGTAGTATGCATCTATAAACACAATATTATTATCTTATCAAAATAATTTACGAGTTTATATATTTTTTTACCCTAAAATAAAGCTAAAAATAACAATTAAGTTTTAAAATATTCATAAAACTCATCAGTAGTGGCCACTAAAAAGGGATGCACGCGTAGGGATGAGAAGGATGTGGGTAAAACTGCTATTCTCTATGTTGAGACACTTGAAGCATTTTATTGTCCATGATGATTGAAGATCTTTTTAAAATTTTTTAATATTTTAAGATTTTACTCAAATCAGATTTTTAAAACTTAAAAATCGTGCTTAGTAATTTAAAATTGAGAGATTCCTAATCCCATGGATTCTTTGCCTCAATACGAAACATAAATATTTATATTATATCTTTTTAATTTGAATCAAAACTAGTTATATAATAATATAAATATATTATAAATGTTAGTATAATAATTATATATATTAATGAATATATATTCATAGACCTGTGCGCAGACGAAATATCGGCGGCCAGCGCAATTTAAAAAAAATCTAATCGACGGCCGGCGGTGCGCCGATTTTTAGCCGCCGTCAATAAAATCGGCGTAAATCGGCGCATATATAAATTTTTATAAGATATATTTTTTTGATTGCTTATAAAAAAACAAATAAATATACACTATTCTACAGATATCTCGGCATATTTTTTAATATTCATTTAATAGAAAATTTATTATATCCAAAATCGATTTCGTATTTTATATCTTGTATAAATTTTATTAAAATTTTTGGGTAATAATGATGATCTCCTTGAATTTAACGTCAATCCAGCGGTAGAAAAAACTCTTTAACTAGATGTGCTATTCGCTTATATGCAAAGAATTTTTTTGGCAAGCCTGGAAAGATTGGGAAGTTCACTCTTCTTTTCTCCAAAAATTAGAACGTCCATATATTGTGAATGTCGTTTTGAAAGAAAACTGTGGCATTTTGTTTTAAGTCACTTGAATCATAATTTATATTTGTTGAATGTTTATTTGCCAATTTTGTCAAATAACTTGAATTTAATAATTCATCTTCATCCACATTAGCTATATTTATTACCTGATTATAATCATTCTCTATAAGTTTAAGATGTTTTATTATAAATTCTGAAGCTGAGCAATCTTGCTCTATTAAATACTTTGACACAATTGTCAATTTTTAAAGTCTTGGATCTAAAAAAGAAGCCAATACCTAGATAATATTAAATAAAAAATAAAAAAATATACTTTTATAATATTACTTGCAGTACAAAACGGAAATTGTAACGCAAGTTTTTTTCATATTTTCCTTAAGTGAAATAATTTCAGAACTATCACTATCATTTACTATTAAATGTGTTTCAATTTCACTGCTAAAAAGTAACGCCAAGTTTAAAGTAAACCCTTTTAATACTGAAAGAAATTCGACAATTTCTTTAAATTTTGAAAGAAATGCTAGTAGTTTTTCTACCAGATCAGATTCATAATTTGATAATTTGAGAAAATGCTTCCAAATTCTTTTCAAAACATTATTAATTAAATTCTTATTTAATTCAGATATGCTTTCTAGTAGTGTTGTTAAACGGCTCGTTTTAAGCCGATTTTTTAAAACGGCTAACTCAATACTTCACTTAGAAAAATATTACGCAAGCCTCAAGATTTTGCTCATAAAAGAAACGGGGGTCAAGACATATATCATCAAAATTTCAAGGCTGAGGCTATATTTTTCTGGCTAAAATATTGAGTTAGTCATTTTTAAAAATCGGCTCAAAACGAGCCGTTTAACAACACTACTTTCTAGCATAATTAATAAACTATGCCAACGTGTTGGGATATTTCATTTTAGGTTTTATGCGTGGAATTATTATTATTATCATTGGAATTGCCAATTTGAAACCGGGTATCCGGGTATGGATCAATGCTGTCAAGATCTAACATGTCTGATGTTAAATCTATTGTACTTAGGCATTTTCTTTGATATTCCTCGAATTCAAATTCAACCTCTGCAGTTTTATATCTTAGAGCAGTAATAATTTCTCTAATTCTTTTGCAAAAAATTTCCAGACAATGGATTTTTTATTATCCAGAGTTAGGATACTAAAATTATTTAAGTAGATGCATCCATTTTAAAAATATGTAAAATTATGGTAATACTTTTGGAATTTTAGATTTTTGATTGATTGAATTCTATAATGACGTCAATATAATTAAGATTTTAAAATATTAGATAATAAAAATTCATCAAAATCTTAATTAACATTAAAAAATTACAAGAGTGATGTTGACCAATTATTAGAATCAAGGGGTATATTTTTGCGCCGGCATGATTTTCTTAATGGCGGCGTTTTCGGAGTAACCAAAAAAGGTCGGCGGCCGGCCACACAGATTCTATATTTATTTTCTTCTTTCTTATTTTCTTTCTTTCTTATTTTCTTTCTTTCTTATTTTCTTTCTTTCTTATTTTCTTTCTTTCTTATTTTCTTTCTCATATATATACCCTAAGCCCCTTGTGCCTGCCCTCCATAAAAAAATTGAAAACGAAATGTGCTCATACCCCCTCCCCCCACTCCTATATATAAAATCTTGTTTTTTATTTATTTTTTGGTAAATATTATTGATCACTTTAATAAATTTTATTATAGTACAATTTTAATATATATTAATTATATTTATAATAGTTGAATCTTTAGGGGAAAAAAAATAGATTTACTATAAATAATAATTTTTTAAAGGTTTCACAAAAAAAGGAGCTCGGAAATAAATAGGCCAAAATAAATATAATTAAGTATCTGATTCTTCACAAGATGTTCAGTTATAACTCATAAGCTATTAGAAACAAATTTGAGGGGCAGAAAAATTTTTAACTTTGGTCACAAGGCATTAATTAATCAGCTAATATTTTATTTTTATTAATGAATCATTATAAATCGCCTTTAGATTCTGGAATAATGGGGGAAAAAATTGGTTTATATTTAAACAACTACCCCAAAAATGAAAGGTTAATACCCTATTTATCAAAATACTGAATTTATTTTCCAAGTTCATAATTTCACTCATTCCTTTTCTTATTTTCTTTAATGCATAATACTTGGGCTCTTCTAAAAGTATAAGTCTGAATCGTATGAGTTTTATTTTACAATTTAATTTGAATTATTCAACATTTTTGTCCTATCTATTCTAAAAATTTGATAGATAACCCCTTAATATATTTATCCAACCTTCTTTAAATGTCTACTCTCTTTCCGCCTTTAAAAGGATTGAAAGCAAAATACATTCCCTCCCACCCCCTACCCTCTCATGGAGACGCTGGGTTTTTGCCATGAAGAGGTGGGAGAAGGGAAGGTAAACATTTTTCCAAAAAAATATCTAGACAAGGATATCAACTGGAAGCTAAACTCTTTAGCCTCACATTTTATAGATGATAAAATGAGGTTGTTATAACTAAATATTTAATTATTATGTTAATATTTAGCCATTTAACGAGATTATTTTATTATAAAAAATTCATTCTATATCAAAAATAAAGATTCATTGTTACGATAATTACTATATCAATCAAAATTATTAGTTTTATATAATATATAAATATATTTTTTAAAAAAAAATATTAAAAAATTTTACAATTTAAAAAGAAAAAAAATCTTGTTGAATAAAAAAAATATTTTTATAATCAATTAAATGCGCGTTTAAAATAAATTTATAAAATCTATCTAAATTGTAAGAATAAAAATGGTTTTTAATATTTCAAATGCATAATATTATAATGAGATTTAACCGGTTAGATTGGAATGTGTTTGGGGAAAAAAAATATATAATAATATATTTCATTTAATATCGAAAAAAAATATGAAAAACTCCTTTTTTAAAGTTTATGTAAGCGGAGAGCGCAGATCTAGAAATTCCTTCTATAGAAGAAAATCCAGATTATAATCATTCTTCATCTATACGATTATATAAAAAAAAATGCAAAATAGATTTTGAAGATAATTTGGAAAATTGAATATTTAGTTGGGAGTGTTTGATTTTTTTTTTTAAAAAAATTTGTAGTATAAAAAAAAAATGAGATAAGAATGATCAAATTATTATGAGATATGAAATGATTATAAAAATAGTATTATAAATTTAAATGTAATATTTTCAAGGTATATTAAATATCAGAAGCACCAAATTACAAAGAAATAGAGAGGGGAAAAAATCGACAATAGAACCCAAAGAAATATTAAGTATGTAGTAAATTTATTTTATTTTTTGTTAAATAAAAAGCAATATAAAAAAAGAGAAAAAGATGGGGAAAAAATAAAAAAAAAATATTATTTTATTATATTTTGATCCATTGTTCATATAATTTCGTAAATTTCATTTTTTTCTAGCCTCCCTTTTGAAATTTGATCTAAGTCTCTATTAGTCAAATTTTCTATTCTTGGTAACCTTGATTAGTGTAATAATCGGTCTAAAGGGGAGTTAAAAAAAGGTTAAATTTTTATAAATAAAAAAATGATACCTCAAGTTCTTAACCCAAGGTGAAACATTTTAAAAATATAAAGGGAGATATTAAACATTTATGCTACTAAATACTACGACGGTGCCCTGGTTCGTCTTACTTTTGAAACTTATTTCTTATTAGTTTAGCACAGGACGAACAGATTAACTAAGACAAACAAATATTTTGGCTTGGAAGGAGTCATAAAGTCATTTTATACTTAATTAAGTCTATAGGCTGTTTAGAGGAAGCTATACGGACGGCTAAACAGACTACTGTTTAGAAATAAGGCGAACCAGGATAAGGGCCTATTCAAAAATGTATAATATCATAGCGGGATATGAAAATTCATGGGGATAAATCTCTCAATTTTTATATACAGAAGTATCCAAAAAATCTGATTTGACCGGTAATGTATTCCAGGGGATATATAGAGTATGTACAATGAGATCATAGGATTCTTTAGAAATTACTCTCAATTTTTTATTATATTAATTGTTATATAGTTGTTGTTTTTTTAAATATAAATTTTAAAAAATTACAGAAATATCAAAAATTTGTGAGATTGAAAGTATGGGTTTACTCTATAAATGATATTATACATTTTCGGTCTATTAAAAAAAAATTTTTTTTAAATTAAAAAATTGGCTCTTAAGTAAATATTTCTAATAGGATTCCATAATTTTAAAAAAGAAAGAAAGAGAAGAATGAACGAAAAGAAAGAAAGAAAAGGAATGAAAGAAAAGAAAAGAAAGAAAGAAAGAAAGAAAGAAAGAGGTATACCTATAAAACAAAACAATATAAAACAGAGGTATAAATTTTTAATAATAGATGACATAGTTAACAAACACATCTAATTGAAATAGGTTATCTTTAAAAAATAACTTTTTGAAATTGGGGGAAGCGAGTTTTGTCTTCGATATTTTGTGGGTTAGTATAATTGATTAGATTGTTGTGAGAATCAGAAAATTCATTCGGTACTGTCATTCATTTTTTGCGCAATGATAAAATAAAAAAATTATAAATAGTATAAAATAATTTAAGAATCGTCATTTTATAGCAGATTTAAAAACTGAGAGATTTCGGAATAAATCCTTATTCGATAAAAATTTTCCAATACATAGTGGCTCAAAAAAGGTCTCGTCTTGAAATCTTAAGACTCTAAAGCATCTCGTTCGTTTTTTTATATATAAAATTTAATGTATTTTTTAGAAAATTAAGAGCCAAAATGCTAAAAATTTGACAAAAAATAGCTTAAAAACCCTCATTTAGTTTTTTTTTCTTTTCAAAAAAAAAGGACAGAATGGGTTTCTATAAAGTATTTCCATAATCATAAACTATTAAACGAATCCCGGCTTTCACCTAACCCATTATTTTAATGTCTCTTTCTTTATATATATATATCATCTTTTTTGACTGATTTGAAATTTTTTGAAATGTTTTTAAATATATATTCTTTATATGCATGCCTTTTATATATGTTAACCCTTTAGGTTCCCTCATAAAATTAATATGTTGCAACACGATATTTAGTAATTTTTTTATTGATTCTAGTATAATATAATATAAAACACACAAAAAAAGTTTTTTAAATTCAAAATGGCGGCTCTCCCTGGTGGTTTCAAATTCATATCATTGACACCTTATGGAAACTTTCGAAACAGTTTCTATTTTTATTTAGACATAGTGGTACGTTGCATGATTTGCACGACCACCTTGTTCTTCTGGGATTTAACTTTGTACTACAGAAGGTACACCTTCGTGAGGTTCCTGCCTGAGGTTGATGAGCTGAGTTTTTTAGTCTAATTTCTGGAAGGATATAAGCTTTATTATTTTTTATTTGCATTGATATATAATTATTATCATTATGAATATTATCATCCCTATTAACATTTTTACAGTATGCCAATTCGCTAGCAATTATTTGTCTTCGGAATTCTTTCGATGAGAGTTTATTATCTGTAAGAATATTGTATATTATGAATGAATTGATAATCGCCGCATCTATCAGCCAAAAAAATATTGGTAGTCACCATTTTCGCCACTTTCGCGAAATTTCATATAAAGACTTGAAATGGTCAACAGACCCCATATATTTATTATACATCTTTATCATTATTGGACATTTTACGTCAAATACTTCCCCTTTTTTATTTTTTCTCTTCACAGTATCCACTGATCTCGGATCAATATAATTGGGCATTATAAATACGTCACGATTATCTCGCCATTTAATTATACTTATATTATTTTTGTCACTTCTCCAGTCAAACTCACCTCTTTTTAATTTTGTTTCCATATTCTTTATGGGCAAGTATCTCCTATTATTGTTTAGTGTTCCGGTAGCATATATACCTTTCTTTTTTAAATCGATCAATTTCAATTTGATAAGGTGTATCCGATTCATAATCATCACTATCAATTTTGTAACGTGTATCCGATTCATAATCATCTTCGGAATCAGTGGATGAGTTGTCTAACGAAGAACCTTCAGATGGAATGTCCAGATAATCATCCATATATATAACAAGCTAAAATTATTGCGAAATGAGTTGGCAAAATTTATCAATTATTTAAAAAAATAAATATTAAAAATATTGTTGTTAAGTGGCAGTGGTTAGTTTAATATACCACATTAAAGAGATCAAAATAATATATAAATATTATTTATTTGAGCAAAAATAAATATTAGAAAGATAGATAAAATAGTGAGGAATATATACATTTAAAAATATTTGATAAATATACTTACTTATAATTAAAATTAGAATTTTAAGAAAAATCATCGTAAAAAACGTATTTTGAAATAAAGGCGCGAAAAAAAAAATTAAAAAATAACTCCTCCACAAACATATGAAAAAGAATATCTTTTAATATATATTCGTGGTGGTTTCATTTTATATGATTAACTCCTTTAGAAGATATAAAGGTTAAAAGGTGGTTTTATATTTGCACTACCGCGACCGAAAGGGTTAAGCGTTAATAGGTTTTTTTACCGGCAATCTGTTATTATTTCAACCTCGTTTGACATCGCATTTTAATTGTAAAAATTATGATTTTACAGGAAATGTATTCCAGAATTTTTAAAATATTTATCTATATGAATTGATGACAATTTTGCCTTTTAAATTTTTTAAAAAAATCGATTAATTAATATATTATATAAAGTACAAAAGTTCTAAGGCAAAATTTCCTTCATATCACAGAGTAGGTTTACTACATTTTCATCAAAATCACGTTCTTTTTAAATTTTTAAAAACGCGTTCAAAATATTTATTTAAAGTTTTAAAAAAAATATTCATTTGTAAGAAAAAAGTCGCTTGACTTATACATTTGAGTCATTAAAATAAAGGCTGGTTGTAAAACCCAAATTCGGAGTCAGAAATTTAAAATTGTTTGGTAGAGCATTTTGAGACCACTGACCAAACTGAGACCGATTTATTGGCAACCCATGGAACCCGGGGTAAATATGGACCTGTGAGTGTTTTCGGATTATTTCCTGTTACCAAAAAATTTCGGTTACCCGAATTCTGGTTTACAACATAGAAACATTAATTATTTTATCCGCAAATTATTCATTGTTTATATACCATATTTCCTATCTCGGACTGTACCTTCGGCTTCAGAATAACTCGCTACCTCCTCTGGATAAATACCTAAAATGAATAAAATATGATTTTAAAAAAATATATCTTTCTCCCACTTTAATCTCTAAAATAAAAAATAAAAATAAATTAGGTTGTTGGCTTAAAAGAAGTTTCGGGAATAGATTTTTCTATTCCGCCATTTAAATTTTTTTATATATTTATTTGGGTAGAGTTACTCTAGGCGTTACATTATTTTTTAAAAAAAATACTGCACAGTTAATATTAAATGTTTTTAGTAATTGTGCTTCTTTTATCTATCGGATTTCTACCTCCCTCATAATACTAAAAATATTATTCATACAAAACCTCCTTTCAGCGAATTCCATGTTCCGTCGCCAGAATTCAAAGCGGTCTGTGATAATCGTCCACTCCTTTGCCACGCCTTGCAAACATGACTAGCTTCCGCTGCTATTTTGGTCATTTGACTTATTTTTCTTTTACCCGTCTTAGGGACATCTCGATTATTGGAAGAATCTAGAACCACGTAGTCATCATCTTTCTCCTCCATTTTGTTACTATCTCCGGACTATTATTATAAAAAAAATTTTTAAATCGATTTTGATCTTCAGATATAAGAGAGAGAAAAAAATCCTAGCAATTTTACTCTTCCAGAGATCGTCTAATCTATTCACAAAAAGTGATAATTCAACTTATCTTCTTGGTATTCCATGATTAAGAAATGAAATAATAAATATAGAAAAAAAAATAAAGGAAACGAAATAAAAATATAGAAACGAAAAGAAATAAAAGAAAAGAATAAAATTTGTAATTGAATTATTAAAATTTTCGACTCCAATTTTTAGCAATTAGATGGATAATCGATATTTTAAAAGATAGTAAAACTATATAAATAATATGGAGTCAGAAGATATAAACCCAAAACAAAATTTTTTGCGTACAAAATTTAAATGAACCAAAATTTTTTTTTGAATTCATATAATTTATCAAAATATTTCTGATTTATGCGGTATTCTTTTTGGTTTAAGTTCTATCCTTAGTTAACAAAATTCCAAATATTCCCTCGGCACCTTATATTACACTGCTATAGTATGCGAGAAAAAAAAACGCGCGTTAAATATTACATTAGATTCACTCCTGGCCATTTGTATTCTTTGAAAATTGCTGATGCCTTCACTGCCGTGATCTTGAATATCGCTAGCTTGACGTTCTTTAATTAATATAAAATAAAATTATGTTTTAAAATATATAATTATATCTTAAATTTGTTTAATTAGCAAATTAACACATCCTAATCTAAAAGATACACAATTAAATGTAAATTTTACTATTCTTATCTTCTTTTCCTAAACATTTATTTAAAAAATATATTTATAAGTTTACATCCTAGGTCTATTCTAATAAAATGATAATACAAGTCGAATAGGGCAACTATTCTTATTGGATGCGTTTAAATGACTAGAATAACTAAATAATAAAATACATTATTCTTATACCTTATCAAATTATTAATATTTTTAAAAAATATTTTGTTAATCAAATTAATGCTTCTAAAAATTTTGAATAAAATCATAATTATAAATTTTAAATTTCTAATACAAAAAAAAATATATTTTAGAAAATTTACACCATGTTAAAATTTTTCTTAAAAAAATTAAATTATGATATTTTTATTTTGTTTTAATACTTATGGTTATGAACTGGTAAGATTAATTTCGTTAAAATTTGCATACATTTGTTATATCAATAAAGGTAAGAAATTAAATTTATTCCACTTTTAAAAGTCAATTTGCCTATGGAATGATATTATTAAAATAAATAACGATAAATAATTTTTATTGCTATATCTCTTTGAACTACTGATTGTTATAGTGAAAAGTTTTATTTTAATTTTTATCTAGTATATAAAATAAAATATAATTAATTTTTTCGAAAGTTTTTAAGAAAATAGGTATGGTATCATATGGAAATGGATACCACCTGCCTCAGCCATATCAGGAAGCGTAGTAATTTTTTAAAAAATGCTCCATCTTATTAAATATGTTTTAATCGTTCAAAATTAATAATTTCATAGCTTTTAAAAATATAAAATCTTATCATATATTTAATTCTAACATTGGTAAAATTTAAAAAATAATAAATGTCATATATGATTAACTCCCGTTTCAAATATAAATGTTGTATAACTTGTGCTAGTAAATCGGTACGGTTAAAAATATATTTCATTTTAATATTTTAGTAGTTTCCAAATGAAATAGCTCGCGTTATTAGTAGAAATATGATTTTAAAATTTTTCTAAAATGCATCGAAAACCTAATTATTCTAATGATTCAATTTAATTGAATCGAATAATGGCTTATTCGAATTTGAACGAATTCAATAATTTAGTATTCGTTGTGTTTATATTATTTTCACAAAATATTTAAAAGGTGTATAAAATATATTTTATTTTATATGGAAACACTATTATGCATAAAGAATCCATAATAACGACTTCATGCTTACCAAAATAAAATCTTTCTTCCGTGTCAGCCGCTCTATGTCCCATTTTCATCGGATCTAAATATATAATGAATGTTGTGCTACAATATTTAATAATTTATTTTAGAAACTATTAATAACTAACTACAAGAAATATACATATAGTTGATTTACAATTGAAACGTTTCTATGTCTCGTAAGATTCTTTATTTTAATATCAAGGACAGCGCTTAATGACCTTAAGAGCAAAGAGTGACCAAAATTATATTTTGTTTAATTGGGTTTCTTTAAAATAATAATAATATACCTTTATCCTCGGTGCGGTAATAGTTTTCTCTTGTATCTGCAATTTCACTACTGCTACCAACGTTGTTTTTATCGATTGAATAAGGCTCATTATTGAACGAGCCGGAAGAAACATCTGAGGCGGAATAAGATAACCTTTTAGCTACCTTCCCCTTGACCCCCGTGTAAGATAACGCGTTCGGAGTTGTCGCCGCGCTATTGAGATTATCGTTTTTGGCCTGGTAAAATTGCGCTGGTTTAATACCCACCCCTTTCTGGTAATAATACTTTTTACCGCTGCTTCGGTTAAAATTGTCGTTTCGTTTAAACCGATTGTTGTTATTGCTATTATTAATGCTCGGGTCATTGTTGTGGTTATTTGAAATTGATGGTTGTTTGGAAGGCACAGATGATAGTCCGTTATTAAGATTATTGGGATTGGGATTTAAAGAGGTGTTCGGCATTCTGGGCAGGATTCGGCTATGAACATCATAAAACCTGGGATCTCTATAATCCTCTTCATCTTGAATACGATTGCCATTGTTCGCTCCATCATAATGGTAATCCACCTCATCCTCCCTACCACCAACTACCATATTAGCGTTAGATTGTCCAGTTTGGTAACCTTTATTATAAGGGCCTCGATTATCGATTTCTACGTTAATATCCCGGCTATTGAGTTGACTGCTGCTACCATTTACATCCCCATTGCTCTCTCTTGCCTTCGTAAAATTTTTGTAATTATTGACGAAGTTGTTACCTTGGGTATTATTCGTGGTAGAATTAGAGAAGAAATTACTTTTGGCGAATAATTCATCCCCGTCTTTCTCTTTTCTATCTTGTTGGGGAGGCGAAAATTTTTTGGGAAACTTTTTATACTTTTTGGTCCATTCTTCCACGGTGGTGGTCGTTTCCTCTGTTATTTCGGTGGTTTTTTCGTTACTTTTTAAAATGTCATTGGGTGTCCGGTGAGAACTGATATGAGTATCTTGGCAGTAATCCGCTTCGGCGTAATCACAATTGTAGGCTTCCGCGGCGCGATATTTTTCGGTTGATGTTCTTTGATTTTCTGATAATCAAAAAATATTTTTTTTCACATTTCTTTTAACTTTAAAAAATGTTACATAAAAATCGAGCAAGGTTTGATCTTTGTAAAGATAATAATTTTGTAAAATTGAAGAAATTCTTTTTTAAAACTGAAATTGTTACAAGTACAAGATGCCTTCCATCAAATAATATTAAAACTATTTTAAAAAAAATATATATATACCAAAGTACCCCTCATCTCAAACAAATATAGAACGCCAAATATTTTAACAACGGGTTATGTTAAATAACAGGATCGTCGATAATCTCTAAATACCTCCTTAACAAATCATTACAATCCCTTTATATATAAAGTTTATTGTTGAACAATAAGCCAACCAATCTCACCTCCTATCCCACTTCCTTCAGCTGTTTTTTTTAAAATATTAATTATTTCAAAATTTAAATTTTTATATAAAGGTCTGTAGAAAGGAAACGAATTATTAAAAAAAGGCTTAAGAAAATATTAAGCCATTTAGTATAAATAAAAATTTTAAATTAATATTTGAATAATAATAATAGCCGCCCTTTTTTTAAAGTCACATAATGATCCTTTTTGTCTTTTGTGCAAGGTACTAAGTAGTGTTGTTAAACGGCTCGATTTGAGTTAGACAGAAGTAATAGCCTAACCTTGAATTCATAATGCGCGATTGCGATCGCGATTTAACAGCTGATTGATTTTTAAAATCTGTTTATGAGATCAATTTTTATTTATTAATATTAATTTTATCTTTAATTCAAATTTTAATAATAATCTAAGAGGTAATGATTTTTATAAAGAATAATTGATCTCATAAACAGATTTTAAAAATCAATCAGCTGTTAAATCGCGATCGCAATCGCGGCCACTATGAATTCAAGGTAAGCCTCGAGATCTCGCGAATAGATGTCCAAACCTTTGTTTCCATCTTTGAGCAAAATCTTCAGGCTTGCTTAATATATTTTCTGGATAAAATATTGATTTTAGCCGTTTTAAAAAGCCGGCTCAAAGCGAGCTATTTAATAATACTAGTTCCAAGTGACTCTTTTCCATTTTGAAGATCGATTTTTGCTAAAGGACAATTACGCAAAACGCTATATATATATTATTATTTTTTAAGAAATAAACGGGTTGAGTTGCTATTGTTGTTGTTCCGGTTTAAATGTCTATATGAAGGATCGAATTTGGAAAGGATGTCAGAACTTCTGAACCGAGTTTGTCGATCTAAGTTGCTGTAAAAGTTTGAGGGTGACACTGTTTTATATTTATTTTTTATTCAAAATAATTGTAAATATATTTCGAAAAATGTTTTTTTAAAAAAAACCTATCTACAAAAGCAAAGATTTGAAAAATTAATCTAAGAAAACCGCGTAAAATATTTTATAAAGGAAAGAAGAAATAAATTTTTTTTAAGAGATATGGCCTCAAAAAAGTTATATTTGTATATTATATATTATCCTTTTTCCTTATAATTTTATACTATTAGGATCTCTTTTTAACTCTATTAGAAGCTCTGGGCTTTGTCTTAATTTTTTAACCCTATTTTAAAATATAAGATAAAATCAACACGTTTGTAACTTTTAACATCGTTACATTGTTTTAATAGGCAGCTTAATAAATGAAAATAGAATGAGGCCCTGTACCATAAATATATCATAAAAATCTAATATTTTAGAATCAATTGCCTAATCATTTGATTAGAAAATTATAAACGAATATAACACATAGCAATTAGTGTTGTTATAAACGTCTCGTTTTGAGCCAGTCTAATTTTTTAAAACCTGTCAACTCATTTAGCCAGAAATGTTACCTCGAGATTTGGGCTAATGTATGTCAAGACATTTGTTTTATCTATGGGGGAAAATCTCCAGGCTGGCAATATATTTCTGAATAAAATAATTATTCAGCTCGTTCTCAAAAATAGGCTCAAATTGAACTGTTTAACAACACTAATAACAACATTAGATTAGATTTGCTATTGTTTAAATATAAATTTATTATTCTTGATTAATTTAGCATATATTTTTAATTCCACTCTTCTGAGATGAGAATTTGATTCTTTAAATGTTACGTACAATAAGTCATTTTAAAAAAAAATTGAAACATACTCGTGCGTTCGTCTAATATCTTCCTCTGGTTATCCATGGCATTGTTGATTATAGGTGACTATTTAAAAAAAAATTATATATTTATTAAACATACATTTTTAATAAAATATATATTATTTTTAAGTGCAAATAATTTCTTAAAAATTCCCTTTTGATAAGTTAATGAAATTTTTAAAATGAATCAAAGGACATCTAATTTTTATTCAAATAAACTCAAGTCAAGACTTGTTTAAATTTGATCTTTTCAAATTTAATATAAACCCATTATATATATATATATTGGAACCTTGGGAAAGCCCTTTAAAGAACCTTCATCTATGAGTTGAGTATCGCTACGATCACTTCTGTTATCTTCGTGTACCAAAGCAGATGCTTGCAATGGGTTATAATGCTGCTTATAAATGAGAAGGAAAACACCGTAATAGATTATATTATGAAGAAAACTATAATAAGAATAAATCAGGCTGGTATTTGTTAGTATATATTATATATTCCCCAACCACTGTTCTCCTAAATTGTGTAGGGTAGTTTGGTAAACGGCTAAACCAATATTTTAATTAAAAAATGTTATGCAAGCCAAGAGTTGTTAGATGTCCAAACCTGTCCGCCAACAATAAGCAAAATCTTCAGGCTTGCATAATAATTTTAGCTAAAATATTGGGGTGGCCGTTTTTTAAAAATTGAGCCGTTTAACAGCATCAGTGTAAGGATACTTAAAAATATTACAAATGGCTTATCATTATTTAATGGTAAACCAAACAGATTATAAAAGAAGAATACTTTTAAGGGGTAAGATTATTACTACTTTATATAAGTATAAGTTTGTTTAGATTCCAGAAAATCTTAGTTGATTATTTTAGACCTGTTCATATAGCCCTACAGAGCTTAAGATATTTGTTATGTGATTTTTATTACGAAAACACCCTTTTCTTTTATAATTTCTTTTAGGTTTTAAATACCTTTTGTGAAAATTTGTCTCGAAAAAGTTTTTAAAAAAATGTCTCAATTTTTTTTTATTCTTTACTTTATGATGACTATTTTCTGCTAAAGCAGGTCTAGGAATTCTATTGACAAAAGAATCGTCCCAGTGCACAGGTAGAAGGTCATCAAAATTGTCATCCTTCATTCTGGCAGAAATTTGGGATTTGATAGCTTCAGAGAGCCTAGCCCGGGGTATAACTACCGAAGGAATGATGTGGGATGAGGAATTGGTTGTCGTTCCTTTTTCCTAAAAATATCATAAATAATATACTTATGTAATGATTATTCATCAAAATAATATTCAATTTTTTAAATTAATTTTCGTCTTAAAATCTTACCCAACGACAATATGATCATAATAATTTATTAATATATCTTACGCTGGAAGATGATATGCCCATTGTATCCTTACCACTGCTATTGGTACCCCCTTCAAAAGCCCATTTGATGTTCTCGACCCTTCGGCGTTTGGCTTCCTTGTGGAAGCATATCCAAACGGGTAAGAAGCAGCACATTAAAGCTGCCAGTGCCAGAGCCAAACCGCCCAATATAGCTATGAGCCTACCACTGTGTTGGCATTGCCTACCAACCCACCATTTCTCACATTTACATATTCTTTCATTAAGAGTCGAGTCGACGCTGCATATCCCATGGTAGTTGCAATGTTCGTCAGAACAGTCGGATACTGTTTTGAATTATTAAAATATACCCAACATTTTTTATAAAACTGACATAATTAACTTATAAATTTCTATTTTATATTAATATATAGTCAGAAAAATTTTCTAATCATATATCATTAATATTTATATAAATATTTTATACCTATTAAATGAATATTATATAACAGAATCATGTTAATTTGTGACATAGTATTCGATTTTGAAATTTTTATAGTATTTAGGCCGCTTTATGGTTGATCTTATTTCTAAACAATGAGACTATTTATAGATTTATGTAAGTAAAGTCTCTTTGTGACTCTTTCCAAACCAAAATTACTTATTTATTATATACACTTAAAATAAACCAAAGGTATAATGTTTTAGTTCCAAATCTAGGCTAAACAGAAATAAGTTTCAAAAATAAGAAAAACCAGGACACGGCTTAAACCTTGTAAACTATATTATTTAAAAGTAATAAATTATCAATTTAAATAGGTAAAATATAAAATATTTTATATAATTTTACCCGGGGCATTACATATCCTCCCACTGTTAAATTGATCATCTAAAGCATTATCTATATAACCCTCTAGGCATTTGCATCCAAAACTTCCAATTGTGTTGTAACATGTGGCAAGCTGGTGGCAATCATTCAAGATTGGATCAGAACACTCATCAATATCTATTTTTTATATTTAAATGTTAAAGTAAATTTGAATTTTTATACTGTACTACATAGAGAGATATTACATATTGTATTCCTTTTAAGGAAAGTGACTTTCACTTCACGTAAACATTTATACTAAATATGAATAACTAGAGAGCGAACCTTTAATAAACGGTATAGGATCTACGTATAAATCTGTTCCCACTAAACGATTATCGTTAGCTTCCAGAGCTCCCATTATCTCATTACGTATATCGATGTCACTTCCGCCGTAGGACCAGTCAATATCTAAATCGTATACCAGGATGGGTACCACTAATTCTGCTGTATCTTCAAAATGTCTCTGGCCAAATCTTTTAGAATTTTCTATATTCACCAATGGTCCTCTGATGTACCAAGGATAAATTTTAGTGTTCTGGATCGTGTTCTCCATCTAGTTTTGCATTTAAAAGAAAGACATAACCTTAATTTAGAAATGAAATACGATTTATTTAGCGTTCCTCTTTACAGATAAAAACCTCCATCCATATATAGATCTAGAATAGGAATCAAATGGTCACTGTAATTTATTAAGAATATGCTCTTTGCATGATATGATGATAAACATAAAAAGAATATATTATGAGAATCTATCAAATGTCATCATTGTCTTTAAAAAAATATATTTGATATTAAATTTCAACAAAAATTAAAAAGATAATAATTACAGCTTTGTCTGCCACAGAGCTCAATCTCTTATAGTTAGCGGAACTTTTGTTTTGATAATCAGGCGTGTATGTGAGATAGGTCGTATTCTGTCTCAATACTCGAACCAATAAAGTATACTTCTTGGCTTCTAAAATATGATAGTTATATAAAATTTTATAGCATATGCGATTATATATATTTGAGCAAGTATAAGCTTTAACCTAATTAGAAGTTATGAGAGATTATATTATGTTATGTATTATAATACCTTAATATATAAGGTATAAGATAATCTATTTCATTTTATAATAATTTTGAAATCTACAACTTTTTGGCAAATATATTTTAAATAATTTAATTTCCTGAATTTAATGATATTGATATAATTAAATATCTTTAAAAAAAATTTTACGAAAGCAAGGCCCATTCCCTTTCCTGGAAAAACCAGGTTTGCAAACGCAAGTAGGATGTCCATCAACTATGCGACAAATTTTCTCATAAGAGCAACTCATGAGCCTACATAAATCTACTAAAGCTGATCCTTCTCCTTCTATTCTCTCGAAGATGTAAGATTTGTCTTTGTCCTCATTGTTTTTAATCCCAACTCCCTATTTTATAAAATATTTTATTATGCTATATCTTATATGACAAAAAAAATGTTAAAAATTCTTTTCTTGTCATTTTTTTAAATATCCGAAATTTACCCCCCAGTTTTCTGGGAAATGACTAGTCACATGCCTGACTGGAGGTTTTTCGATAACCAAATTTATTTTTTAAATCTTGATCAACTGTCCAGGTCTTGAACAGCGAATAACATTTCTCAAAACTTATTGATTATCATTAAAATATTACATGATTGACGTTAATGTCGAAAGGTTTAAAGGTATCATCTCTCAATCTATTTCCTGGAACATCAATATTCTCGATATTTTTGAAACGAGTGTAATTATCAACATCATTCTTATCCTCTATTTTGCGGGAGGGGTAACTTATTTCGAACCCTTGTTTGTTTTTGACGATCTTGGGATTTACTATCGGAGCTATGACTATAGTCCTAGATTCTGGGTTGTAGACCCTGATAGAAGGGGAAGTTATAGGTCTAGAGGTATGTGAGATACTACTAAGGCTAGATGGATATGTTACTACCGGTGGTCTCAATGAAACGAAATCGCTTAACTTCTTATCACTTTGGGTGCCAAAAGGCCTTTTAGTGAGAATTCCTTCGTATAGCAAATCTCCCCTGTTTTTGAAGAGTCCATTGGAGTCATGTGTTTTAGCGGTTATGGTATCAGGAGTAGAAAAGGAGGAAGATAGGAAAGACGATCGTAATTTTTTGACTGTGGTCCTTCTGGAAAATACGGAGGTGTGGCTTGTTACGTAAGAATTATCATTTTGAGTTGAATTGTTGATGATTTTGGTAGTTTTAAATAAGAGTTTAGAAACTCTTGTGTTAGCGCCTAATGGAGGATTGGTCAATTTTTTATCGGTCGTAGTAGATAAAGGACCAATTGAAAAACGTGTGTCTGTCGTTAAAGAATTTCCAAAAATATCATCTTGATCGATTTTGATTCCGGTGTCTTTAGATAAATTAAGCAAATGAGCAAATCGAGTTTAATAGTATAAATTGTAAGTACAATATGTAACCTATTCGTGTTTACGTACATTGTCTTAGTCAACATGTTTAATATCTTAAAATCGTTTGAAATTTATAAGATAATATGTATTCAATACAATGTTGAAATGTTTCCGGCAAAATAAGATTATTAAATTTAAAAATAGCTCTGAGTAAATTATTTAAAATTGGTAAATAAAACGATCATTTGTTAGAAAAGTGTTTTTTTTTCAAATCTGGGTAAATAAAATTTGCCGAAATTCCTGTAGTTTGGAATATCAATCAATTAGGCCAATTTGATCATTAACTTTTTAGTTTTTTTTTTTACTTTACAAGTACTGGCAATGTACGGATAAAACATGTATACTATATATATTTAATAAGACGGACATTAATATTCTTCCTGTTATAAAATCATAAAAGTCATTTACTTCCTAAATCATATTCGGATATTTTTATAGCATGACCCACGGTTCTTTTGATATCCTCGATGGAGTGCCTGTATTTAGAAGGGACATAAACAGTGACGTTGAGTAAAGCGTATCCAGTTAACTCGTGATCGCGATTGTCACTGGTAGTATTGATAACCCAATGGGCATCTGAACCGAAATACTTGCTGTTAAGTGTGGTGTTAAGGATAGTTCGTGATACCTGGAGGATAGGTAAGAAAATGATATTCATATTAGTTATTTTTACGAGGAATGGTTTGAGATATAATATAAAATATGGAGATATTATTCGAGATATTTCTGGCCTTTTTATTAAAGGAATCAATTGTGTTATAATTAGGAATAATAAAATAATTATGCACACTTACCGCTTTTTCGACTAAGGGTTTAAGTTTCCGGAAATTTTTTCTGACACCTCGCAAGAATGGTTCATTAAGATCAAGGTTCGGTACTCTTGAGACCCTCAAGAAAAAGTTGTAAGACCTTAACTGAGGAAGCTCAACGCCGACGGGGTTTACCTTGAAACCGGATTTGCCCAGTGAATAATTGCTCCTGATAATGTATTTGGCTAATGTAGACGAGATATTTTCGGCTTTTCCTGAATTAGAGATTAGTTTGTTTGTACATATATATCGCGATATTTATAATCATATAAATTTGACATTATGATTTCGGTGATAATTACACCGATAACCTAAGGCTTCAATATAATATAAATTATAACACATGATAGGACATATTTCTTCAGTTTCAACCTGATTCCAGAAGAGAAAAAAAATTTGTTCCCGCAAATCCAATCCAAAAATTTTTATAGATCCGAATTTTTTGGGTTCTAATTTTTTTCCCCCCTTCGTTAAAACCAAGGCCTACATCACACGTTTAGATGAGGTCAATAACATAGCATATTTTAATCAGCTGACATTTTATGCCCATATCGATATTTTATGTTATAAAAGATACATGCGTCTGCACCTCAATAAAGACTTAGATCTTTCCACTTAAAGAATGATATTCCAATCAAATTATATTTTTAATTTGCTTTTTAAATGCGTATAATCCAAGAATGAAAAGGAATTATAACCCAAAGATAATGTTATATAAGCTTTTATTTGATAACCGTATAAATAATTAAATTTCAATAAAAGATTCCGGGCCTTTATATCTTTTGATTAGCTAAAAAGGATAAAAATTCTGAAAATATTATAAAATAAGATTTTCCTCGTTATCGTGGTTAAAACGTATCCTTTAAAAAAATCGAATTCTTAGAAATATTCCTTGAAAACCCTTGATTATTTTGTTTCTTATCGTTATTACCTGATATATATATATAGACTAATTCTTCATGCAAAAAAAAAATTGATCATTTAAAATAGGCATGACATGTTAATTTGCCCTATTTATACATATCGCAATAGGAAAATAGCAGGTCCTTTAACCAATTTTTTTTAAATAATATATTTGAATGTTCCATTTAGCTCTTCTATTAAAATGATCATAAAATGTGGCCAAGCTTTCTAATTAAACAATTATTTTTTGAAATAACTGTCTTGATAATTAGTCATATGTGTTATATTATAAATCTTAGAATTATAGCTCCTCATTATAAAATTATAGAAAAATTTAATAAAGTGAATATCATCTTGCAAATGATATACACGTAAAAATTTGAAGGATACCTTACTTAGTTTAAAATGATATATATAATAAGTGAATCTTCTTTTGCCTAAGTGGCCATTTATTAATATAAACTACAAATATTGTAATATCGATTTTTTATTAAAACTAACCAGGGTATATATCATCCACGCTGATGATAAACTTGAACACCGAACTCTCATCCCATTCGTCCTTAAAGTTTTTAGCGTCGTATATCTTGACCAGTTTGATGTCTCGCAAGAAATGCTTGAAGGTAGTGGAAGTCCCATTTAGTGGGACCTCCAGGGAGGTTTTTAAACCCATTTCAGAATGGTTGGCTATAAGTTTGAATTGCCATAAGTCAGGATCGCCATAGGCCCCGATGTACCTCAAGGGTCTGTCGTAACGGGATAGTATGTGTAGGTACACTTCGTAGAGTTTCAATTCTGTTTTTTTTTGTATTGTTTTATGTGTGTTTTTATCATTTGTACAAAGAGTTCGTTTATACTATATACTTATTGAAGATCTATAACTCAGTTGTATAGAACATAAGTCTAAATCTAGCCTTTCAATTTAAGAATAAGGTCGTACTGGATCATATTATGTTATTATTATTTAAAAATATTGGAATTAGTATATTTCCCTAAAATAATATTTTTGAAAAATTTTGGTTATTTTTTTATTTTTTGGTTTTATTATTTAAAAGAATATCTGAAATATCGATAAATTTATAAATAAATTGAATATAAACCTGTTTTTTCCAGAGAAGAATGCTTAACGAATAGATCGGTATCTCCTAGAAAACCTTTATTCGCCATGATGGCAGCCGACAATGTTTTCTTGATATCTCCTATGTCGGGAATTGACCCCGGGTACTTATTTTCGTCATTGTCACTGAAATATAACGTAAAATTGAATACCGTTTTAACATTTTGATCATTCGATAGGGAAGTTTTGTCTTGGTAAGTGTTTTTGGTAGAGGGATCCACGTAAATTTGATACACATTATTTAATTTTGAACCCAAGAAAAAGGGGTATTGTTTGGTTATTTCGACTATCTCGTTGAGCTTTTTTTTCGTAATGTTTACAAAAATAAATTGTAAAATCAAAATAAGGAACAAACGGGTAAACATATCATTACATATAAATAGATAAAATAGCGCAAGGACAAGTTTGGAATGATGATTTACCATTAAAATGGTATATATCAACAGATAAAATTAATTCAATAATTTGTATATATCGGGGAACGGACTAGATTTTGTCAAAATATACTAGTAAAATAATTGAGATAAAAAATTATTTACTCCCAATTGGGCTTTTTTGTACAATTCTTTGACGATGAAGGAAGATCTGTTAAAGAGAGGCGATTCAAATTCAAACGGTTCCTTGTTTGGTTTTAATACTTCGACGTATAAGACTCTTTCTTTGAATTCTTACGATATACAATAAATGTAAGAAATATTTAATCATATTAACATTACATCCTTTTAAATATAATTCTTTATAAATTATTAGCTTATTTTATATAAAATTTAATTTAAATTTAAATTTAAATTTGAATTTGAATCGTATTTCACAAATGATTTATCAGGATATAATTTTAAGATATTCAGTATTCACCTTTAGATTTAAAAAAAAAATCAAAGAAATCTTGAATGAAAAATAAATTTAATTCCTATGACTCTTCTACAATTGCTATACATATAAATTTGCTTGCAGCTTTTAAAATCAAAGTTTGAAAAATATCTTTTAAAAAGAAATATTTTGAGGGAAAGCCTACGAAGATTATCCTTGGGGAAGAAAGAAATGCTAAATATTTTCCTAAGGAAAAAATCTTTTAAGTAATTTTATAATTTTCATGGATAAAATACTTTTTTTCAAGATTAAATTCACCAATTTTTATTAATTTTGTTCAAATGATTTTTTTTTTCGAAGATTTTTTTTTCAAACCCTCCTTAAATAATTGAAATTATTATACTATAAATAAATAGTATATATTTAATTGCCTAACTTCATTGTGAGATATATTATATAACTTCTATTTTTGAGAAGAAAAAAAATACATTTATTAGGTTAATATTATGTAGAATTTAATAATTTTGCGCGGATCATATACTTATGCATAGAGATGATGGGTAAATCCTAATGTAATTGGAGGCGCAATGACATCTGGGGATGCCACGCTTAGCGACGCATATTTCGTTATCTTGGCATCCTACAAATAAAAATGTTTTTTAATTTTAAGAGAAAACAGGCTGTGGTATGTATGGCGAGTTAATCTAATAAAATATATAACAAATTTGGGAGTGTAAGCGTATTTCGCTAAGAATAAAAGTGGAAACGCTCAGAATTTGTTATCCCGTTGATTGGCTCTAAATTAGAAATTCCTAGGGTTAAAGATACACAATTTCACGTATAGTTTTTCTAAAACGATTATGCTAAGTTAAAATCATTGATTTGCTCAAAAAAAATTTTCGTTCAATTCCTCAGAAAGATATACTAAGTCGCTCAGAAATGTTTACTAGTTTAAATATATTTTTTATTTTTTAAGAGCATATAAAATTTAAGTGTTTATTTTTTTTATTATTATTTATACCTTACATGAGTAGTATAAAATAAATCAACACTCTTTGGTGTCTAAATTATGGAGGGGGGGGGTGTTAAATTTTTTTAAAAATATCTCGATAAGGGTATTAAATGAACGTTAAAGATTTTTTGAAAGCTATTATTACTCTAAGATATCTTTTAATTGCTGTTATTTATTATTCTTAATTTTGATATCTAGGTTATGCGGAGTGGGGTTATGACAACTTTTTTTTAAGCATGTCTTCTGATTACTCTAGGCCTTCAGAGCAGATCGGTATGAGGATTGGGTCAGGGACTTATATACACCTCCTAAGGATCTTTGGCTTTGTGTTTTTTTTTCTCTAATAATTTTGAATTATAATCATAATTTAAAATGATTATTATTTTGTTTATTTTTTGTTTCAAATTATCGTTTATAGTAATATATTATTGAGATCTGCAAGATCTGAATCGCTGGCTGGGTCTAAAAAATTTTAAAAAAAAAATTATAACTGGCAGTTTACGGGCAATAAATTCTGCATAAAAAATTTGCGGACCCGAAAATTTATAATTTATACATAAAATATCGGACACGTAAAACTTTTAGGAGTTTGGGCCTGACAAAAAAAATTGGGGCCGGGCAGGGCACCTCGTGCAAAAATTCTCAACAGGATGTCGAGGACCTGACATTTATTGATTAGTTTAAAATGATATTTAACAGAACAGGCAAATTTCCAAGGGGAGGGACCACTCCTCTATGAATTCATATAATTTAAAAGAAAGTTTTTCAAGGGGACTCATAATATTTCGAATCAATTTTATCCCAATTTGATTTAAATAATCACAATATGGATAAAAACAAAAAAAAAATCTGTCTTTATTGAAATCCATAGTATAATATACTGAGATAAAATATTTCTCAACATATTGGATGATTAGTTCTGATCATTTCATTTTTTTTTAATCACAGCGATATCGGTTTTATATTTCGTGAAAATGATTACCTTTTCTGAGCAATTCATGATTTTTTTTAAGGCATTAAGAAATAAATCTGAGCGTTAAATATTTTTTTTATTGTATACCTGAATTGGATTTAATATTGCACTCTTCATTTTTTATGGTACTGGAGGTGTCGATTTCGTAAGTAAATTTATGGGCACTTTGAGTCGTTAATTTGGGCGATCTGTTTATTTCTATTAAACAAGATAAAATTATTTAAAGTGTATAATTTAAATGGATTTTTACATTTTAAAAAAGAAAATAAATACATGTAATTTACTAAAGAATAAAATCGAAATTATTAAATGTTTCATTGGTATAGTATAATACAATGTATTAGAAGCTGTTCTAGAAAGTGTTGTTAAAAGGTTCGATTTGGGTAGATTTTATCAAAACAATCCGATTAAGATTTTAACCAAAATAATATTGTGCAAGTCTCAAGATTTGGCTAGTAGAAGCGCAAACCTTTCTGTCATTTATGAGCAAAATCACTCTCTAGGCTACACAATATTATTTTGGCTAATCTGCCGTTTTTTAAAAATCGGACTTTTTAACAACACTAGCTACAGATCGTTATGTTTTAAACTTTGCGGGGGGAGGGGGGGGACTATATTTATTAATATCAGCTGTTAAAAAAAATTAAATGAAATATGATGAAGATTCAAAAATCCTAAAGGTGTAAAAGGCTGCGAAAAAAAGACTAGTCAGGACTCAGGAGGCCTCTTACAGATATTATTAATTTAGTTTATTTTTTTTCAAAAAATGCATGTTAGTTATCAAAATTATTGAGGTCTAAACCTATGCAGGAAGCAGGGTTAGAAGGATCGAAAATGTATCCATCCACGCAAACGCATTCAACTTTGGCTTCATGTCTTTTGACGCACATTTTACCTTTGGGACACCCCGAAGCGCTACTCAAATCATCTATGCATCTACTTATATTATTTAAATCATTAGAATTCCTGTCCCTATGATTTTTAGCTTCTTTAAAGGTGACGTTGGCCAGATGGGTCAATCTGTATGTTATAGTCTTCACCAATTTATCAAAGATTTGGATTTTATTATTTTCAAAGATGGGATCTACTAGCGGAGGCGTATCTGGAGTAGTGCTATTGCCCTCGAATACGTAGGAATTATCGACGTAATTATTACTGCGTGGTGTATTAACCCGAACATTATTATCCTTGAATGAAGAGCTGGAAAAGATGGTAGGACTCGACCTTTGGGCCGACTTAGTTTCATCACTATTTTTAACGTTTTCCCTGATGTTGTCATCATTGGTCGTCGAATAAAAGTTGACATCCGTAGAATCAATGGAATTCGTCGGATTGTTGTAATACCGATTACTAGTTGATATTAAATTATTATCTTCCTGGTCATTTATAGCCGAGTTAGTAAGGGTCTCCATGATATTTAAAGGAGTATTGGCAAAATTAGGGAGAGAGTATGAAACGCGAGCTTTATAAGTAAGGCGAGGTCGTATATGAACTGTCGTGAGATTGAAAGGTATTCTATATAGAGATTGGGTGCCAAAATTATGATTGGACGTGACAAGGTTCAAATTTTCACGATGTCTATCGGAAATCAAATTCGATGTGGTGGTCAGAGCCGCTGGATCTTGATAATCAGCGAAGACATACGAATTAGTTTGAAACTCTTTTTGAAATGCTTGTTGGTAGGAATTTCTTTGCAAAGTACTAGCTAGAGTATGGTTAGTAATTATTCCATTTGTCTTAAAATGTCCCCTATTGTTTATTAAGTCTTGATCGTGTAGCTTAGATGTCGTACTATAACGTGTAGAAGTTGCTCTAGGCCTAAAGCTAAGATATATGTTAGAGGAAGTGATCCTCGATTCCATACCTAAGAACATGCAAAGAAAATCATTATATGTATTAAAAAATATCGATATTATACTGAATATCGGCTCAGAACAATTTAGAGCAAGAATAAATTAATAACTACACTAGCGCTAGGGCAAATAACTTTAAATTGCAATTTAATAATTGAATCAGTTTTAGATGAGATCCAAAATTAGTTAGTATATGTAAATAATCTAATTCACCCGAAAACTTGTAATTAAGTAATATTAATTATGTAAATAATACATTATTATAAGGGCTTTTGTTTTACTTATACAATCATTTAAATCATTTTTGATGCTTTTTTGAACACATTCGCAGTAGTATTCATTGATGAGCACAGAGTACACACAACGCGCGTTTATGCCACATCCATTGTAAGTATCGTTCCTTTCTTGGCACAAGGAAGAAACGGGCTTAGTAACTACATCGGTATCGTATTTAGCAGTTATCAAGGATATCGATTTAGAAGATAAAGATGGGAAAGAAGCTGAGGGTTTTACAGTTGTTATTAACGGTGTAGTCAAATAGTCTCTGTAATAGTTATGCTTGGAATAACTAGAGATGTTTTTATGCCTCTTGTCTTAAGTAGAAGTTGTAAAACATAATATAATGTGTATATTTATATTTATATTATTTTATTTTCATTACAAACCTGTTATAATTTATATTTTTTAAATAAAAGTGTTAAATAAACATTTATTATATATATTACCTATACAATTCCCATCTAGTTTAATATAACCGGGAAAACATTTGCAAACCGCGTAACGCGATGATGTATTTATTTCGCAATATTGATTTGTGCCACAACCGGTTAGCGTTTCCCTTTCGCGACAAATTAGGCTGGCTTCGGTTCTAGTTCGTTGCACATTTCTTGTCTTAGAATCAAATGTTGGCGTCGAAGCTGTTGATTATAAACAAGATGTTGAAAAGAATAAGAAAAAAATAATTTAAAAGATTTAAATTTTCTAAGAAAGTTGTAAAAAAAATATTCTTGGAATAATAAATTATCACAGTTCGTTTTCTTATTCTTTATCAAAATCATGAATATAAGCAATTTTCTTGGTTAAATTGCCGTGTGTTTTTTTATAGTTAAGTGATTAATTCTAAAAACTTCTATCTTCTGGTCGCGAAACAGATATGGAAGTTAATGAGTTGGGGGTAGGAGTAACATCTAAAGCGTGTTCATCGACTCCAATAGTGGATTGAATGTCGACACTGGGCTGTATGTAAAGGCCAGAACGGCCTATCTCATTGTGGTTATTTTCTATGACTTCAATTATTTCCCGTTTCAGGGAACGCTGGCAATCCTTATCACATTTCTCCGAACCTTTAATCGATGTCTTAAATCCTACCATGATGCCCACCGTATCCCTCTTTTCATCGATAAATTCTTTGACATCTTGTTCTTCTTCGTTATTAGACAATTGTGAGTCCAAATGGTACCGTCCTATAGTGGCAGGAGGATTGTGATTTATCATGGGGGCTAATCTTATCATTTCGACATCTTTAATCATATGGGCCATCTTGGTGTAACTCAGAACATTCTTAATCTAATTATTTTATCATTTTTTTAGATATTATAAAATATTTTAATATATAATTTTATAACTTATCAAAATAAAGGTAAATTATTATTATGGAATGGAAAAGAAGTTTTTCAACATTTTTTGTGTTATAATTTGTTGTAAATTTCTTCTAATTTATTTTAATTAATTATACTCGATTTACATTGTTGAAAAAAAAAACTTCATCACTTAAAGATATAAAAGGCAAAAAGATGAATTTGAAATGTAAATCTGGAGAATATTTTTTGTTAAATACCCCTTTCAAAAAACGATCTTTAAAATCCTGATATTCAGTCGAGTTTTTATCCTTGTAAACGGCCATAAACTTCAAAATTTGCCCGTCCTTATTCACGACACCAATGTTCATCTCTATAGGCTTCCTGAATCTTAATAACTTCAGCGATATGTTCTCGCCAAGTTTGATAGGAATACTTTCGAAACCACTGTAAATCGTTGAATACAAATCTCCTTTTGAACCTGATAACGTTGATAATTTTTTTTTTAAAAATTACACATTTAAATGGGAGAAATGGGCAAAGAAATGGGGAAAAAAATTCTCTGGATTGAAAATAGGCATTTTTTTTTAAAGATTAAAAATTATAAAACAATATCAAGTGCTAACCTGTATGTTTTTTTTTAAAAATAATTATATAAATTCATGAAATTTCAGAAGCAAAAATAGGCATATATTTCCTTTTACTGGTTCCCCTGTTTTTATAAAATTTTGCTATATGCTAAAGGTAAATTTTTATAGATCGATAATATTTTATATAAATGTGCAGCCTTTATCTCTATTCTTAGTCTTCAAAATAATTTATTTCTCTATACAATAGTGCTTAATAAAGATTGATAAAAAACAGTTTATAAATGATTCTATATTCGTGTAAAGAAGTGAGCAAAGGAAGGGGCACTTAGAATTTTATATTAAAGGAAAAAATACAATATAAATAAAAACCTGGATAATCTGGTTTGAGGTAAATATCTAAAGCGAAGGTGACGTTGCCTTGCTTATTGTACTTGATTTGTTTAATATCGCCATCGACAAAGTACGACGATAAAGGTGTGCGGGAGAGGACATCTTTGACTCCCTTCTTGAGCAGTTTCGTAAATTCTTCATGACTTAGCCTATTGAACTCTCGAATACTGTGATCCTGACCAATCTCCTCGAAATTAAACTCTAGCTCGTATTCAACTATATATGTATATATATATATATAAATTTATTTTCGAAGAAAAAAGATGTAACATATTAATTATAAAAAAATATAATTCCTCGGCTGAGTGTTATAATGTTCTATATCCACTTAATTTTTTTAGAAAACTTTAAATTAATTGAATTACAAATTCCGGGTTTGAGACTTGTCTAGAATTAATCTTGAGAAAGAAAGTATAGATTATTTAATAGAGTTTTGAATGTATAACTTTAGGCAAGTGTATGGAATATCTCATAGTATTTTCTTAATTCAAATACAACAATTATTTTCGGATCTATGATTATTTTGACATATCGTGCTGACTAGCCCTGTCTGTCACTTAAATTAAAAAAAAATTGAATGTGCTAATGAGTTTCTAAAAAAAACGTTTTAAATGAGTCAAGAGATAAAGGGAACAAATTTTAAGATTTTTCTTCATATTTTTAAAACTAATTTCACTTGTTAAAATTTTAAAAATTTTATTTCTCTAGGTATACATTGTTATACTATAATAAGAGAAGTTATTTGGGCTACAATAACATTAGAATCATAAATAAACCAAATATTCTGGTAAAATCGTATACATATACGTTATGTAATCATTTACCCTTGCTGGGTGCTGGATTAACATACAAGTTCGTTCCAATTATGTTGTAGTTAAAATCGATAATTTTTTGAGACAAAATGTCAAAGATATTTTCTTGCGTTCCTTTGTACTCGTTATTAAAGGTTAGGGTGAAATTGACTACTATTCCTTTGACCGGAGTAGGGAGCCCAATTATTTCTGGATCCAATATGGAATTCACTTTTGAGGACAAGAAATATTGAGCTAATTCGGATGCCTTGATAACGTTTTCTAACTGTTAAAATATTAAAGTAAATAGTAAATATTTGGTGTAAAGTCGTCCCTTTTTTTATCAATTTAAATATTAATATAATTTTTTATTGATAATTAGTTTTTGATCTAAAAATTATATACCTTATCTAAAAAAATATATATAATAAAATAATGGAAAACTATTTTATTTAAAAAAAACAACTATTTATGTTAAGTCGGTGGGGCTCAATAACCCATAGATTGTTTGTTGGACACGCAAATTAATAAATATTTCTTTCTTTCTTTCTTTTTTTCTTTTTTTTCTTTCTTTCTTTCTTTCTTTCTTTCTTTCTTTCTTTCTTTCTTTCTTTCTTTCTTTCTTTCTTTCTTTCTTTCTTTCTTTCTTTCTTTCTTTCTTTCTTTCTTTCTTTCTTTCATCTCCTTCTTTCATCTTTATTTCTTTTTAAAATATCGTAAATTTATTTATTTATTATTGTATAAATAATCGATATATATATATTTTAGCTGTATATACCCCTATCTTTGAATATTCCTCGACGTAGACATACAAAGAAGAATCTTGTTCCACAAAATCTGGATAATATATGAGGGCGTCCTCATTGCGTCTCAATATGTTTAGCAATACCAAGTATTCTTGCCTTCGGCTATGATCCCTTTCTTCTCTCTCTATCAGGGTCGGGTTGGATCTTTGAATGGGTCTCGATAAAAAAGGTTGTTCTTCAGAAATAGTGTTACCTGCGTTAATAAGGGAATTGTCGGAAGGGAGTTTGGAAGCGAATATGTTCCTGGTGCCGGAATAGGGATCATTGGTTACGAAATAATGGAAAAGGGACTTTGTCCTAGAGCTATTCAGAGAATTAAAAGGGGTTAAATACCTTGAGCGCCCGTCTTTAGGTACCACCTTTTTGAGGTAATCCAGAGTAGGATCATCAACCTCAATTTTGAGTTTGTTTTCTATTGAAAAAGAAACATTGCCACCACCCTCGGGATTATTATCCTCCTGGTAAAGATTGTAAACTGTTCCTTCAGCATTTATAGTTGCTGGGGTCGCTGTATAAGGGTAAGGGAATATATAACTGTCGAGATTTTGAATGTTCCTATAATACATAGGGGTTCTGGAGGTTAACGCTGCTCGAAAATCATCATTCGATGCACCATTGGAAACCAAGTTACGATACAGGATTTGGTAGAGAGTCTTTAAGGAAGTTTCCGTTTTCTCCAATTCGTCCTCGTTCCCAGCCGCTACATAATTAGGCCGGGATTGCCAGGTATTAGTTATGGCAGGTCTGTTGTTTGTGAAATTGTAATAATATGTCGAAATACCGTCTTGATTATCCCCTATCACATTGTAAACTGTCAAATGAAAAGTGACGTAAGTTTTTCCCGAATCAGTATCTTGGTAGGGCGTTATCTTTTCTATATCTAGGTTGCTGTAAACGCCGGTTAGTTCAGGAGCCTTTCGTAATATAGAATCCAACTATTTTTTTTTATTATAAATTATATGTCGGTGTAAATTTATTATTAAAAAAAGGTTGAAGCTAATTCCTCATGACGAAATTGTCTTAGATAGATAGGGTATATGTATGGTAACACGGTTGATTACAATTAAAAAATGGGGTCTTTGAAAAATAAAAACTTTCTCTATAAATTGTATAAAAAAATTATTCTATACCCTGACATGCCCTAACGATATGTATAGTAATACTTTATTTTTATATACTATAAGTTAATTTAATAGATTACTTCATTCCTTATCTCCAAAATTCCCTACTAAATGATCATTTTAACGATAAAAATTTTGTAATTAAAATAAAATATATATTTTTACAAGTTTTTTGGTTTCGCCGATCAACATTTTGTATGAAGCGCTCTGGGTGTTTTCATATTCTTTGTCCCATATTAATGGCGTTTGGGAGTTTCCGAGTCTGAAGATGGTTAATTCCATTTTCAATGGGGAATCTATAAATATTTAGTCATTTGTCATTGTTTAAGTTAAATTAGAAAATGTTTTGGGATATCTAAATAAATCCCAATAGTTTAATAATCTTTTTGAGATTTTAAATTTTATTACAATTTAGCACTGATGCGAAAGTAGATTGAATATCGCTTTGAGCGGCCGAATTTTTCGCGTCGAGAAAATTTTCGAGTTCGTAGCGTCTTAGCTTCAATTCCTTCTGCGGAACTCGGCATAATTTTCCCGAACTTATGCACTCGGTGCTAATTTGACGGTTCGGTAGGGGCTTGGACACAAAAAGGTCGTCAGAATTTTCGGTTATTTTAAGATTATCTCGATTGTCGTTGCCTTGATGGAAGCGATTTTCTATGATGGACGTGAGGTTTCGAACCGTTACCGAGGATGATTGATCGAATTTACCAGGCCTGGTAGGCTCGCGGTAAAGGACTACGGTGTAGTTTATCAGCAAACCATTTTCGAGGCCCGAATTTTCGTAAATGACGGACAAGGGTTTGAGATTGTTGATGTGTACGCCTTGATAGATGCCTCGCAATGGGGATGTCAGGAATATTTCGTCGATCTGTTCAGAGTATATTATTGTATCTCGTTCTCATTCATTATAAGGATAAATTGTAAAAGTATACGAATAAGTTTCATAAATTTATTTATTTATTGTGAGGATATAATATATATTTATAATATATTAGTTATAATTTGTATTTGTTCGCGTGTCAACTTATATAATTAATAATAATCCTAAATGTAATGAGAGGATGACATTTTGAAGAAGAAGAAGAAAGAAATGGCATAGATATAACTTAACTTAAATTTATGAATTAATACCAAAGTTTAAGCAAGATATAAATGGTTCAATTCTTAGTAAATGTTAGAAATCTATAGGGGGTCCAGGCCCAGGTATGCGGGACAGGCTTTATATAATTCTTTTAATATATAAACCCTGACTGGGTAAAAAAAAAATTTTTAACAACCCTGACCAGACCTAATAAATTCGTTTTTTACAAACTCGGGCCTAAGAAAGAAATAATATTTAAAATAATAACTAATTCAACTAATATTACAGGTAATTTAATTTAGATTATCGAATTTTATAAATTATTATAAATAATTATTCCATTTAAAACAAAATTTTTATTTTTTTTATACAATCAAACATTAAAATAAACACAAAATAAAATTCGTTTCGCCAAAAAATGATCATAAATGCGACTCTTTTTCTTGTATTAAATGAAAAATGATCTTATTTTTAAAATAAAGAATATCTTAAAAGTTATTAGATATTAAAAGATTTCATTGTTAGCTGAAAAAAAACGAACTTAAAAAATGTCAAATTGGTATATATTATCAAGCCGAAATTTTTTTTTGAAACTCTAAAATAAATTTTTTTATTTCCGTCGGGAATGGCCGAATTTTCATTTTTTCAAATAATAGGGGTCGGTTCGGGCTTAAGAATATAAACCCAGATCGGCCGGCCAGACTGGGAGGGAATTTTTTTACAAACCCGGACGGACTGGTGCAATTGCCACCTCTGCAGATCTCTGATATATACATTAATATATTTAAAATATTTCTTAACTAAATGGGAAATCTTTGACTGAGTTGAGGAGGTAGTAGGAAGGTAATAGATAAGAGGGATTGTTTATATGTTAATAATATTTCGTATTCCTAATAATTCATTAATATAAGCAGGGACTTCTACTCCGAAGGGTGGGGAAAGGGGGGGGGGCGTAGTAAACACAAGATATTCGTTTAATTTGTGTGTGTGGGGGGGGGGGGGGTTAGATAATTATGAAGACGCTATCGGTATTTGAATAAAAGAGGTGGAGTTAAGGGGTTAGGGTAGACATAAGATTGATGGAAATTGAAAGGGGGGAGGGTAGGTAATTGTTCAAACACTATTGGCATTTGAAGAAAGAAGGTGGTGATAGTATATTTTTCTAAAGCTGAATAGGTATAAAATTGTTTAGGGGTGTGTACGTCATTGGCTTAGGGAGGTTGTAGAAAGTCATTGAAAATATACTTATTTAACCAACAGACATTACTTTTCTTCCTAATTCCCAAATTTTAATTTTTTTGTAAAAATATTATATAAATATTAATATGATAAAATAAAATAAAATACTCTACTTACATATCGCCTAAATTCTTGATCCAGACTTTTGAATTCATTAGAATTAGGGTTCGAATACAATAGGCTATACTGAATCGGTCTACCGGAAATAGAAACGACTGGAAGAACCAAAGAATTTTGTTGCTCCGGGGATGATTTTTCTGCTTGGGATTGTTCATTTCGCGGACGATATCCTGGAGTAACTGGATATGGATAATCGGTAAATTTAGTTTTAGAATAAAAATTTTGAGCAACGCAATGATGTCCGATATGTAAAAAGAGAATTATTAAGAATCGAAATGTTGATGACATAAGAAGTCGAATAAGATGTAAATGTCTAGCATTATTACATTAATTTTCATTTCATTTTTTTAGATACCGCTAATCTGACAGAAGAGTTATAACGATCAGTTTGTTTGTTTTCTTTTACAAAAATTGACCCCATTTCCGACAATCTTTATTTTCCTTTTCTCTTTCTTTTCACTTTTATCTTATTTTCAAAAAGGTATGTATATATAAAATCCAAGAAATTTCTTGTTAAATGTTACAAATCTAACACACTTAATTTTGATTGATAACAAAATTTCCTTTTTTTTTAAAAAAAATAAATATTTAATAATATATAATAATTTTTATTTTTTAAATATAGGTATATTTATTTTTTTATTTTAAAAAAAATAATTTTTTAAAAACATTGAGGATAAAAAAGAAAAGAAACAAAACCACAAAGAATACACATGTAATAAAAATTAATTACAAGGTTTTAACTACACTTAAAATAAAATATATTTGATTCCTCGGGAAAGGTGTATAATTTTTCATGGATTCTTATTTGATAAAATATTTAATTATCGAAATTAAGATTTTAAATTTTACCCCAAAATATTTCATTTTACATTTTTTTTTCTTTCTCTTTCTCTAACGTTCTTTACTTCTAAAATAATAATATAGGAAAATATCGAGATAATTAGATTTTTGTATTTTATTCGACATTAACATTAGTCAATAATATTAACCTTTGTTTTGATAATGAATATTTTAAATAATAACAAAATCAATTAACTTAAAATTTAAAATCATAAATTAACCTATAAAAAAAATGTTATAATAATATACATAATCTTTTTTATTTTTAAATAAATCCATTTTAATTTTTATGGTTATATATATCTCTTTTTTTTCCATTTAAAATAACCTATTTTTTCTCTTTATAATTTCATAACAAAAAATTAATTAATACCCATTTAATCTAGCCCGTATAACAAAAATTTGTTCTAAATTTTATACCTTTTTTAAATATAAATTTTCAAGGTTTTAAAATGAAAAATTTCTATAATTAAAGTTTGACAAAATTAGAGGAAAAAAAAAGGAAAATATAATATATTTTAAAATTGCAATAAATATTTTTTTAAAAAGGACGTGTTAGAGAGAGAGTCAGACCCATTTTCAAATGAAATTTTGCCATTATAAAAAAAAATATATGATAATATTATTATAGGTGAATTTGAGGTGATAATCTAAAATGTAAATATATTGTATTATGTATTATTAATATTAAATAAATTATTTATATAATATTTATATATTATATAAATAATATAATATAATAACCAAGTGACCCCGTTTGTGTATCCATCATAATTTAAATAAATATAATAGTTAAAATAAGGATATCTTGCAATTTTCATGATAAAAATTATATAACAAAAAAAATAATAATTTTGAGTCAATAGTAATATATATAAAACTTTCTAATTACCATTACGATAAACTATAAATAATATGAAGTATTCTGATAGGTTTTGGACAATTATTTACACCTTCACGCACATACTTATATATATAAATTATAATTAACAATAGTTAATATAGCAAGTGTAAATAAAGAAGTTTATTCGCAATTATTTATATATAAATAGGGTATTTTTATAAATAATTGCCAAGAAGATTGGTTCGGTGGTCTTCTTCTTGATTATATAATTTAGGTTTCACTAATTTAGTTATAATAAAAGTTTTTTTTAAATGATGAAAAAAATGTAGATTAAAAATATTATATATCACTTTATTAGTTTTCACTTCTATAAAATTCCTTATTTTGCGATAAACCATGTTTTTGAAAATTATTTTATTATATGAAAAAAAATACGTATTTTCGCAATTCATTTTTTGCCGAATAGGTTCGGGCTGAATTGGGCCTATATCGGGTTTGATTGAAGTGTGTTATATTATAGTTATTTCATGTAGTTTCCCAAAAAAAGAGATATCTTTAAATTAAGTGCGCCAAAACATGCATGGCAACTTCGTTGTCATTATCCATTCAATCTACGCGACCTTTTTTTATTCCCTTAATTAATTTTATCATTTTCTTCATGTTTAATTGTAAAATAACTTTCGGGTTAAAAAAAAGTTTTATAATATTTCTAACAACTTTATTCTTTATAAAACTGTTTAACTTGCAGTATTTATTGTTAAAAATATATAATTTTTATTGCAACAAGTTAAACAATTATGTAAGAAGTTGTTAGAATATATATATAACAAATTTATCTTTTTCTGGGGGATTATTAAACCCTAAATTAAAATCTTAATTCGACGATAAGCATGCAATAAAACGGATTTAGAGGTTTTTTTTGCTTTACAACTTGTTTGAATACATTTAATAGATAATAATCTTTAAATTCAAGTCACAGCAAATGGAGGCGAAACTGAGTTATTTTGTGCTATTATTTTTATAGGCTTTAGAAGTCTCTTTTTTTCGAAGCACGAAATTGTCTGACATATTTATGATACGTTAACCTTTCTTCTTGATAGTTAGAATGATAAAAGTAGCGAACTTTAAGGAACCCACTCGGCTTTTTACAATGGGCCAAAAAATGAAAATATAAATACAAATTATACATTTTTTTAGAAGAATTAAAAGAGTTTGGAAACTAAAAATCTGTAACCCTGAGAATAGCCTCAAGGCTAAGAACCTAGATGATTTTTTTTTAAATTCTAGATTCTAATCTAAAAGCAGAATTACTAATAGAAAAATATTACTATGATTGAAACGAAAGTAAAAATAACGGAATAATTTGGCATAACGATTATTCCAAATCTGTTCTAGTATGATCTGATCTTATTAAAATCATTTTCCTTGAGAATAAAGTGTGGACCATATTGGAACCGGTAGAATAATTCTTAAGTAATAATTTCATATTACATAGTAGTATATAATACAATAATTCATCCTCTCTAATAACCCCCCCACACTAGGTCTACTTAGCGATTATAGATCAGAGTTATAAAATTACATCTTTAAAATATTGTCCAAGATACATATTTTGCAAGGATGCATTTTAACCAAAATTTCGTTTTTACATAAATAAAAAAAAGTTCTAATTTTCACTTTTTTTTTCAAGTCCTATATAATACTTTGTTAAGTTTTTTTTTCCCTTATTTAACTTTTGATGTCAAAGTTTTTTTTGAATCATTTATACTATCATTTTATTCACTTTTAAAACATTTTTCACCAAAAAAATAAAACATTACAACAAAGAAAACAAAGAAAACAAAGCTAAGTGCTATTTAAAAAAAACGAAAACTTTTTTTCGTTTGTTTTCCCTTTCCTTTACGAGTAAAAAATAAAATAAGATAAAACGTATTGAGATTAACTAACCTGGTGAGGATTATAAAATAAGTGCGAGATTTAGAGAGGAATCATAATCTTACAACCGCTTCACCAAAAAAAAATTATCAAAATTAGGACAAAAATTCATCGATAAAAAAAATGGAAGATAGGAGTGTGCGTGTAGGTAAGTCAATAATAGGTGAGTTTTAAAAAAAATCCTACTTATTTCGGATTAACAGATGATTTCCGCCAAAAAAAACACTCGGCTTTGGAAACTTGCAGATAAGATGTTTATTTTTTTCTGATGGTAAATATTTTCATAAATTTATGAGCAAGGGTTCTTATAGCTCATCTTAGTGATGACATAGCACTATCTATTAAGCCATGTTTATTTTATTTTATTGTTTTGAAAATAAATTCCCTTTCTAGAAAGTATCCTAAACAGGTTTGGAGTAGGGGTCCGTGAAGTGGAGAAATAGAGCAACGCCTAGTTGTTTATCGATGTCATAAAGAATTATTTATCTACATACATTTCCTATACCGTTTTAATCTTAATTGTAAAAATATTTTTTAAGTAAAATAGAACTTAAACTATATTCTTATGCGAAATTAAAAATCGCACAGTGTCCAATTCATCCCAATCGCAAAATTCATTGGACTCCCGAATGGCTGATGCCTAGAGCCATGTAACATGGTGCGGAGAGAGGAGTACAAATCAATTTATTTTTAAAATTTTGAGGGGGGGGGTACACCTTATTCAACCTACATAGTCTATATAGTTTATGTATTCTCTATAGTTGAATTTTTTTATATTTTTTTAGTTATATCGAATATAGAACAAAATAAGTTTTCAATACTTTGTCCTTTTCTAATAAATATATTTTTAAAACAAAATATATAAAAATGAAGAAAAAAACAAATTGATAATTAATTTAAAATCCATTCTTCGAATTCCTTGGGAGAATTAGTTAAGTAAAGCGGAATGTCATTACTTTTTGTTATTTTGAATTTTTAATTTTTAAAACCCTTATAATTAATTCTCTTGTACAATATTAAAAGTAATATCATAATCAATACCGCAACTTTTTAAGATATTTTTTTTTTGGAATTAAAAATCTCATTATTTTAATTTGTGCAAATATTTGGGTTTATTATAAGGAAATCTGTGGTTGTAAAATAATGGGACTTATTAGTTTTATTTTATTTTTCGTAAAAACAAATTTATTAAATAAAAATAATTTTCACAAAATAGTTTTAATTTTTAAAAAATTTCGATTGTTGGATAATACACAAACACGATAAATAATTCTTTATTATTGTTCTAGATTTTATAATTTAAAAAAAAAACGTTATTGAATGTAGTATTTTTATGCTTTTTTCTTTCTCCTATTTCATTCTTTCTTTTTTTAAAGTATATTTTCTTTTTTTTCTTTTATGATTTCAATAATAATTCCTTGATAAATCTATTAGTTTTTACTCTATCATTCGCATATCCCCCCACTTTTTATGATTCGATAAAATAAAATAATTTTTTTTATCAATTTGTTATATATATATATAATACATATAAATTTTAATAAAATGCAGTAAGATAAAATTACCCCCCTCTGGTCCAAGCATGCTACCCTAGCGGATTGTAATTTATTAAAATACGATTATTTATTTTTTTATTTTTAAAAAATTAAAATTATATTTAAAAATAAAAAATTTCATGTAACATTTGGAATTATATAAGGGCTCCTCTTAACACATGGGGGAGTGGTACGTATTATGATTTTTAAGAGGTTTGAGGTGGGAGGGAGGGGGGGGGGGGTTAAATATTGTCTTGGTCAACATAATATAGTCAATTCTCTTTTTTCTAATGGAATAAAAATATTTTAGTCAAGGGTCAATTTAGACGTGGGGAGTAGTTCTAGAACTATATAGCTCTTAATTATAATATAATCATGGTTGTGTTTCTGTTTGGTTAAATGATAGCTAAAAATCGTTTTATTCGGTTCAAAATTCACTAAGCATTGTTGAGCGAATTAATTTGAACCAGGGAGGGATGCAGAAAAGCAAAAAAAAATAGGTAAACAAGCTTAAATATTATTTTAAGAAAATTTTTTAACATTAAAATTTTTTTTAAAAAAAAAGATGCCTTTGAAAAATAAAAGTCAGTTCGTTTTTTATAAACACAATTTAATGAAATGAAGCAAATAAAATGATTGTTATGAATGAAAAATTTGCGATAAAATATTTGTAGATTATATTTATTAAGATAATTTGTAGTAATAAAAAATTTGCAATCAAATATTGGTGGATTATGTTGTAAGGATTGTAAGTAATATAAAATAAATATATTTGTTTTTTTCCCATCAGAATTCGGTTTTTTTCAATCCTAGGTTTATCGGTTCTTTTAGCCTGATTATAATATGATAAAATTGTTCAATTAAGCACTACTACTCACAGTGACCCTAAATTTTTCAACATTCATATTTTATTTATTTTGTTCCAACTTCACTGAATTAATAATACTATTTCTTTCTACTTATAAAAGATGGATTTACTAAATTAAGAGTAAAACGAAACTTTAAAAATAAATTTTTTAGTTTGGGAATATTAAGATATACATAGAGAAAGAAAGAAAAAAAATGAAAGAAAGAAAGAAAGAAAGAAAGTTAGGAAAAAGTTTTTATACCTTTTTGATAGATGATCTTTAAACTGTTCTTTTGTCAAGGTATAAATAATACAATATAAACTAAAATATCATCAAGAAAATATATAAATTTTTTCTTTCAAAAAAAAAAAAGAAAGAAAAAAAAGGTTATGTAAAATTTTGTGATTTTAAAAATATATTATATATAAAGTATAAAAAATTAATTAGAAAGTAGGTAGAATATTTTAGTATTTAGTTTATCACAATCAAATTCAAAAGACAAATTAGGCTTCAATATAATTTGAAAAGCTATTAACAAGGAACTATCGTTTATTAGGAATATAAAAGATTTTTTTTTAAATTTAACCTTTTCTAAAAAATACAAAAATATATTAAAATTTTTTTCTTTTTTTGGATTTATCCTATTTAAAAATATTGCCATAATATAAGGAAGATATAGAAAAAAAATACATATTAAATCACTTTAATTTTCTTTTTTTACCGCCCTTATTACCATCTTTGAATGAATTATGGATTTATGTTAATAAAAAAAATAAAGAGTCAAGCTTAATAATAAAAAAAAAGCATGACAATATTTTATTTCCACTTTATATGACTTTTATAATAATGATGAGGCTACTGAAAAGGGGCGGGGGTTTAAATACTATATTGTTTTTTTAATTAAAGACGTGATTTAAGAAGATTATTAGGGTCCTTGCTGAAAAATAGAAGAGTATTGGAGGCGGAAAAAAATGGTTCTACTCCTAATCAATATATTTTATTTTTTTAAAAAAAGGTTTTGAGACAAAACCAATACTAGAATGGGCATTGCTTTACAGAAATAATAATGGAATCTGACTTCGAACTTTTAAAATGTAACTGAATACTATATATTGTTTATAAATGTAGTTGACTATTTAATTTATTTTATTTTAAAAAGAAATTGTCGCTTCTCCTCATTTTTTTTGTTCGATGGACCAAACTTATGAAGATAATGTAATATTTAATTATTAACCCAATATTTTAGCAAAAAAAATATTACGCAAGCCTGAAAATTTTTACTTTATTCCCTGGCAGAAAGGTTTGGACATCTATTAACAAAATCTCGAGGCTTGTATAATATTTTTGGATGAGATATTGGGTTATCCCAATGAACCTAGACTGACCATTCATTCATTAAAAGTGTACATCAATGCAAATCAGCTGGAGACGCCATCTTGGTTACACTAATCATTATTGAAATTTTAAACGAGAGCCTAATTTATTCTTATATCTGATGCAAACTTTATTAAAGAATTACCGGATCATCGAGATAATAAAGAAGAAATTTATCAATTTAATAGTAGTTTTTAACATAGTGGGAATAATTACTATATGTGCTACCAAAATGGCGGGTCCAGCTGTTTTTCTGAATGAATCGTCAGTCTAGGTATTATATATGTCTTTGGGTTATCCTGAAATTCGAGTCGTTTAACAATACTAGTTATAATCTTTGGCAAAAAAAACAACAATAAAAAACATTTTATTAAAAATCTAAGTTTAAAAAAAAAAATTCATTAATTAAAGATGGGTGAAGTTTTTAACGCGATTTAATGTTAGATTTGATAAAAAAAAATATTTAAAAGGACAATATTTTTACGCCCAGAGCTTATATGAGGAAAGAAATAATTAATTTTAAAATATATAAATTAAAATTAATTTTTTGAAAATAAATTATTACATATAGGTATTAATTTTTAACTTGTAAGGAATTATCAAAAATATCACGGATATTTTAATTATTTATTTATATTATTTTATTTTTCAAAAACACCCACTAATTTTCTTTTAATAAAGTTTTGCAAGGTTAGGTTATGGAATATAAAAAATAAATGTAAATAAATTATTTTTTAAATAAAATTTTTTAATTACAATTATATTCAATTTTCGGTCAATAATCAAAATGATGAGTAGTTTTATGTTAATGTGCATCTATAACAATTCTTGCTTTAGTATTAGATTATTGAATCCGCCATTGGAAAAGTCTAAATAATCGGGATTCGATAGTAATTCATATAAAGGAAATTACGAATTTGGAGTTGTTAAACGATTTTTAAAAACGGCTAACTCAATATTTTAGCGCCTAAGACTAGAGATTTCGCCTAATAGATGTCCCAAAAATCTTTGAGCCGCTCATATATGAACAAAATCTTTTAGGCTCGCGAATATTTTTCTGGGTGAAATATTTGATGTTAGCCGTTTAAAAAAAATAGGCTCAAACCAAGGCGTTTAACAAATATACTATGTTTAACTGTCTATAAAACTCTTTATATAAAATGAGACAAATTTAATTAAAAAAGTTTTAAATTTATATTCGATACTACAATCGAAAATTCAAAAAAATGTAACATTCATTTCTTCGGAGTAATATATATTTGACAAGTGGGTCAATTGACCTATCAAACATTGGTTAATTTACCGAATCATATTTGACGGTCAAATCCACACCGTTATATAGGAATAAAGATTTCAAATTCTGACCTTGTCACATTTTATTTTCAAAAATATCAGATAGTTCAATCAATGGTGACGTTAATCACCGTATGTTGAATATTATTTTATTGTTTTTTTTTATTAGAAAATTCAATGATTTGAGATTTTTCAAAATATCTATAAAGAAAGGAATATAACTTAAAATAGTGCTTATAGATACCTAGATACAACCGATGTCAGTAAAATAGCTTCATATTTTGTTTAAATTAAAAGGATTTCACATCCGGAACACGGCCGGATGTTGGCTACTGAGGAGGGATAGTAACAATGGCACAGAAGGATTTTACCTCCGGGAGGGGGAGGGGGGGTGTCAAATTTTTTTAAAATAAGAAATTCTTTTGAGACAAACATATAATAAACTAATTAAATAATATATTGAATTAAAAAATAAAATCCTTGTTACAGTTGGATTTATATTTCTTTCTTTCTTTCTTTCTTTCTTTCTTTCTTTCTTTCTTGCTATTCTATGGTTCAAAATCAAATAAAATATTTAATCACATTTATAAATAAAAATTAATTATAGGGGGAAAGGGTTCAAATGTGGTATGAAGTGCCCCCCCCCCCATTCCTCACTTAAATCGGGAATAGTATATAACATATAACACAAAACAAAGGCCTGATGTTAGCTAGGTTTAGACTTCAGAAGTATAATGCTTAAATTAAGCAATTTTTTAGATCGTTTACGCATCTCCTTTATTCATTATTTACATATAATATATGTGTTAATGTTAAGGTTATATTTAAAAATTGCCCTATATTTCGCCTTTTAATTTTTCAATTTAATAACCCCTCGCCAGACTATCAAAGTTTATAATTTTACATAAATATTTAACTAATTTTTCGAAATAAAATTAATGTCATATCACCCCCCCCCCCCCATTCTTAAAAATATAAAATTTATCAATAAATTTTAAGCATTAAATCTATCAAAACCTAATATTTTTTTAAAAATAATATTTATTTAAAAAAGATAAATTGATAAAATAAAATATCCAATTCGTTAACCTGAATCAGTATATCTCTCGGTAACGTCCCAGGCTAGTTTATCGGAAGAAAAAGTGACAAGCTTTATATCACCATACCCCAAAAATCTATTATTTGTGATAGCTCTCTCCTGCAAATCCTTGATGATCGTCTCTAGGTCGAGCCCAAAGGTGGCGTTAACGTAAAATGTCATATTTAAAATCAGGGTAAAATCGTCGCTGTCGGAATCAATTTTCTTACGGATTTTGACTTGGTTCAATTGACTTCCCAGGTAATGAGAATATATTATGGCTCCACTGACCTCCGTGTCTTTTATAAAGCAATAATCCTTTTCGTCGATCGAATATTTGGGATTGATAGATGAGGGGTAGTATAGCTGATACAACTTTTTATATACATTTTTTTTTTGTAAATGGGAATTATTTCGGAAAAATTAGAATTAAATTTTCAATCGACTCCAAGATAAACATTTTATAAAGGCAATTTTTACCAAAATTTGGAGAAAATATCTTTTACCGAAATTTCTAAATTTTTAGATAATTTTGGACAAGATTATTGAAACAGATTAATTTTATCCTTAATTTTTTTCATAAAATGAAAAATTATTTTTTTTTTAAATACCCCATCTTCTAAGAGCTGTTTAATTTTGTTGAATTCTGTTGTTTGCGGTTGTAAAATTCCATCGTTAAAAAAGATGGGCTTGAAAGTCCGGGAGTCTATCGAAACTTCGAGATGAAGGTTATAAGCCAAAGATCCTTTAATATAGATATAATAAATATTATTTTATATAGTTATGTTATAGGGATATTTAATATCACCATAGAATAAAAAAAACGATGATATCATCCATGTATAAAGATGACCTCAAAATTATTTTTCTGTTCTGGGGCCATCTCTAGCTCTGATTACGACAACCCTCTCATTTATTCAAAAGTTCCACCAACAATATTTGCATTACCCTTCAGGATTGTTTTCTTAGAGCTCCGGCGCTCGGCCAAGGATATTATTAGGCTGGACTGGTGCAAAATATTTATATGGGCCTGACCGGTCCGGAATTTGGCATATTTTTAGCAACAAAATTTTCTTCATAAAAAAAATTAATACGAGGCCAAGCCAGATAAACTTTTATAAAAAAATACTATAATCCAGCTCATATTTATATCATATTTGTATGCTTCACCGCGAATTCGAGCTTACTGTGAAAGAGGAGTAAGTAAATTTTTTCATACTGGTCTGGGAACGGACCAACCAAGCGGACATTTGCTCCTTCTCCCTTTATATAACCTTAATAAATTTATTTTATATCAAACCCATATTGCCTAAATATTTTTATTTGTTTTAGCGTTGAACTTTATTGATTTTTAAAGTGGTCTTATTAAAAATATTATATAACATCGTAAATTATCCTTATACATATATATATAAATTGTTTTCGAGTAGGGAGTCAGTCGTTCTAGTGGTTGATTGAGGAAATCACTTTTAACTTCGAACTGGTTTTGAATCCAGGAAGGATCGGATTTTTCTGAAGTTAACCTAGTCTGTTTTGTACAAATCGGGGTATGATATATAGCAGATGGGAAGCAACTCCTCATTCCATTAATTTATTATTGATAAAATGGGTGCTATTGTATTCTAATAAAATTTGGCCCTTGTTTAACAAATTGCCATATATATACCCTGTTTGTGTTCTGGCTTGACTTATTTCTAAACAGCCGGCTGTTTAGTCGGCTATATAAATTCGATCAAATAGCCTAATAGGTAAAAGGAAAAAAACGAGAAGAAAAAAATACGAAAAATAACAATGCCACCAAATAATTAAAACAACCCAAAATAGGGTGTCCTAGTTCAAAATTCTATTAGCCTAGGCTAAGCAACAAATCAAAAAATAAGCCTAACCAGGACACAGTCCTATTGATTTTATCTTAAATTAGTTCAAATGTGCAGCTTGAAATATGGTAAATATATAAATACGTGGTAATAAAAAGATAATATAGAATTCATTCAGAAAAAACTTCTTCACCATTAAAGGCCTCAATTCTGATAGTTAATTTTTAAAAAGATTTTTTTGACCCCGGGTATCATAATTTCCCCCATCCGATTACGATATATTGCAATTTTATAAAAAGAATAATTTCTTAGGATTATAAATAGTCTATTTTATTTATATATAACTAAATTTTAATTTATTAATATCATAATTTGGGTTATAATTTTGATCGGTGACACTATTTTTTTTTTATAAAATAATGATTTTCAATTGAATATTTGGAAAAATAGGATTTTTTTAAATATCACATAATTAATATTTATTAGGGTTTCATTTCACAAAACAAAAAAAAACACTCAAAATTATATATCTCAATCTTGTATAACCCACCCCCTCCCTTCTCCTTCCCACTACCCTTCTCCAAATCCCCATTAATATTTAATGATTAATATATAAACATAAATTTCAACTTAACTTAATAGAAAAATCTCCAATTTTTAATTTAACAAATTATTATATGATTTTTACTCTGTCCCAATTTAAAATATTGATTTTAAAAGGTTAATTATAATTTCTCATTTCTGACACTTTGAGATTGATTGTTTGTTAGTTTGTTATATGTATGTTATAGCATCAATGTGTTTCTTCGGGCAATGTGTTATTCATTTCAACTTTAAAATCATTTTCTGAGAGCGTTTTTTTTAAAATTTATAATAATCCGATTTTAACGGAAATGTGTTTTATCATCGACTTCCAATCATATGAATTTCAGACAATTACGCCATAAACTTTTAAACTGAATAAAATTTATATTCGTTTTTCCATAGAAATTTTTTATATAAATTATAACTGTACCAAAGGTCAACAGAAAAATTCATCTACAATTCATAAAGATAGGTATTCCAAACACAGTAGAATACATTTCTGGTAAAATCGATTTTTTAAATTTATGAAAACGAACTCAAAGAATGATTTAAAGTTGAAAAAAATAACACATTGCCGGAAAAAAACACATTGGCGCTAACTGCAGTGTTGTGATGATTTAATGAAACTTGTTATTTTAATTATTTTTGCAAAGAAAATAATTTTATATGGATTTTTAATTTAATCGTCAATATGTTTCATTAAATTATCACAACACTATATATATATAAATAAATATTAATTATATTTGTATAATATCAAAGTTTGATTAAAGAAATGCAGATAAAAAAAATATAAAATTTTAACAAAGTCGAATAATGAAATATTCGTATACGATTCGTAAATTCCGAATCAAATTATTTAGTATTCGTTTTTGCGTCATGGAATTAACGATTAATTCGATTTCTTTTTCAAAACTAATTTTAGCCAGAAATTTTTTTTTACTATTTTACAAAATTTTATTCTTAAAATTAGGAATAATTCGAATATTTATACTAAAAATTTACGATTTTTTGAAATTTACAAATAATTACGAATATAATTTTAGGGGAGTTTTTTTTTTAATCGTTAAAAAATTTTTTATGATTCTTATTCGATTCGATTTTTTTTAAATTTAATAAACTATTTGTAAGTTTAGAAATATTCAAAAATAAGGGGAGGGGGAAACAAAAATACATAAAAAAAAATTTAAATGTTTGATTGGTCATTTTGTGACGAAAGACCAGTCAGAGACCTATTTATAGGCAGCCTATCAAACCCGCCATGATATGAAACATAGGCGGTTTCGGGCCTTCCTTCGAAAATCGGTTTCGATTAAGTTCTTGTTAACAAAATTTCCGCTAAATAGAGTTCAAAATTGCTGATTTTTATTTGTTTTTGGTTTTAAATTTTTACTTCCTGTTTTTTTTTTAGGTTCGGGTATACTTGTGTTCTTATAATTTAAGTTTTAAAGTTCATCTTTTTAGCACCCTTATAAAAAAAAATTTTTTTTTTTGTATTTTTTTTTGAAGGGTGGAAAAGGAGCAATCAATAAGAAATTATTTAAAAAAAAGAATTAATTTAAAACCTAATGGTCTAGGCGACAATTGGAAAACGTAGCCGTTACTCCCTCCCATCTTGTAACCATTGGAGCTGAATAAATGATTGAACTGATTCCTGATATGGCATATTACCTTTTCCGTGGCATCTTCGTCGCTTTCGCTGAAGGAGCCTCCGAATTTACCGTTATTGTGATTATTTAAGGCTACGGAATTATCCCATTTCAGGGTAACTTCGAATAAAAGTGGCAGTTTATTAGGGGCGGCCAAAGCTGACGTCGATTCGGAAACTCTGAGGTAGGAAAGTTGATCTGGATCTAACACGACGTTTATCGTTGTGCCGAGATGGTAATCGGTCAGGCCCAGTGTTTCTATAGACGATTTTAACTTTTTTTTGTAATAAAGTTTTTAATTAAATTATATGTTTTTTGGTTACATGAAATAAAATGTCATTGAATGTTAAAAAAAATGTGGGAAGCATTTTATTAAGTAACTATCTATTTCATTGGGTAAGGGTTATCTACTATATAATATAATTAAATTTGTTCAAAAAACTTACTTATTTAGTCCACGAACTAATCTAATCTCAATTTTTATATTTGATGATATAAATCATAAATATATAATAATATATTTATTTTTCTCTTTAAATATTTTACCGCATCTTCGAAATTAGCCTTTAAATCATATTCGTGTTCTTTAATCTTGGGCAAATACGCCTTTCGATCCGTTATATTTAAATCTTTAGCGTCCAGTAAGACCTCGAAAAGCAAATTTTGTGTCAAAATGGCTGTTAAAAAAAATAATATGTTTTAAAAGTATAAATTCGATTCGATTCTTTTATTTTTGATATAATATTTATAAAGTGTTAATAAATCTAAAGGGTTTAAAAAATGTTATCATTTTTGTTAATAGAATTTACATTGAAAATTTGTAATTTAATTTTAAAGTTTTCATAAACCTTTAGAAGTCTTCTCCTGCTCTAGAAATGACAACCGATAATTTAAGTGAGATATGGGAGCGAAAATCTTGCGGAACGATTCATCGGCATGACTGGAATTATTCCTTTCACCGATTGTACTCCTCGTGGTAATCGCGAAGTTGATTGTATGTTCGATTAGTTTCTTAGTAACATAATTTTCATAGTCAGGGGTTCTAGCGTGCGAATTATTTTCTGCCTTCTCTTGTTTAACCTTGATATTCATCAGGTCCCGATCGATCAAGTTTAACGCTAACCTCAATTTATCCACTATTTCCTTGCGCTCGCCCGTATAGTTGGACCACAAATACAAAGTTACATTCAAATAGACCTGCCCATCTTTGAGATTCGGAATAATTTGATTTCCGTACACGTCGGAAATCAAATTTTGATTCTGTCGAAATTTAGATTGTTGGTCATAATTCTTATCATCAACTTCTCCAGGTGGTTGCTGATATATATCCACTTTCGCTGTTATGAAATAGGGTTTGATGATCGATGATTCGGCAAAACTAGAGTTGAGCTTGGCCTGAACTGATTTTATATATTTGGCTGTGAAGTTGGAACTAGAATCTCTCTTCCAAATCATGGTGGCACCATTTTCATTGGTCAAGGGTTGATTGTAAATGTAAGCTTATTTATAAATTTTTATTTAATTTATTCATTAAATTAACACTTTCCTAAAGATATATATACCTAATCCAAGATTCCGTTATAATTATACAAAAATATTGCCATTTCGCTTATCATGAGGCTCTTGTATAGTACTTTCAACGTAAAATTGATTTAGAGTCAAAAGATTATTCTTATTCCTTGGGGCTTTTTTTCTACCCATTATTTATTTATATTTATTTTAAACTAAAAAAATTTCTTCCTTTTCTTTAAAATGTTATAAATATTAGGTCCCTATAAAGTTAAAAAGATGAAATTAGTGTTGATTAGTTACCCAGGTCAAGCTAAAAAAACCGATTCATTTGGATAATTTAGTTTTAAAAATTCCAGCTCAACCCAAATATTAAATTTTCTTCTAAACACTCACCCCTAACCAATGACTCGAAGCCTCTCTCCTCCAATGACTAAAATATTGATTTCCCCTTCCCCAGAGTTACCACTTCCTTCCTGTCATAAGACATTAGCTAATTAAAAACTCTTTTTTTAAAAAAAAAACCTATAGGAACAACTGGATTCTGTACATCGTCGATGAACAAGGAAGTTTGCCCTAGACTGTTATTGTAATATTTGGTGATGGATTCTTGGAGGGCAGCTAATATGTTCTTACGGCTATCTTCAAAATTATTATCAACGCAAATCACAGCTTTTATGACTATGGATTCATCGTGCCGAGATTTCGAAAATTCTTCCACTCTGGCTCTCAAAAAATGATTGGAAAATTTGGAGCTTAAGAACGCAGTGCTCAGCTGTTTTTAAATTATATTTATTATCAAATATGATAGTTAGAGTTAAAAATTAATTTATTGTTGCAATCAAAAAATTATGAAATTCGAACCAAAAACGAGACTACCAAATTTTTCTATATATGTGATAAGTTTATCTCTTAAAAAAAGGATTAATCCTTAATCCTTATGTGGTTTTTCGAAATCTCTCAATTTTGCACCATTTCACTGAGGGCAATTTTTAAATTTGAAACATATTTCGCCCGGATAAGAATTCCAGCATGTATAAAGAGTAATTTAATTTTAGACAATTTTGCCAAATATTTTTATCTTTAACATTTATATTTTAAAGAAATCTATAAATATATATGTAAATATTGAAATAAATTATGTTTAGTTCAATAGGACACGGCAAAAATTAACTTGGATTTACATGTACAATGTCCTCTATGCATGCTGGAATTTTAGTTTTCAAATTTTGAAAATCGCCAATAGTAAATTGTTTAAAGTGGAAAGATACACAACGGGGAGATCCCGAATTAATTCGTATCCCAGATAAATTTACTACATGTATAGCTTTTTTTAGGCACATGATGTCTTTCTTCGAAATAGCGACCTTTTTTTCAAAAGCAATATGACCTTTTAAAGTGTCAACTAGTTTTGAAAAAGGACAGTAAAATTTTATCCTAAATTCACACTTGTATATTATCATTTTAAAGCTTGATTTTTAAATGCAAAATAAAAATATTTGTCAAATCTAATTCGTACTCGGAATTCCTGTTGAAATTTAAAAAAAATTTTTTTTTAAAGTATTTACCCCTTTTTCAGATAATTTAACAAGGTTTTGATAAGTTATAGATCGCTTATCGCCTAAAACGGAGGTGTATCTGAGTGGCACCAAATTGTTTCGGCGAACATTTTGATGAATGATGAAATGTTTGGGGCATTCTTTTGATATAGTAAATTAAGAGAGAGAGAGTGAGAGAGATAAAATGAAATACTTGAATATTTTTCTTTTCAAAAAAGAAAAAAAAAAAAGAATGATTTATTTACCTAAATCGATTGAAGGGGATGATTTACCCGGGGTAGTATAAGTTCCGTAAGATTTGATCATCGAATACTTTTTCTCGTTATACTTATTCAGGATTCTAAAAAGTGGGGAGTCCTTCTCCTGAGACAATTTTACTTTGCGCGGTGTTTCCGCCGGAGTTGTTGAACTTCCTGTTGTGCTAATTATCGCAGTTTTTTGCCTGTTGAGGCCTTGATCGTTAACATCGTAGGAAGTTGAAGGGCGATAATTGGATCGTGGTTGCTGGATTTTTATGGCAAAATCTTTCTTAGACTCAACCTTATTGTAATACATGCCCTGTGATCGGAGAGCATCCTCATTTCTCTCGTTATCACGCGACTCAAGTTCCTTAATATTTTCTTGGCCCACTAAGTATTCTACCGGGGAAGATGTTATCCGTATAATTCTGTTGTAAGGAACGCGAAATGGAGTTGTTCCGTTATTATTCCCATGATGACCGTATATACCCTGGGAACTCGAACGCGTATTAAATTTGACAGACTGAGTGTGAGTTAAGATCGAATTTTTTTCGATAATATTCTTTTTAAAAAATTATATAAAATATAATTTAAAAAAAAAATTAATATATATATTAAAATAAAATTTAAGAACCATATTTAAAAAACAGAAGACTGTTAAAAAAAGGATATAAGATCCTTATTGATTTTTAAATTTTTTTTTTTACCTATGAATGAAATAAAAATCTGGAAGGTCGTGAATCGTGATACTCTTTGATTTTTTGAACTTTCAGCTGTTATAATAGGGACAATGTTTGGATTAGAGAAGAACTAGGAAAATAGAGGTGAAATTCTAAAAAAGATGTTTTCCTCTAAACCAAGAAATATTTGCAAGGCTTCCTGGACTTTTGCCATTAGACAAGAATAATTGAACAGGTTCAAGCAGATGTACAGTTAGTCTTGGTGATTTTCAAATTGCCTCTGTGATGGCTGAATGGCCTATTAGAATTCAAGCAAACTATATTATATCTATCTTTAAGTCGAACTCTTTACTAAACCTTTTATCTATGAATATGAGGTAGACATGTGCCGAAGTCTAATCTATATCCGATTGTCACCCTCAATTCCTCACCTGATAGCAATATTCCAAGATTGGCTTACTATTTAAAGGGGATTCTAATAAAGAGATTAACACCCAATATCTGCTAGACTATTTAAAGAGATTCTTTCAATAAGGAGATTGACACCTGACTCATAACTTTAACAATATTAAATCCTTAGATAAGCTTTCGTCGTCAGTATCAAAAGTTAAGTTTTAAATTATATTTAGACCTAATTTTAGAAGCAATCTCAAGAATAACTAGTCAAAAGAGCAAGTAGTCTAAATGACTATCTTTTTAAGTGCCCTTCTCCAAATTCAGAATCTTATTTCTAACCATAATAATTTATATAATTGGAATAGTCAGGGAATCTTTCAAAGAATTTCTTTCGAGAAGAAGGCGAGTTTTATATAAAAATAAAACATTATAGTATCTTTTAAGTCAATTTTGTATAGTATAACTAAATTTGGAGAATTTAGTTACAATTCATTCATGATTTCTTCAAATATTTTTTATTTCTCTTCTTCTTTTTTTTAGCAAAAATAAGAAGATATTAAGCCATAATATTTTATTTGAGAATATTAATTTAAAAAAAATATATTAGCACATCAAAATTACTTGTTTCACAAAAAAAAAATTACCTTCAGTTTTGTTTGAGTCTTCGATTTAATCCTCCGATTTTCTTTTATGGAACTGTTATAAGTACTGTTAAGATTATTCTTGGGAGCGTTGTATAATATGAATGGCGAAACAGCTGTTCGTTTTTTTGTTTTAACAAAATCAATATTAAAATTATTTTACATAGGATACTTTTATTTATAAAACGATCAAAATGGCTATAAAATTTTGTTCGACAAACACCAAAAAATTGTATTACCTACGCATTCATATCCGGAAGCCTTTCTTTTCAAACCTTTGGTGTGGCACTTGCAATACTCCACGAATATACTGCTAGGGTAACATCTAGAGATTTCATCGCAAGTAGCGTTAGTTAAAAACAAATTCGAACATTGGGCACCCCTATTCGTCTCATTATTTTCGTGGTTATTTTTTCTCCTATCGGTTATAAAAGAAGATTTAAATTCTAGGCTCACCACGTGCTCTCCCACAGGCTTCGAGTAATGAATCAAGGAATCTTTCTTATCCTGATAAGTTTCCAAGAAGGCTTGCCCTTTCTTTTTGGATGTTTTCTGCTTGGAAATTATTTTACCGAAATTTTGATCTGCATTGTGGTTAAACCTGGACTCTTTTTTCACGGGTTCAGCTTTGATAACAACTAATTTAGTCAGCAGCGCGTTTTCTCGGTCTTCGCTGGAATGGGTAGCCGATATAATGGGCACAGTTTCCGCTTTAAAATCTTGCTGAAACCCGGTGAATTCGTAATTATTCAGGTCATTTTTGTCATCGTGTTGCTCGCTGGATATGGATAAGAATAAATCTGAATTAGAATCTTCGTCGTGGTTATTTTGAGCTTTATATTCTTTCCTGACTGTAGGAGGAATTGTTATAGAGACCTTGAAACTTTTTAAGGGCGTTATAATGACTCTGGTCTTGTTAGTCTGCTGATTCGAATCTCGGTAGTAGATGCTGGCATGTCTATCGTCCTTAACTCGGTTCAGTTCCAACCAGGACGAAGATCTATTGAATATATCCCCGTGATTGGATATCCAATCATCCTTTTCCTCGTACTTTGACGATATAACTGGTTTAATTGGTGGAGTCAAACTGCTTACCCGAGGTTTGCTAAAATTGAATCGATATTCTCTATAAAAAGTACGCGTGTCGTCATTCTCATTACCGCTTAAAGATTTCGCGTCGAGTTTATCGAAATGCCTTTCCACATTTTTTTCGACAATAGTAGTTTCTCTGTTTTTGTTGATGATATGTTTTACTTTGTTCTCCCTATTTTTATCGATTATGTAGTATTCATCGTAACTCCCCACATTGTTAACCTTGTCCTTCTCGACATCCTTCTCATAATTTCCTAGCACGTAGGTGACAGTTACCGCTCTGCTTGTTGGTTTAGTGTTCTTTTTGAATAATGATATATCCGAGCTGGCGGCTGTTCTGAGGTTGGGAAAAACTTTGGGGGTGACTTTGTTTTGGATTATATATATGGAAGCTATGGGTATCGCTTGTGTCGTTGATTTAACATCTTTAGTATTCCTATCGAAAATTGGTCTTTCCAATTTCGATGTAGCACCTAATAGCGAAAAAAAAAATATATCGACTATTATCAATAGTATTTTATAACAATAAGAAATGTGTATATACACGATTTTTATGCAGTTTAAATTAATTCAAAATAAACCAAAAAATATATCAAACTACAATTGAATATCCCAAGATTTGATTACTACTAAAAATTTTACAATTTGTAAATCATGATTACAATCGCATTAAGATTCTCTTGATGATATTTGTTTGTTTCCTACATTGTCAATTATCATGTTTCGCGTGGCGTCCAATTGATCTTAAAAAAAATCTCTATTTCTACCTTAATATTTTTTTTTCTTCTTCTAATGTTATATTTAATTATTTAATTATATGGTTAACGGTTACTATTTTAGGTAGTGGCGTTAGGGAGGGGTATACATAGGGGCTTGAACCACATTAAAAACTTTAGAGAACCATCTAAACAAATTTTAAAATTTTTTTTTAGTTTAGTTAGGTATCTTTTATCTTTTTGTTATTTGTAAGTCCTTTCAAGTTAAAAAAGCTAGAAGCAGAGACCTACAGACCAGTAACAGCCAAGCTCGGCCTGGGGTTTTATTTCAGATTTTTCAAAAATTTTTCTAAGAAAAGAGGAATTGATTTTGTAAAATATTATTTAACACGAAAATTCAATAATTTTTGATGAGATAATGAAGATTTTATTTTCACTTACTCGTATAAAAATTTTTTTAGGCTTTATATATATTTTTTTTAAATAAGTCTATTTTTTACAAAGAATGTCTTACAGGTTTCTGATTATATTATACATTTTAAATCGAAGAAAATTATTCGAAAGTGAAATATTTTATATACTATATTTTAAAAAATGATCGATATTTACATTGATCTCGGCATTCCTTCCAATCCTTAAAGTTGTTTAAATTTCCACCACAACCCGTGTAGACGAAATTTCGACACCCAGAGATACTGGAATCGTAGTAGAATCTTATTTGTTTCTCCGAACATAGGCCGGGATCAGGGGCTAGTTCACACCTTAATCATGTATATTTAATGAAAATTATTTGTAATGAGATAATAGTTATTATTATACATAACTATTAAGATATTTTTTTCTTCATTCATTTTCACCATATTAGGTTACATATATATTTGGCAAGCTTATAATATAGTAGAAGTAAAAACATCTAAAAAATACGCAAATTTACAAATTTGTATTTTTCTAAAATATCTGAATTGAAAAACTTTTAGTTTAAAAAAAGAGTCATTATTTTCTAAATTTTTATATCTTATAATAAATATTTTATTGTACCTTTTGTCAAGTATATATACTAGAAAGTATAAAATATTACATATTAAGGATCATTGTATGTGGTTCGATTTTTAAAAGTTCTATCTCAGTAATGTAATACTGAGTCGAGTGAATCTCTTAATTTGTATTATTTTTTTTTTAAAAATATATGAATTTCTCACGGCGGAATGTAAAACATGCAGGTAGATTGACATTGCGTTATGCTCAGAAAGCTATTTAGATTTCCGTTGCAGCCACTATAATTGAAATCTTTGCAGCGCTTAGTCGTGTAATCGAAGTACCAGCGTGTAAGATTAGCGTTGCATGTACCCCTACTGGACTTTATTAAGCACATTTTTTGAGCTGTTGTTAAAATTTTAAAAAAGATATATATGTGTTACTAACAAAAAAAAAGCTTCTAAAAATTCTCAAAATTTTGAAATTTTTTTTTTTTTCCTTTAATTTTCACAATTATCGTTATTGCTAAATTAATTGTGGATGGCATTGTATAATTAGTTTAAATACCCAAGTTAGGTATTGGCACGGGATTTATGTACAGTTTGGTGTTAGCCAATTGGTAATTTCTTTTGGCGATTAATTTGGAAAGCATGAATTTGGTTTCCAAGTCTGATACCTTAAAAGGAAAGAGGGATTATAATTCATCAATTATATTTAAATATTTAATTTAATAACAATTTCTTTTTTTTTTAAAATAAATTAGAAAAAATAAATGAAATGTGAAATACTATTTCCTTTAATTGTAAAGAGGATAAGGTGCAGGCAGGGGCTGCACTTGCCTTTATAATCTCAGCAGGGGGCTCAAAGAGAAGGTTTTTTAAAATTATTTTTAAAATTATTTACTTTATTTTTTTAAGTTAACATTATCCTAAATCAACTTCTTTTTTTCTTAGTGGTATATAAAAAAAAAATTTCAAATTTTTAGCGGGCTCGAGCCCCTGCGCGCTTTCCCTAGTGAGTGATGCTACTGATACATTGAGTGACATCTCCAAATTAGTCAAAAACACAATCCAACGACCTTGTCAAAAATTCGAAAATAAGTGCAATTTATAATAATTTAAAAAAAAACATATTTTGAGATGAAAAAAAAGTTTGAAACATTTACTCCTACAAACAAATCAAATTCTTGAAATATTTTTTAACTATTTTATTTACCTTGAAAATAGGTATAAAATTTAGGGTAAAATTGACTATGACGCCTAAATTGATTGAACCCTCTTTTATGGTAGGAGATATAGAATTTATTCCTATGCTAGCCAGATATTTTCCCATATCGTTATCCTTCAAAACTCCTTTGATCTGGTTGGGTAGCGTTATTTGTGTTGTATTTAGGTAGATTGTATTTTTTTTTGTTGAGGATATATAAAAAACATGATGAGTAATAATTGGAAAACGAATATATATAAATAATTAAAATGTTTTCAATCGACTAAACCCATCGCTGAAAGAAAGAAAGAAAGAAAGAAAGAAAGAAAGAAAGAAAGAAAGAAAGAAAGAAAGAAAGAAAGAAAGAAAGAAAGAAAGAAAGAAAGAAAGAAAGAAAGAAAGAAAGAAAGAAATAATGTTCTGAAACGGATTCGTTGAAAAATGTTCTAAAACGAGTCGAATTGGATTGGTGGAAATTAATTTGTAAATTATTTCTTGGGCCCGTACCTAAAAAAGATAGGTACGACGCAGAGCTCTATCCCAAATTATTAATTTACTAATAGAAGAATTTGTCTAGAATTAAGATCGATAAGTAGTCCTAAAGAAGAGGATTAGAAGAAATATGAAGAATAGGAAAATACGATGATATGACTAATGGCATCATAATATTTAATTTATATTGTTCATAAACCAAAAAATTATATTCTTTAAACAAATATATCTTATCTTTTTTTATACCCCTTTAATGAAATTTTCTTCAAAATTTTGGTATCCCAAAGTACTCTTGTTGGTAAAATATTCGCCGTATAGTATAGGTTTATTATCGTATTTCAGCACTGAGATTAACACTATGAATGAAATGGTACCTTTAAATAAAAAAAATACTATGATATAAAGTCAATCAATCAACAAATAAATATTTTTTATAAAAATATGAATAATACATATATATATAATGTATACTAAAGGTGTGGCAAGTCTAAGATTTTTAGCAAATTTTTTAAGCTTAAATTATTTATAGAAGGGTATTTTTTTAATTTTGAAAGACCTTATTTTGCCGAAAGCATTACAGCGTTTATAGAGTACCTATCCAGTGAACATCATGCATCTCTTTTGCTTTATGATCTAAATTTAAAATTTACCAATTACCAGGGTCAATAAAGCGTAATCCTTAACATGCTAAACACCTATGGCACAGACTTATACACCCCCGCTAAACTAATGACGATTTTGCTCACAATTTTTACTCCCTACTCCCAAATTTTCCCAGACTCTATCCTGTCCAATCAAAATTCGTTTAGAAAAAGATCGTAACTAACACCCCCCCCCCCCACCCTCGTAAGAGTAAAAGTTCTTGTTATGATATATACAAGTAAAAAAATATTATTTTCAACCTATATTGTCGTGGGTCAAAGACTCGGGCCTTATTTTGAGCTGTATTCCCCCCTTATCACTATCCTCCGAAGGCAAAGTGTAGTTGGATCTCAAAATTTCTGTCAATATGTTCGTGCTCACTTCATCCGCCGAGCTTTGATTTAAGGCTTGAGTTATGTAAACCGTGAAATTGACTACGAAAGAGGACGCTAGGTGTTGGGTAGGTCGGAGAAACAATACCGAATTGACATCTACGCCACTGTAAAAGCCGTTGATTAAAGGTCTTTTAACAAAGATCTCTTTTATCTGTAAATACCGAAATAACACTTATAAATATTTTTTTTTAAGTAATAGCGATGAGGTTTTTATCCTTTTTTTTTATCATAAGAAATATTCAACCTCTCTATAAATTGTAAACACAAAATTTATAAGTTAATTAAAGACAAACAACATCATACCCATAATCTTTAAATTTAATAACTAGATCTAATTTATTTAAAGTTAGTTTTTATTGGGTGGAGATGAGGTTTACCGCAGATTCTAAACTTTTGGCAAATTTCTTTTTAATCTCATTTTGACTGTGAAAATCGTTCTCCGAGTTTTGAAGTTCATTTAGTGATGAGACATCTAATTCCAAAGCGTAGGAGTATCCATAGCTTAGATGGGCTTATTATTTGTTATAATGAAAAAACAAATTATTATTATTATATTTACAATTATTTATATCAATTGTTAAAAAGAAAAACCTACAAACTTACAATTTAAAATTTATATTATATTCATGCAATATTTTTTAGCGATGCATCGTATACCAAAAATGTTTATCTTCGATTATCCATATTTTAACAAATTTTTTGAGATTTCCTAGTTAATTAGCCCCTATCTTATTATATGGAAAAACCTTTTGGACAAGTTTTTGGGCAAATTTCTTAATTTTAAACAATAAATGATACCCTATACTGTTAGTATATAGTATTATAATACTTTTCATGAAAGAAGAAGTGGCTTGTGTTGACGTTAGTGTTTGTGTTTGATAATGGGTTAGGAGACTTTGATAAATCACGTCTTTTAAGAGTGAGTTTATGGATTCGATGACATCCGCCGGAGCTCCCCGTTTGAAATAGAGGGAAAGTTTAAAATATTTATCCTCTTGAACTAAAGAATGCAAAGAATTCACATTGCTAACCGTGTCATTTATTTTTACTGGGATCGTGAAAGCCAGGTAATGCGACGAGACATTTGACCTTTTAAATGCGGCATCCAGCTAAATACCATTTATATAAGTTTTAGATATTATTATGTATCTAATTTTCCATTCATTCTTATTAGATCAATTATTCTAGTAAAGAACAAAAAAAAATTTATATATGATTTAAATAACACACCATTGCTATTTATAGGTTATTTATAATTAATTTTGTTAATAATATTCAGAATTTATAATAATAATAATAATAATAATAATAATAATAAGAAGAAGAAGAAGAAGAAGAATACCTTTCTTTTAAAATTCTCTAAATTTTCTGGTCCCGTAAAAATTTGAAGATTTTCAAAGGATAAGTCGCTGACCTTTATCTCGTATAGAGCATAGTCGATCCCACCTAGTTAAATTATTTTATTGTTTTTAAAAAAAAAAAATAATACTTCTTTAATATTAATTGATTTTTGTAATTAAAAAAAATCATGCCCTTCTATATTTTTCAATCATTTCTTCTTTACTATATATGGGTGATAGCTTTTGTTTTTAGATATTTTACCCAAAAATAAACTGTTTTGAATACAAGTATAAACCTTGAAGAAAGCAGAAATAAATTAAATCGTTCCTCAATGTTTAGTAGATTTTCTTAGGCGGCATAAGCATTTAGATTGGGCCTATGTTTTTATTTTTAAACGGCCTGCTCGATTAAGATTTTAACCAAAATAATATAATCAAATCCTCGAGATATGGCAAGTAGAGGTTCAAACCTCTGCCACATATGAGCGAATTCTCCAGGCTTACATAATATTATTTTAGCTAATATCTTAAACTAATTGACTCAAATCGAGCTTAACAACACTAATTGAGCCGTACTGGCCGATTTTTAGCTATCACTCAAACTATAATACCTCTTTACTGATGGAAACAGCGTTTAAAATTTATCAATCCAAAAAAAAAGCATTAACTGTATAAATAATATCTCTCTAAAATTCTAGCATTAAGCTCTACAGTCTTCTAAAATAAAAAAATACTTTTAGTCAAATATTCCACCATATCCTTATCGCTAGAAGAATAGAGATCCATCAAATTTTTGAGGTCAATTTTTTTTACGTTCCCGTGTTCTATTTCCGGTTGGGATTTAATTCGCTTTATCGGTGGTGAAACATAAAATTGAGTCGAGGGAAGCTTGTAATCGTTTTCTATTATTACTCTTGATAGCGATTTCGCTATATCCCTAGTTGAACCCTTGTAAACGCGGGATAGGACCAAGGTAAAATTTAACCCTAGACCCATATTTTTCCACCTAGAATCAATAATCACGGGATTTATTATTCCATTGAAGCGAGAGTTCAGGAAATATTTACTAAGATCAGAACTGTTGACGCTGGCATCGAACTGTACAATTAGAATAAATTATTTGATATAAGGCGAACATATATTTATTTATTTAAATAATTTTGAGCAAAATGCTCCTTTTAAGAAAACACCTCTAATTTAATAAAAAATTAATTAAATCTTTACACGTCACACCATGTAGTGATGCAAAATAGCTCTATTTGAGCCGATTTGTAAAAAGGCTAACTCAAATATTTTAGCCAGAGAATTATTGCCTAAAGCCTGGAGATTTCGCTAAAATATTTCAAAACCTTTGTGCCATTTATGAGCAAAGTCCTCAGACCGTTTCTCAAATGGAGAAATTTTGCATCACTTGCCTCATGTATAGTGGTAACAAGGATAATAGCGCAACATCTCATCACTTAATCATTATCGCGCTTAAACTAGACAAGAGGCCTAAATGTCAAAAGCTAACGATTAGGCCATTACTCTAATATCTTTAGTAAAAAATAATAATAATATTCCATTTTAAAATACCGCTTTTTTGCTGGCCGATAGTAACTGAGACATTATTTGGTCCTTATCGACTGTGTTTCGCAGATCCTCATAATGCAATACATTTTCGCCGTAACGAATTACCCGAATAACGATAAAATAATAGAAGGAAGCTAAATTTTTTTTAAAAAATATATATATATTTGATATTAATTTAGTGTTGTTTTGAACTGCTTAAATTTTGGCCTATTTTTACATAGGGAACTCAATATTTTACCCCGAAAAATATAGGCTAAAGCCTCGAAATTTCGCTAATAGCCCAAACTCCGTATAGAATATTGAGTCAGCCGATTAAGAATCGTCTCAAATCGAGTCATTTATCTCAATTTCTTATTTAAATTACACAGTTCTAATTTTCCTTTCTTTAGATTGTATATAAAGCTCCTTCCCTTCATCTAAAGAAAAATATCTCTCAGATTTATAAAGTAGTTATCGTTAATTTAGTTACGTATGCAAGGGCCAGAGGTGATATCTTCGTAAGTCCTAGAAAACCCATGCCGACATAAGCACACCGGCTTTCCTTTAATGAGTTTGCAAAGTTCCTTATTCACGGCGCACGTCAATGATTCTTCGTAGGAACAGGCTAAGCCGTGGGAATCCAAATTTCTTATAGAATTTTAAAAAAAATTATGATATAAATAAAGAAAATTTTGAAATGCAGAATCTTTAAATTGAAATTTATTTTAAAGTTTGATTGTAAATAGTAAATTTTTTTTTCTTCCAGGGTGTACTTAAATCATTGATTAAAATATTTAAAAATCGGATTTTTTTTTAAATTTAAATCCTATTTTTATTAAAAAAATGATTTAATTATTTTATGTGATATCTTAATTAAAATCACAAGATCCTTGATGTATTGCAAAAAAATCAAAGAATGAACATATCAGATTGCGTCGAACAATGAGTGGCAGATTAATAATTAAATAAATCGGAGACTTTAATAAATGTTTTTGCATTCCATATTAAAGAAAGTCCTTATAGTGGAGATCTTAAAATAAAATTTTTGTTGGTGATTATACGGAAAATAACCATATTCTTGAATCTCTCTTCAGTGTAGCATCTTTCATAATCCAATCCAAATTTGATAACAAACTTTGACTAAAAAATTCTGGAAAATTAGTTTTTAATTTCAAATATTTCAATGATAAAATATTATTACATTTAATTTTGCAATTGTTGAAATTTCACATTCAAAAAGAAAAATTTGATTGTTTTTTGTTAATTTTACAAGTATAAAATCAAATGAATTGATATAAAAAATTCAATACTATAATAATTTTCGCTTATTAAACCTAAAATAATGTTCAAGAATTTGTAGTAAAACATCAAGTGATTTGTAAATGATGAATTTTGATAACTATTGTGCTGGCATAATTTAAAAAAACTGATTTAAATCAATGATTTTTTTTTCACACCCTGATTTTTTTTAGGTAGTGATGTAGAAGCTCCGCCCGATTAAAAAAAAATTAGCACCGAGCCTACAAATTGTGAAAAATATTTTTCGCATCCGACCTCAAGTCTGAGGACTCTGGAACTGTATTATTTGGTTATATCAAAGAACGTTAACCCTGCATTCACAATTTCACGTGAATTCGCAAAAAATTACTTTTGTATACTTCACCGCGTGCTAACAGTGAATTCAGGGTAACCCCTCATTTACATTTAGCGCAAATTAGCGGCGGAGAATGCAAAAATACAGCTAATTTTATACAATTGGTAGCGTACTAGCGCTAACTAAGAATGAGGGGTAAGAATAGAAATTAGAATACCTAAGCGCATGTATTATATTTTAAAACTTATATGTAGGATGAAAAGGAGATAAAAAATCTCATATTTAAAATTTATTTTATATTATGTTAATGAGGAACAGATGTTTATCATGTTTAAAATTAAAGTGTTGTGGGGTGAATAAAGCTAAATTAAAAATTAAAAATTACATTTCATATGTTTCACTGGCCACTACATTGACGGAGGAATCCTCTTTAATCACTTGTTCCATACTATGTTTTATTTTTTAAATTAACACATAATCTTTATGTATATTTAATGAAACTTAAACTGACAGTTCAATTTATTGAAATGCATTTAGAAATTGTGGAGTCTACCAATGAAATTTATTAAAATAAAATGCCTATCAATGGCGTCTACTACAGCCAATGATATTGATTACAGCCAGGGCTGGACAGTCGATTAATTGTATTTAAAATACTGAACAATAAATACTTTTTTTTGAATTTGTATTTAGTTGAATATTTTAGAAAATATTTAGTATTTGTTGTAAAACGGTGATATTAATTATATTTTCAATTATTACGTAAAATTAAATATATTATTTATTTAAATGATTATTTAAGTTTTAAAAAAATTAATAGTGGTGATACTAAAGGCAAAAAGATTAGTCAAAGTATTTATTTGTGCAAATACCTTTCCTCAAAGCATTTGTATTTAAATACTTTTTTTGGAAATTATTTGTATGATTTTATATTTATATAAATCAGGGTTGACAAGTCGGTCATTTAGCCAGTCAAATTTGGTCAATTGACCCAAAGTGTATTTACGATCAAATATTCTAAGATATCATTGGTGAATAAATAAATTGATATTATTAAACTAATTTGCATTTAAAGCATCTGATAATAATTTAGAATTTTTTTTTTTACTTAATAAAAAAAAGTTGGACTAGGGTTAATAAGTAATTTTTTTTTTAATTATAACTATACTTTATTTAAAATTTCTATTCATATTTAAAACATCAATATTAAAACATAATTTGATTTATATTTAAGTACTTTTTTTTGAGTTTGTATTTATATTGAAATACTTTTCATTGAGTATTTATATTTAATTCAAATAAAATATATTTTTTGAGTATTTCTATTTATTTTTGAATAAATTTTTTTGAAAATTTGCCTGCTCAACCCTGATTAGCTGACTTCGATGTATGTACACCTTTAATAAATTGTCAGTCTAGGTCTGAATTTAATGACATTTAATTATAACATAAAAATAGACAAAATATGAGAAATTGTTCATATCATATTTTCATCATTTCTCAAATTTCTCCATATTATTTTTCTAAATTTAAAATTGGCCGAGTAATAAATTCAGAGGCCTGCAGACTCAACCCTAAACCCAGCTCGGGTACACAGGCCGGAATGTATTTTTTTTTAAAAAACATACCCTGGTTGAACCTAAGAAAATCTTTTGTAAAAACCCGGACGGGGCCTGGCCGAATATTTTAAAGCTGAACATTTAAAATCGCCATTATTATCAAAAATTTTGTATCATGGAGCAATATATTAACAACATTCATTAACTCATCATATTTCCTATTTCCATTTTTTTCGATACTTTAGAAAATATTTCGAGTAAAATATTATCCAAATTAATTATCATTTTAGGTGATATTCATTCAATCAAAATTAAAAGTAAACAAAGATACATAAACTCAAGATTTAATATAATAATACAACTTATTAAAGGGAATAATTTATTTTAGATAAAAATATTTTATCCATATTTTTCACCGTCCCAAATTCAGGCAAATACGTATGTTGCCAGGAGAGAGAGCGCAAAATGAGAGACACTTATTTAAGAGATTATATTAAATTACAAGAGGAACAGGAAATAAGGGAATTAAAATCGCCAGTCAATGTGGTAATACAAACCCATTTCTTTTATGGCGAAATGGAAATTTGAAAAGTTATTATATAAGGATTTCATATTCTATTTTAATTTTTTGTTTTAAACCAAGACCGTAAAAAAAAAATTTACACAACCCAGACCGAACATTATTTTTCGAAGAAATCCTGATTTTTTTTAAAAAAAACCCCGAACCGGGCCCAAAATTTTATTTTATAATCGGGCCGGAACGGGTCGAGCCGTAGTACCTCTGCAGGTCTCTGTAAAATAAAATATAATGTAAATGAACTCACCCGGCCAAAAAAAATAAAAATAAATTAGTAAAATTTTAATATATATAAATACTCTTTAAATGGGGCAATATTTGCTCGGTTATTGCTATTGTCCAGCCTAAATTTTAACAGCCTCATCCGCGATATCAGACTCGATATCATCTCCTGGAAACTTCCTATAAAATGAAATGATAAATTTAAAAGAAAATATTCATTTGGGGAGGGAATTTTAAAACGTGTCAGATATTTATTCATAATATTATAATCTAAAAATTTAGTATGTATATTTATATATCGGTATCGCGTCATTACAGAGAAAACAATTATAGAGAAACTTTTACAGAGAAAACAACTTTAGAGAATGTCGATTATAGAGAAATATTTTATAGATAATTATTTTATAGAGAATGTATTTTACATAGAATTTTTTACAGAGAAAATAATTATAGAGAATGTCATTTATAGAGAATGTCGTATATAGAGAATGATTTTACAGAGAATTATTTTATTAAGAATGATTTTATAGAGAATAATTTTATAGAGAATGATTTTATAGAAAATGATTTTTTAGAGAATATATTTATAGAGAATGATTTTACAGAAAATGATTTTATAGAGAATTATTTTATAAAGAATGTATTTTATAGAGAATTATTTTATAAAGAATGTATTTTATAGAGAATTATTTTATAAAGAATTTTACTTAAAGATATGATTATTTTATAAAAAAAATGTTATATTTAGTCATAGGAAAAAAAGTTACAGTTATTTTACATAATTTTAAATATTAGAATTACCTTATATAAGCGAGGTTTTTCGATTATTAGATGAATTAATGGTAGAATAAAACTTTGACATGATTCGTAAGGAATTTTACGAAATTTATTTTTAAAGGTAAATACAAAATAAAATAGATAGTGTGTTGTTAAAAGTTACTTTGGCAATGTAATGCAACTTAAGTTAGTAGTTAAATTTGAGAAAATATAACAAGTTACATTTAATAGTTTTCTTTTTTTAAATATAACTAGCCACTAGTTACAATTATTTTTAGTGGCTAGTAGATTCAGGGCTAGCCGGTCGATTAAATTACGTTAAATCGAATATATTTATATTAATATAAATTCATTGGCTAAGATTTCAAATCATATTAATATAAATTCATTGGCAATGTTAAAAAAATTTACAAATTTAAATTTATTATTTAATTATATTTATTGAAATATATATATAAATTAAGTAACCAGTTACTTTTGCGTGGATGTCTGTTTCATATGTCTCAATGCATATGGCGCACAGTTCAAAAAAATCTAATTTGCAATGCATACAAAACCGAAACAAATTTTGCTTTGTATGTAAAAATGTTAATGTCACTGGCATATGTACCAATTGAGGATGTAATTCATGGATAGAGTCTCTAAATTTTATCAAGAAAATAGGGATATTCTCTCCCCCTTGATAGAATACTTTGAAGAGACGTGAATTGGAAAAATGATAGCGATGAAGAGGAAGTCGCCAATATTTAGCATTTCTCTATAAAATTGCTATGAATCGACACTATTTTGTGAACCGAATACAAATAATTCAGTAGAGGACTAACTTAGAAATTTTTCGTCTCATATATGTTCCCATCATCCAAAGATCTGGAAATTTATAAAGAGTTAGTAATTATATTATAATATAAATTTTAGAATTTTAATTTTTAGCTCTCAAAAACGAAGATAGCCTGAATTGTTACAAAACAATATTCTTTATAACTATTGGCTCCGGTGTCAAAGAAAGAATATCGCGAAAGAACCAAAAGGATTTTTCCAATTGTTGAAGATTTTTATTCAAAAACCATGCTGGATTATTTAAGGGCTTTATCCCATAATTTAAATTTAAATGTTTAATTTAATCAAATAATTGTATTTTTTATATTGGTATATTATTTATAATGTTTATTTGGATTTTTTATGAATAAAAATTTATTTGATATTTCGAAATGAATATAGCTAAGCTCAGTATATTATCAAGGGTTATCTTATAAAAACTTCATATACAAATAGTATTAAACATATTCTTTAAGTCACATTGCCAAAGTAACTTTTAACAATACTATATATTTTATTTTGTATTCTTATCTTTAAAAATAAATTTCGTAAAATTCCTTAAAAATCATGTCAAAATTTGTTTATTACATAGTGACAAATAACTTTTAACTTAAGAATGGATTATCGGTGTGTCCCATCTATAATTGAAAATTTTAAGGAAGAATAATAATATAAAGAACTAAATAAATTTTGCTGAAGATAAAAAAAGCTTATAAATGAAAATCTCTACATTAGTTTTGTCAAATTGTGGTTACCATTAACTAGCTACACTTTAGCTAAAAAATATTCATAACTAGTTACATTTACAAAATCTAACTGTAGCTACATTTTTTAGAAAGTAACTGCCAAAAGTAACTAGTTGCTTAATTAAAATAAATATAATTAAATATATATTTAAATTTGTAGAAAAATTTTATATTCTTTTACTATATGATTTTCCTTATAAATCATGTCAAAATTTTGTTCTACCATTATTTCATCTAATAATCGAAAAGCCTTGTGCAAAAATTTTCTCTACCGATTGTAATAATTCAAAAACTACCCAATTATTCTCTTATATAAGGTAAGTCTAATATATAATATTATGTCAAATACTGTAATTTTTTTTCCTATGACTATATATAACATTTTTTATAAAATATTCATATTCGTAAATAAAATTCTTTATAAAATAATTCTCTATAAAATATTATTCTTTATAAAATAATGCTATAAAATACATTCATTATAAAATAATTCTCTATAAATAATTCCCTATAAAATACATTCTTAATAAAATAATTCTATATAATACATTCATTATAAAATAATTCTCTATAAAATACATTCTCTATAAAATCATTCTCTATAAAATCATTCTCTATAAAATACATTCTCTATAAAATCATTCTCTATAAAATCATTCTCTATAAAATCATTCTCTATAAAATCATTCTCTATAAAATCATTCTCTATAAAATCATTCTCTGTAAAATCATTCTCTGTAAAATCATTCTCTGTAAAATCATTCTCGTAAAATCATTCATAAAATTATTTTCTATAAACGACATTCTCTATAATTGTTTTCTCTATAAGTGCATTCTCTATTTTTGTTTTCTCTATAAAAGTTTCTATAAAATACATTCTCTGTAATGGTTTCTCTGTAATGACGTGGAACCATATATATCTATGTTTTTCTTTTATTCATAAAATAAATCATATAATATTTTTAAATTATATCTTTCATTATTTTCATCAGAAGCGTCATTGAGGAGTGGGGGGAGAAGGGATAAGGGCTTGAGCCCCCCTTAAAAATTTGAATTCTTCCTTTATATACCAATATTAAAAAGAAGCTAATTTTAAATAATGTTAGCTAAAAAAAAATTATGTAATTTCGATATGTCTAAATACAGCATTGCTAAAAAGTAATTAAAATTTTATTATATAATTGTCGCAGTTGCGAGTATACAAATTAAATAATATTGATTAAAAAATAGATGGTATGAAATGTCATGTTTAATAAATAAGATATGAATAAAATTAAAAATATATTTTTAATTTTTGGGCTTCTCTAGAGAAGCCGCCAACAGAGTTATCAAGTTCTTGATCTAGGATCCCCGATTTTTTTATCAGCCTTTTCATTAAAACACTCTTATTTTAATTACTTCTAAATCCTAAATTTTAGTGTTAACTATTTTTAAATAGTTAAAATTATATTACATAAAGTACCCCACTTAACTCTAAATATCCTAAACTTTGACTTGAAAAATTATTTTGTAAAATGTTTATTTTTAATTTTTAAACTTAAAATATATTAAACAGCAATACATAAAGAAAAATTTAGATAAGGTCAAAAGCGTAATAAGGATTTTTGTAGGATAATTTTTTTTTATAGGAATTAGTAATATTTTTAAAAATAATTATAAAGTTTGGTAAATAATTTAAGAATGAATTTATCAAAGATAAATCTATGAAAATGTCGGATTTTCCTAGGAGATTGGGAATTAGCGACTGTAATATTGGTATAATTAATTAGGCCCAGTTAATGGTATAAAAGATATGTAAGTATATAAAGGATATTATATATGTTTTACACGAATTTTTGCGGAGAATTGAATATATTTTTGATTGTTACGTAGTTAACATTAAAAAAAAAAATTTTTTGAATGAATTTAACCCTATTGCAAAGGGGAAAATTGAATTCTTTAATTAACTCTAGAAAAGAGGATTGAATATTTTTAATCTTTCCATTAACATTAAAAATGAATTTTGGAATGAATTTTCACCTTATTGTAAAGGGGAAAATTGAATATATTTTTATTGTTATGTAGTTAACATTAAAAAAAATAATTGTTGAATGAATTTAATCCTATTTTAATGGGGAAAATTGAATATATTTTTAATTGTTACGTAGTTAACATTAAAAGAAATAATTGTTGAATAAATTTTAACCCTATTTTAAAGGGGAAAATTTATATTTAATTGTAGTTAACATTAAAGGAAATATTGTTTTGAACGGATTTTACTATATTTTATAGAGACAAATTGAATATATTTTTACGGTTGCTGAGATAAAATTAAGAATCGTATTGAAATGAAAGAAAAATTGAGTATTAACGAAATTAAGAATTTTATCTATAGAACTTTATTAAATAAAGATTGATGAATTGTTTTGAAAAGATATTGTTAATTTTAATAGATATATAAATGCTTCATAGATTTTATGCATATATTGGTATAAATTCAGATCTCTATTTTGCCTAATTTAGTTCATATTGTTATAGATTTATCGAGATATGGTAAGTGAAATTCATCATCTAATTTATAGAGACAAAAAAGTAATAAAGTTGGCTTGATTAAATGCGAACCGATGAATATGTAATAACATGTAGAGTTTTAAAAATTTATTAGCTATTTTTTTATTGATTGAATATTTCTAAAATTATTGGTTCATTGTTGAAAACATGGAATTAAATCCGCCCTCCCCCTTTCATAACTACCAAAAGTTTGTTGTGTGTCGACATATTTAAAGTAAAGATAGGAGTGGTGGAAATGGAAATTGTTTAATTTTATCAATTTTTTATATACATTTTATTTAACTTGTAAAAATTGATAAGAACATACAGTGTTGTGATGATTTAATGAAACATATTGACGATTTAATTTAAACACATGCATATATAATTATAATCTTTACAAATGTACAACAAAAGAAATAATAAAAGAAATTTCAATAATTGCTTTGTCTATATTTTAATTATTTTTGCAAATACTATCATTTTATATGAATGGGTTTAAATTTAATCGTCAATATGTTTAATTAAATCATCACACACAACAACACTGTATAAATATGTTATTGTAACAATTCTTTGCAACTCAAATAATTATATTTGCAAATTAAAAAATATGAAAATGTATATTTGGAAAATTAAAAAATATGGAAATGTTTTGCATCAAATCTGCACAACACTGTAAATCGATACTTGAATTTAAAATTTAAAAAAAAAACATTTATCTCGTAATACATTGAAACCTCATTTTTTGTATAAATATTAATACATTTGACAAGGCATTTTTTAAATAAGTTAGGGCTAAACTATTTATATATTGATGAATAGGTGACCGTTCATTTGGGACATCTTTATTTATTTTTCTTTAAAAATTTGTTTATTTTTTTTAAATTTACATTACCAGTGTACATTCATCATGAAATCATTTGTATTATGAGTACATACATTTTTGTTTTTTTAAAAAAATTTATGTTAGAAATACATAATGAGACCAAACTCATTAGCACAAATCATACATTATAAAATGAAGGGTATATAATGAATTATTGTATTTTATTTTATGGGTAATATTTTATAAATCACCTCATATTTGACATCCATAGGTCTATATACCATAAATTATAACCTATTTTATTTTTAAAATTTAACAAATATATATCCAAAAGAGGGCGTTAAATGCATTAATATGAAAATTTTCCCTTTTAGGGAAACCCGAATGATTATTGGTTTATGGCCTTTTTCTATTTGGGTGTAGATTCGTGTGTGAAACCTAAAAATTAAAAAAATGATAGGTTTTCTTGACATATAATTTTAATGAATAATAGGTTTTTGAATCGAAAATAACACTAAGGCACATAATGCTGGTATTATTTGGCGAAATATCTTGATTTTTGTTTCCAATGCTTATGTTTACGTGTAAAACATTATTATGGCCGCGGTAATTTGACCGTGCGAAGGTAGCATAATCATTTGCAATTGTTTACTAGGATGAATGGTATGACTTATTTTAAGTTATTATTGGTTATTAAAATTGAATTTAATTTTTAAGTGAAAAACCTTAAAGTTATCAGAAGGAGACCCTAGGAGCTTCTGTTATAGTTACAGTTAGTTGAGGAAACTAGGGCTAAAATTAAAACTACCCTATAAAATATTAAAATAGAGTGTATTTTAAAGAGATCCAATTTTATATTGATATTTAGAAAAAGTTACCCTAGGGTTAACAGCGTAATATAGTAAATTAGATCTTATAATTTATAGTGTTTGCGACCTCGATGTTGAATTATTTTTCATTAAGATGCAGGAAATTTAATGGATGGTCTGTTTGACCATTAAATTTATCCATGATTTGAGTTCAGATCGGCGAGAGCCAGATCAGTTCCTATCTTTTATTGTTATAGTATAAAGTTAGTACGAAAGGAACACTTTAAATTTAATTTAGGTTAGCATAATTTGTGTACTAAATTTAGGATTTAGAGGCATATATTTACCTAAAACTCTCAATATTCCTTTAATATAATATAAATTATATAGAAATTTCAACTCTGAAATACTTAGGGTACTCTAAGTATTGAGTTTGACAATCGGTGAATTCACAATATTTTTTAAAATTATTTTTTAAGATAATGTTTAACACGTACATCTTAGGAATAATGCCTAACACGTAAATAGCTATAAAGCAAACACGAAGATTTTTCCATGGATACCGCCAGTAATGCAGTATCTAGTCATTGGATCGGTTACTAGTAGGGTTAATAAACGGCTCGTTTTGAGCCTATTTTTAATAACGGCCAACTCACGATTTTAGCCAGAAAAATATTGCCTAGGCCTTAATATTTCGATAATATATGTCTAGACCTTTGTTCCTTCTAAGAATAGAATCTTCAGACTAGGGTATGAGTTAGCCGTCTTTAAAAATCGGCTCAAAACAAGCTATATAACAGCACTAGTTACGAGTGGTTATCGATCTAAATCACGATATTTAAAATATTTTTTTGTGATAATGTTTTACACGTAATTTATATTTAATTTAAACAATAATGAACTATTTTTCATTTTATATTACTAACAAATTTAGTCAATCTAATATTTAGTAAGTGTTCGATTTTGAGTTCGGCAATCGATCAAATCACAATATCTTTTAAGGAAAATGTTTTGCACTTAAATACAAGCATTGGAAACAAAAATGAAGAGATTTCGATCAATAACACCAGCAATATGTGCCTTACAAGTTTGATTTTTAGGTTTCCCACATGTATCTACACCCAAATACAAAAAAAACTCTCATAAATAATAACTCGGGTTTCCTAAAAATGATATTTATATATTTCTGCATTTAACGCCCTTTTTGGATATATATATTTGCTAAATTTTAAAATTGCAAAAATAAATTGTGGTTGTTATAAACTAGTAAATATTATATTTTTTCAACCCCACCCCCCTTATATTAATATTGAATAAAAATGGAATTATATTCTATTAGATATTTAATCTCTTATTTTTAATTTTAATTTAAAAAATAAATTTTAAATATATTTTAAAAAAATGTTTTTGAAGATTGTTTTTTAGCAATACAGTATTCAGTCTCAACCCCCCAAAAAAGGCAATTTTTAATAATTTTATAAAATATTTTTGAGCTCCCTGAGATTGTAAGAAGCTAGTGACGCGCCTGATTGACGTATACGAAATTCTTAGATTTTATAACCTTCAAAAGAGTTTTTGATGACAAGGGTGAAATTCACTAGGACGTGTTGGGTCTTGAGATCTTTTTCGTAATTTATCTTGGCCAAATTATTGAACCTAGCCTCTATGATGTAAATGGCGTGCTCTGAGTCGGAGAGGAAAGCATTTAGCTTGATTATTTTTTTTTCGATAAAAATTGTAAATTTTTACTTATTTATATAATATTTTTTTTAAGTCCCACAGTGTTCTTCAAATGCATAGTGGTCATTTTAAAAAATCTTAATAAGCAAGACAGGATGAAAGAAGCTAAATTTTAGAAAAAAACGGTCATTATATGATCTTGAACATTATATAACTTAACCTAAAAGTTATCTTCAATAATTCTGCGAACTATGATTTTGTCTTTTTTTGTATATATCTGGTAGCGTCAATATCAATATATTATTTTATTAAAACTTAAATCATTTTATTCGGAACAAATAGGAAAAAGAATAACATGAAAATGAAAACATGTGAAATATTACTCTATCACACTAAAATTTCTTCTAAAGAGGGAAGAGATGACACAAATAAAAAATGTAATAAATACAATTCCACTATTGAATTTCAGACAATATAGTCGTTTATAATAATTTAATATTTTAATTGGTAAAAATTTTTCTAAAACTCACATAAGCAGGTTTTCTACACATGCTGAGATATATTTCTAAGCAAAATGACATTTTTAAATTTAAAAAAAACGTGTTTAAAAAAATGATTTCAAGTGGAAAAAAATAAATAAACACATACATTGACGCTAACATATTTCATATGCGAAAAAGTTCTTTAAAGAAATATGATATTTTTTTTGGTATAAAAATAAGTGAAGTGTTTAAATCTGGGGTAGCTTTTGAGAAGTAGTGTTGTAAAACGGGTCGTTTTAAGCCGATTTTAAAAAAAAGGTTAACTAAATATTTCATCCAAAAAAATATTACGCAAGCCTGAAGATTTTGCTCATAGAAGGAACAAAGTTCTAGACATATATTATAGAAATCTATAGGCATAGGGCAATATTTTTCTGGCTAAAATATTGAGTTAGCCGTTTTAAAAAAATCGGCTCAAAACGAGCCGTTCAACAATACTATTGAGAAGTTTAGAGATTACGTTTTTTTAAAAAATAATATATATATATAGTAATTATGAATGAGAGAAATAGGAAACCTCTTCCATCATAAAGGTTACGAATTTGGAATCTGTCCTATCTAACAAACTCTTATTATAAATTTCTACGATTGATATGTTCCGTATTGAATCTATCCTTAGCTGAACATCCAGTGTCTTTTGAGCTATTTTTTTGAACAAAAATATAAATAATATTATAAAAATTCTTATTCCTCGAAATTTAACAAAGGAGAAAGAGGTGATTCTTATGTGCTTGGTGTTCCTAGGAGCCTTAGGGTGGTTATTTATAAAAATTGACCCTACAACCCTATTCCCAAAGATGATTGGTTAATGTTTAAAAAATAGGTGGAAAAAAAATGAGATATCATTTATTTAAAATTATTAGGTACAGTTTTTATTTTATTGACATTTGTCCTTTGGGGCCCACATAATCTACCCACTCTCTTCTATATATTTTTTTCCTAATAGATAGAAAGAATACTATATATAAATATTTTAATCCATATAAAGATAAATTCATTTTCTCCAAAAATGAAGTAAAACGAAAGGAAATAAAAATAAAAAATAATTTAGTTTTAAAATACTGGGCAATTTGTTTTTATTCAGGGAAATGTGTCCAATATGTCGTATTATAATAAAGGATGATCATATATATCATTTTTAAAAAAATTTTTTTAAAACAGTCGCTGAAGTGTAAAACTATGAATAGGGAGAAAAAAAATATAAGAAATTAATGAAGGAGCTAAAAAAAAATGTATGGAAGAGAAGGAAGGTATATAAAGTTGGGAGAGGAATGGAAGATTAATCGATAGAAGTAAATAAAGCCTAGGTTGGTAGTAAAAGCAAATAAAAATGGTAGCAAATCTTTATCATTAAAAGAGAGATATCTTGTGGTAATCGGTTTTTTCGCAGATCTTAATTGTTTAAAAATGGAGCAATATAGAAAATAGGCATTAATGCTTACCAATACATTCAATAGAATCGGCCTTTCTAGCGAACCCGAATAAGCATCTGCAAATAGTTTGGCCTGTGTTGAGTATGCATTCTTCATTAAAACCGCATCCTATCGAGGTTCCGAGTTTACAGGTGGCATTAGTGCTCGGTCTCTTGCCGAAGGACACCTTTAAGAATCCTGTGTCATTTATGAAACCCTGTTTCTGGGTGAGTACAGTGTCTTCATCGTAATCAGATAAACTAACTTTGGGAGAATTTTTTTGGCTTACGAATACTACAGGTGCAGGCTTAATAACAATGTTGGGTTTCTGAGGATTCCTGGTATTAGGAGATGGAGGACTTAGGTATCTCTCCTCATCTTATTAAATTTAATGTAATATAAAAAAAATCGTTAAACCTACATAATATTATTTTGGGTTAAAATCGTAATCGGGTCTGTTTTAAAAATCTAACCTAACCGGGTTTTTTAACAACCCTAACCAGAACAAAAGAACCAGTTTGAGCCTAAAGATCAGAATAAGGAAATTATTCGAAAATTCATTAAATAGTATTTTAATTTTATAAGATTTAAATTTGAAAAAATAAATTCAACTTTTTTAATTTTTATATTTTAATAATATTTTTATAATTTATTAATATTGATTAATTGGTTAATTTGCATTTTATTCCTTCAATAAAAGAGAAAAAAATACAAATCTATTTTAAAATAAATTTTTTAAAAATTATAGAATACTTTTTAAGAAACCACAACACTTTAAAAAATATAATCTGAAACCCGAATTTAACATCGTGAAACCGTTATTAATGTAAAAACATGAAAAATGCTTTTTGCAAGGTTTGATATAAACTAATAATAATTACTTCTTTAAAATATTAAATGCTTTTTGCAAGGTTTGATATAAACTAATAATAATTACTTCTTTAAAATATTATCTAAAGGATCATATTTTATTTTTTACTTGTTTGACTATACGGAAACACTTGAATTTTCCATCCTAAAGCATCGTAATTTTCCTTATTCAGCGCGAATTCTTGGGAAAACCTAGATTATTAAAATATTTTAAAAAAACTATTCATTTTAGGATTATAAAATGGAACATACATCACGTTAAGGTAATAAGTAGAAACAAGTCTTGAAAAAAAAAACCTTAGAAAAGATGTGAATATTAACGAAAAATTTATTTACTAATTTAATCAATTGGTATGGTAGTTGACTAATTTCTTCTTAGATTAAGATATATATTCTCCAAAATAATTAGTGCGAATTTTTAAATTAAAAAATGGGTAGGCTGGATATAGTTATAGGGCAATTAGGACCACACATAGGGTCATAGAAATAAAAAGTTATATTTATTAAATAAAGAAGAACCCAAATTCTTAAATTTTTATGATCTAATAAAAAATAAAAATACATATGAACTACTGTTTTTAAAAAAAAAGAAGTTAGATTTATTTGTATAATATAAATAGTCCTATGAACCCCGGTCTAACGTATACTGTGCACGGATTTGGGACAAAACTTGTTATAAAATACGAATAGTTAATCTTGTATTAAAATAAATTAGTTACATTTGGAGTGCAAATAATTTTTTTAATACAAAATAATGAGTTGATGAAAGGGAAACATTGTGTTTTGTCGATTAGGTTTATATATATTATAATTATTCACCATAATATGATTAATATTCAAGACTTTAGACTTAATCATTTCTAAAATAAATTGAACTGGACCTATACCCCTTAACTCGGATGTGCCGCCCCAGTCTCCCCCTACTCTATTTTATTTCCTTAATATTTTTTTTAAAGGTACCTATTATGAATTTCTTCTTCGGTAGCTTGTAACTCGATATCCAAATACAAACTGCATCTAATAGTGAAGCTGAAAATGACAGAACCTGAGGCCACCAAGGCCAATGGATTCTGGTATGGCACAACGCTCTCTATTTTGATCTTTAAAAAATATCTTCGTAATGGCGACTTCAAAAACATCTTCGTAATCTATAAAAAAAGAAAAAAAATTATTGGATAAAAGAAAAAACAAATAGCTTTCAAATTTTTACATCTCGAAGGATATGAAATTTTAACTTTTTTAAAAAAAAACAACCAAAGAATCTGAAAATCTGAAAAATTTTCAAATTAAACCTAAATGATTGAAAACCAGGAGAGATGATTAAACCCGAGAAAGATTATAATCAGGAATAATTAAAAATAAGGAAATATTAAGACCGGTGAAAGTTATGACTGATAAAGGGGTTAAAACTGGGAAAGATTTAATCTCGAAAGGGTGAAAAATCGGAGAAAGTTTAAGTAATCGCTGGGAGAAATCGGAAATTTAAATTGAATGGCAAATTTTTATAATGAAATTAATAAGAAAGAATTCGATGAAAAATTAAAGAAGCATCGCACCATGTGTTGTCTCAAAATGAATGATAACCTGATCCGATATTGTTTTGGAGAATATGTTATTTGGATTAATGAATTCCGTTGATTTAACGCTCAAATCATATTTATAGATATCCGAGAGGGAGAGCCTGAATCCAGTGGTAACTCTTTGATATTCTATTTATTTATGTAAAAAGTGGGATTCTAATCAAATAATTATTATTCATATATAAATCGATGCCAAAGAAATGTTACTTACGACTCTTTTTTTAAAAAAAAATTAGAGAAATTTAAAATACTCAACTGTAGCACTTCTTCTTGTCTCCAATTGCACCCCTGACGCCTAAAATATCTGCCTCGTTTTTAGGCGCACTCCATAGTCGCTGACTAAATCCCTCTTGACAAACGCATTCCGCTTCGCCATTGTTGGAAAATCCCTGCGATTGTGACGTTTCTTTCACCAAACAAGTAGACTCGGAATCCAAACATCCCAACAGGAGTTTTTGATCCACGCTGCATTGGGAGTAGGTTTGCCCGTCTATAGTTACGCTCAATGGCACAATGGTCGATGGGCGTTGCCTACTGATATCCGGTATTTTGGTGTTGGAATTATCCGTTAGGATATCCTCGTGGGCCTCAAATTTAGAATAATATGATTTTTGTGTTTGTTCTGATTGGTTGAATTGGTATGTCAAGCCATCGCCAGTTCGTCTTACTTCCGAAACTATGGAAACCTTTGGACCGGTCGGCATTAATTCTTGGTTTATGACGTATAGTTCGGAGTCTCCTACTTTAAAGCTCGTACTGATTATAGAATCAATTAGACTCTTAAAAACTTGGTCCTGATAACCCATATAGGACTATAATAATAATAAAAAATTTTAACATTTAAAGAATATAATAATAGCTTTGACATGTTATGACATTTTGATACTACCTAACACTCTTTTAGCAATTTTTTTTGTGAAGATATTCTTATTTTTTATACATAAATCTTCCCCAACTTATATCATTTAAAATAAGGTTTAATATTCATATGAAGTTTGTCACCTTTTCGAAACTGGCACTGAAATTCAGCAAAATACTGTTGCTCCACTCTGGGTTGATATCCGAAGCATCGTGGATATTTTCGATCTTGCTCCCGATGTAAAAACTGCTCAAATTGCTAAGTTTGAATGCGACATTTATCTAATTTATTATTATATAAATTCGATATTAAATTATAAACAGGACTCTCCGTAAAAAAATATACACATATAATATATATCATATTTTTATAACTAATTTTATAATAATTTTTCTAAAGTGTTTTTACTGGGACATCTCAATATATGTATGGTTTATTAAATTTATAATAGGAATAACTATGCTAGTTATGACATATCCTTTAAAGATAAATAAAAAAATTTTGCGCTTTTAACCCCTTGTTCAGCCAATTGTTTAAAGTCCTTGTAAGTTTGAGAATTTTTATTCTTGAATTCTTGTTTGAAGATCATCGGGGAATTTTTAAAACGACTGATCCTTAGCAGTATCGAAAATGATTTCACTGAATGTAAATTATAAGTAAAATTTATTTATTTAGAAAAAACTTTTAAAAAAATACATACACTTATAAAATGAGTTAACTAATATTTACGCATATTCTTTTAGTGCTAACTTTACTTTTTATGGTTCCCATCTTTACATTTATTTTATTTCTTTTTTTTTTGAGGATTAACTCTTGAACTATTATTAAACAGTAACAATCAATTTTATAATTAATTTAAAACCGTTTTCATCTTTCAAATTATTCGCATAAAACGAATATTTAGAAGTTGGGTGTTCGGTCTGAAATGTCGGTGAAGGATCGAATTTGTTAATTATCTTGAACGAATAGGATTTACGCTTATGGTCGGAAGTCAATGTCTTTACCTTTTTAATCTTCGCCTTAAGGCCCGCTCTATGGCTCTTATCGCTATCCGTATTATTGTTGTAATAACTATTGTCGATATAAACCGATTCAAAGTCTGTATCCTTTTCATTGGCATTCTCGAAACTTCTGCCTTCGAATTTATAGGTATCCATAACGAGACCCTTCCCACCGAATTCACTTTTAATGATGGACTTGTCATTCGATTCTTCTATATCTAAATTCACCCCTGGCAAAGTAATATCCACTCCTTGCAATAGGGACTCACCATCTTTTGAATCCTCATTCCGAGTGAAATGTTTCTTAACATCGGTTATTAACCGCTTCAGGATAGTGATGGGTTGCCTATCCTTCGAAATATAGTCCCTCTTCAATACCACGCTGTAGATTCCTACCAACTTCCTGCCTCGCTTACTCGATGTCTTCGGTTGCGCATCGGTAGGGTCCTGATCGTCATCGTACTCGAAAACCGCGAGTAATTCATTCGCGTTCACTAACCGACTCAAACCAGATTCGTGGGTTATTTGTTCTATCTGAAGAAGGTTAAAAAGAAATTATTTATTAAATCGTTGATGAAAAATTATGATTAATCATTGTTTATTGGTTTTTGAAGTACTTGGAGTTGGAATATTTCGAAAATTAAAATTACGAAATTTATAAAATTATTCATAATCAGATTTAGGTATCATTTTAATTTCTTAAAGAATCTAAATTTTAAGGCATGCCATATTTAATCTATTTCACTTATATATCACGTATCTAATAACGATAAAGAAATTATTTGAAATTCCATAAATATAAAATAAAATTTCTAAAAGTATTGTATTTCTTGAGATAATTATTGATGATAAAGGTCTTTAACAAAAATAGAAATTAAATACCGAAATATAATTCATATGTTTATTACAAATTTTATCATTAAAAAAAGAATACAAATTACTTTTACAAAATTTATAAACTATTGATTATAACTCTTCTTACCTTTTCCAAGAAAGTTTTCTTGACAATTTCAAAATCGTTGTCCAATAACTGGTCTTTGACTCTTAGTTTGACAACCATATTGAACCTTGGATTCGCTATAAAGACATATTATTTGTTTAAAAGTTGTAATTTTTTTTGTAGTCATTGAATATATTATAACATTGGGATTTGATTATTACTCAAACTCAAATGAATAGTAGGTGATCTTCCGTCTATAAAAGCCAAATAACTTTTCTAATTATAATATTTCGACATATAAAAGTCTATGTTTTTATATATTCGTGGATATTGAAAGAATGATAATAAATAGTGTTGTTAACTCACATTCGAAAGTAACTAGCTATAGTTACCAGTTAAAAAGTTAACATATTATTATAGTTACTTTAATTAAATTATTTCAAAATAACTAGATACCAGTTTCAGTGAAAATGCGCAAGAAGAAGGAATTAACTCTATCCGAATACAATTCGATTCAAATTGGATAAAACAAATTAATCATATCATTATTCGGTCGAACCGGATTATTCGTTTTGTTCGAGCCAAATTAAATCGAATAATTTGCTATTCGTATCCGTTACTATTCGATTCGATTTGTTTTTGAATAGGCATATACTCTTAAATATAAGCTTCCCTAGACTAAACAAAGAGCGTTTTATATAGGCGAAAATAGAGGCCTTTATATTTAATAAAAAGTAATTATTTTGAAATTTGGGAAATAATCGTATAGAGATAATAAGTGATAATATATATAGTCTAACATCTTTTAAGTAAAATATAACTAGATGCAGTTACTTTTTAGATCTCTTTTTTTTAAATATAACTATTATATCTTTTCTTTTTTCACAACTAATAATAAAGAATATTTCAGCACTCTTAGAGACTTCGCTGAATCGGATCATATTAAATGTTGTTAAGCGGTTCGACTTGAGACGATATTTTTAAAGGGCTAACTCGATATTTTATCCAGAAAAATATTGCACAAAGGTTTGGTTCTGGCTACAACATTGACTTAGCCTTCTTTTAAATATCGGCTCAAATTTATCAAAAATTTTTTTAACAATTTATAACCCCGATAAAAATCATTTGATAGGATTATTATACAAATATTATAAGCAAATGATAATTTTAAAAAAATTCCTAATATTCATCACCTGTATTATCATCGCTTTCGCCCCCCTTCGTCAAATACAAGAAAGCCCCTGATTTTGCGTTTTTATCCACCGTAACAAAATGGCTACCTCCCAACTTCCGTTTACTGTCAAATCGATAAGACTCCGGACCAAAATTCAGGGCTAGGGAAAGGTCTATGGTAAAATTGAAGGTCAAATATTTTGAAAGTTCAGGAATGGGCGGCGAATCTTTTAGGGTCTGGTTGAGAATCTCGTAAATCCTTTCATGGATTTTGTTGATATGAGCCTTGGAATATATCTTATTTATTTTTTTTATATAAATAAAAATTAATTGAAATATAATTGTGACACTATTTTTCAAAAATCAGTGCCCTCCTGTCTTTTTAATTAGCACTGAAAAAAAGGACACTAATTGATTGGAAAAAATGACAGTATATGTGACTTCTAAAAAATGCTATATATACTATATATATCGTAGAAAAACTAGCAAGGAATTGCGAGCAAGATTGGGTATAGAAATGATTGGAGTGGTAATGGGACAAAATATACTAAGATGATTATGGCATGTGGAATGTGTGACAAAAGATGATTGGGTAAAGAGATGCACCTTGATGGAAGTAGGAAGATCAAGACCTAGAGGAAGGCCCAAGATAACGTGGACAAATGTGATAGAGGTGGATATGAGTAGCATGAATCTTACAAATATTGATGCTCAGGACAGTCAAAAATAGAAAAGTAAAATCAAAGGGAAAACTGGACTATCTGGGTAAACCTGGAAATCGCCATAAAACGGAGGAGAAGATATATATCGTAAGGGCTAAGCGAATTTGAGTTTTTTTTGTAGCAAATCTATAATAAAAATGAAATCATTTCACGCTTTTAATTTCAAGAGCCCTGATTATGTTGGAATTGGATGCAGCAAGTATAGAGTTTGCTCTATGAAAATCATCCCTTAATTTATATTCGACAAAGAGAAGAGAAGAGAAGAGAAGAGAAGAGAAGAGAAGAGAAGAGAAGAGAAGAGAAGAGAGAGAAGAGAAGAGAAGAGAAGAGAAGAGAGAGAAGAGAAGAGAAGAGAAGAGAAGAGAAGAGAAGAGAAGAAGAAGAGAAGAGAAGAGAAGAGAAGAGAAGAGAAGAGAAGAGAAGAAGAAGAGAAGAAGAGAAGAAGAAGAAGAGAAGAGAAGAGAAGAGAAGAGAAGAGAAGAGAAGAGAAGAGAAGAGAAGAGAAGAGAAGAGAAGAGATTGTTTAAATCTTTTTTTAAAAAAACTGTTTAATAGAGTTTTAGAGCGAAAGTAAAACCTGAAATATCTGAAAAACCGCGTAAAACTAGGAACCTGAACTACCTTTTTAAAAATATGCAGAACCGGAGGTAGAATAAGGAATGGCTGTATTCTCCCTTCCGCCCTTATAATTTGCTTCTTTTTTGAGGCTTACTGTTTATCTAATTGTTCTTTAATTTAATCTCTTATGCTTTCGTTTTTTCTTCTAAAAAATAGACATTTGGAACCCCACAATATTAAATTTAATAATACAATAAAAAAGAAATATATTTACATTTTTCTCGCTTTTCTTGATCTTTTCTGTGTTGTACTGATAATTTATTCGATAGATCTTAGGTTCAGATTTGAACAGAGTCAAATTAGCATCCACGTTAACCACGACCGATTTAACTGATTTAGTTTTTAAACAAAATTAAAATAATATATTATTATTATTATTATTATTTTTTACTATGTAGCCAGGAAAAGTCAAAATAGTGTGTTCAAACCAATAATTTATAAGGATATTTATATCAGAGACCTGCACGCTCGACCTGGGTACACGGACTGGACATTGCATTTTTTTAATATATCCAGACCGGGCCCTAAAAATATAAAACCCAGGCCGAAGGGAGCTAAAAAAAAATTTTTTTAAATCAGAGCCAACTGGCATCTCTGCAGGTCTCTGAATTATATAACTAATATAAATTAATATATGAGTTTTAAAAAAATAATATATAAATATTAAAAATTAATTAAGATACTAAATGTTAGATCGAATAAATGGGCATATTAAATTTTTAGTAAATGGTATTTTTAAAAAAAATAGTATTTTTTCAAACGTATCTATTTGAGCCTATATTTATAAAGGCCAGCTCAATATTATATCCAGAAAAATATTACGAAAGCCTAAATTATACTCATAGTTAGCACAAAGCTTTGCACATCTATTACCCAAATCTTGGCTTAGGTAATATTTCTCTGGCTAAAATATTGTGTTAGCAGTTTTTGAAAATCGGGTTAAATCGAGCCGTTTAACACTATTTAAAAAAAATATTAGCCCAATTACAAATTTTTAAGTGGAGGATTTCTTATTTTTAGTTAGCGTATAAAAATTAAGGTTAATTTGAATCGTGGTTGATATTTTCTTCCAAGTATAAAGAAAATTTAATTGATCTTCGTACTATTAATTAATTTATAATTATTTTGATATTATTTAATAACTTCTGGCCTACTTATAATTTTATATTAGTTATAATAAATATCATATAAATTAATAAGATTTTACTTTAAAAATTTATGTATAATGTATCACAGTATTATTTTGAGCTAACCATTTTGACTATACTGGTCTAGTGGTATACAAATTTTTTTTGGATCTCATTATATTATATAACAATATTTACTGGTATGATATTTTTAGATTTCAAAAATCATTTTATTTTTTTTAAACAATTTTCATTAATATTGTAACTAACTAATTATTTGAAAGTTTTTATTATTTCATGTGTTAATAAATAATATTAATAATAAACCTGAATCTTGAAATCTTATATTTTGGTACAGAAATCCACTCTTGCAACATCCTAATGTATAGATGTCAACTCTGATTTTGGTATCGGGCAATATTCCGTTTTTCACTGATAATTTTTCCTTTAAATCTCTCAGGAAACTTGCCTCGTCAAAATCGACAGATTTCAAATCCTGAGAATAATAGATATTATTTTATTTTTATCAAATCACAATTAATGGATTATATTATAAACCTATGATTTAGTTCTAGCAAAAAAATTAGCAATTTCAATCGCCATAGAAATTAAAAAGGAATTATATGAAGTATAGCAAGAAATATGGCGAAAACCCCATTTCCACTAGCGAAATAGAGGTTTAATTGCCTGCCAAGGCATAGCCTTAAATAAAGATTTTAAAAAAAATAAATAACTTGATTCAATATTAAAACCTTTTTTGGAATATCGATGGTGTAAGAGATTAAAATCCCATCTTTCCAAGTGGAATCATGAAGAGACGGGTCTGTGATGTTTTCTATGTCAATCGAAATTCTAGCTGTGAGAACATTTTTCAAGTAATTTCCTACGAGAGAACTCACCTAAGATATGACAAAATTTATGGGATATATATAATTATTCATTGTAATATACTCACCCCCCCCCCTCCCAATTCAATAATATAACATTCTAACTTACTCCTTTAAGAAAATTTTCGATGAGTTTTTCTCGCCAATCAGAGGATTTTGCTAAATAATCTTCATATTTCAAAGGAGCTGGGTCATCGCTAATCGAAATTATTCTCATGGTTGAGCTGATGACAATGTTGTCGCTTGCACCTTTATCGAAACAAAATATTAAAAAAAATGTTTAGATCAATTTTTTCTTTTAAACACTCACTTTGATCGGTCGTGAATCCAGAATTTTTATCGATTTCGAATGAGAATTCATTTTTGACTTTCGTATCTTGCGGCGCTTGAGATAAATCCTTTAAAATTTATACATTGATAAACAATTTTAAAATTTAATGACAATATATAATATAATCATTTATATATACCTTATAAATATCTTCGATCTTCCCAAAATATTCCTGGGTCAAGTAAATGGTGATGTCTATGATGACTGACGTACTGTATTTTTTAGAAGCTGGGATTCTGATGTCATTGATTTCCGAATTCAGCAAAAATTCTTTTAATGCGCTAAGTTGAATCCAATCTTCTAACTAAAGTATAATTTTATAAATAAAATTTTAAAATGATATACTGAAAATGTTCGAGTAAATGGAATAAAATTTTCAATTGTTACAAATTTATTCAATATATTTTCTTTTCGTTTAGATTTTTTTTTGTCATTTTTTTTGCTGAATATTTTCTTAGAGATTCGATATTTTTGTCATCCATAAAAGCATATTATTTGCCTGTTTTTTAATAATTGTGGACAAATTTTTAAATTTAATATTGTCGGGATCCTTTAGCGCGGTATCGGAAAAGACCCTAGAATAATCTTTGGTTAAATAAGCACGAAGTCGCGTTGAAAACTTTTGAGGACCTTTATAGTATAAGTTTTTTTTAAAAAAATTTATAAATTATTTTTAATTATAAATATTGGTATTATAAAGAGCATTATGTTAAATATACAAAGTAAGCAGCTTAGGTTTAGAAGAAAAACATATTTTTTTAAATGAATACTTCTCTTTTTTTTTTAATTGATATAAGAATTGTCATATTCTGTTGAATACTTTATTTGAAATGTGTCGATTTATTTTTATCTTGAAAGATAGGTTTTAGTTAAGAGTTTTTAAGATATAAATTATAGGTATATACAATGTAAATGTCTATTGTTCACCTTATTCAAGAATTCCATTATAAAAAAAATGAAACAACGAACCTAGTAGTAACTCTTAAGAAAAAAAAAGATAACGAAAAGCTTATGGTTAGAAATATGCAATGTTTTTTCTAATAAAAAGGTGAACTCTCTTACCATTGCCCCTTCCAATGAGAAAATTTCTAGTTACGGTTCTTGCAATCACAAGCGCATAAATTGGGAAGGGTTTGGTTTATATTTAATTATGAAGATTCCATTTAGTTTTACTATTCTTTTAGTGTATAGGACTATCCAATTGCACTATAAATGATAAATATGCAGGAAAATAAAATTTGGTTTCTGGCTTGGGTCGGGCTAATATTTATTTTTTTTTAAATATCGGGACGGGCCTGTTAAAATTTAGAAATAAAATTGGTATATTTTTTTTTAATATTTTTTACAAGAAACAAATCGCCAAACGTTTTCTTTTATATATTTGTAGATCGGAAAATAAAATTGATAAATTTTTTTAAATATTTTTTACAAGAAACAAATTGCCAAACGTTTTCTTTTATATGTTTGTAGAATGATTAAACTACCTTAAAAAATGTAATCGAAACGCTTTAAAAAAAATTAGGACCTAACAGGGCTGTATAAATTTCTAAAATAAAATTCGGCCGGGCTTGAAAAATGTAGCCCCAATACAGATCACTACCATATATAAATCGTTTCGTGTGCTCAAACAATGTCAGTTATAATTCTTAAATAACAACATATCGATCGTATAATGGAAATTGATAGGCAGCAGATAGATATTACAAATTTTTATTAGAGATTCTGAAGTGTATAATATGAAACAAAAGTTAGAATATTTTTCGGTTACCGTTTATAAAATTATGGTATGTACAAAAAAAATATATAATTACTAAATAAAAGTTTGTTTTTTTTTACTAAAATACTTACCGACACATCTGTCAGTTCCTGTTTTAACGTAAAATCCGGGTAAGCACATACACCTAGCAAATCCATCTACCTTCGAGCAAACAGAATTAGATCCGCAACCTAGATTATTGAATTCCTTGCACACGTCGTACTTTGGAGCTGCACCTGGTTAAAAAAAAAGAAGGTAAATGGTGCTAATATAATTCTATTTCGAATTTGATTTAAGTTTTGCAATGTGTCCTTATCTCTCTCTCTAATAAATTATATATATATATATAATTATAAATTTAAAATTAATTTTATACATAAATTTTAATAAAATAAATTATAAAATAATTTGTACAAAATATATTTAAAAAAATCTATATAACATGTTAAACTAATGCCGTTAATCTCATAATATAAAATATACTAATAAATGAAATTGCACTATAAAAAACAATGTGGATTACCAAGCATCCTATATAACAATTTTTATAAATAAAATTAGTCTTGTTAAACGGCTATTTTTGAGCCGATTTTTAAAAACGACCAACTCAATATTTCATCCTGAATAATATTAAGCAAGCCTGAAGATTTTGTTTGTAGAAGGAACAAAGGTTTGAACATCTATTAGCAAAATCTCAAAGCTTAGGCAAAATTTTTCTGGCTAAAATATTGAATTAGCCGATTTTAAAAACGACTAACTCAATATTTCATCCTGAATAATATTAAGCAAGCCTGAAGATTTTGTTTGTAGAAGGAACAAAGGTTTGAACATCTATTAGCAAAATCTCAAGGCTTAGGCAATATTTTCTGGCTAAAATATTGAGTTAGTCGTTTTAAAATCGGCTCAAGCGAGCCGTTTAACAACACTAGAAAGTACAAATAATATGTATGTCATATGGGGATTCTGAATCTATTACTAAATCCTTCCTAGGGTGATATTTAATTAGAAATGTATTCTTGCATGTGTAGAGTATTTACCCTATAAATTTCGACCAATTTCAGGCTTAGACATTTTAGTATTTTTTAAAAATTTATAATGAAAAATCCATATAAAAATTAATAAAAATTAGAAGTAGTTTCAAAAGTTCATGACAAAATTGGCTGGAATTTGTAGCGTAAATACTCTACACGTGCTAGAATACATTCCCGGTTAAATCGGATTTTAAATTTTTTTAAATCGCCCTCGGTACATGATTAAGAATCAAAAGATTCCGAATCCCCATACGACACTATATATATACATAAACAAGAAGAAAAATAATCAGAGAAACGTTAAAATATTAAAAGTAATTCAAGGCAGAATTTCTTAAGAATCATATAGTATGAAGGCTGGAATACATTTTTGGTTAAAAGAATGATTTAAAGTTGAAAAAATAAAAACAATAACGGAAAGAAAATATGCGTGGATGCTTACCATATCATATGATCATTATAAAAATACCTCGTTTATTTTTGAAAATAGCCGAACCTGACGGTGTGAGTGGGTGGAGAGAATGGGAATCTATTACGAATCCCGTTTGACCGAGCTTTGCCGTTGGATGTGACCAGGGCTTGCCTTAATTCGTCGTATATGTCATCCAAGTTTCCTGGGTACGACTAAGATATACATTTTATTCCAGATAAATACTTATAATATTGAAATATTAAAAAAATAATAACAGGTTTTCATAAAAATAATGTATATTTTAGCGAGAACTTGTATAACAGTAAAACCCCGATTTAATGTTCCCATGTTTAAAGTTTCCCCGCTTTTATTTATTTTCAGAATTGCTCATTTTAGAAATTATATTTAATTAAATTATTTCGAGTTACTTGTGACGTTATGAAATTTATAGCCCCCTGCAGTAAATAGTGGTATTTTAACCACCTTTTTAAAACAATATCCTTTAGTAATATTTCTTAATGAGGGCTAAGATAAAGAAAGAATGTCTATTATTGCCCGAAACAAATTTAGATGTAGGAATGGACTTGAATGCCATTTATGAATCTCACGGAAGGAGAAGGAGGGTGAGGATTTTTTGTAGATAGATTAGTATAAAGCGTGGTGTGTATTAGAGGGTTGAAAAAATAGTCTCTTAATTAATATCGACTCCCTTGATGTGTTAACATTTTTTAGTCAAAATCGAGATTTAGCTGGAGGTTTTTTTTTTATTAAAACTATCCTTGTTAGAAGAGATATTACGATAAAAAATAAGATTTATAAGATTTCGAAAATTCATTAACAAACGACAAATTTAAGAAAAAAATTGATAAATATAATTGTGTTATCTTACAGCCGATACGACGAAGGAAACATTTAATACAAGTCCCTCTTTCCATTCCAAGTTGACTGAACTAGGATTCTTTATCTGTTGTACGATGGAGTCCAAATAAAAGGCGCGAAAATTTGACAATTCTAAAGCCTCTTCAAACTTTCAAATCCAAAAATATAGATATATTTTTTATTAATTTTTCGCCACTAAAAAAAAATTATAAAATATCGGTAAAAACTTTATTCATGTTATACTAATTTAAAATCTAATATCCCTGACCACCCTAATTTTTGAGCTATAGCAGTTGTTAAAATTGGTCAGCGCTTTCAAATATGGCTGTATAGTGATAAATATTTTTGATCATTATTAAAAATAATATATTATATAAAAAATAATATTAAATGTATTTTTTTAAAGGATGTTTTTGAATATTCAAAAAAATATCTGTTAACCAGATACAATGGCCGACACGCTGTGTCTCTGCTATCTACGCGGACACTCTTTGTGCAAAACTACCGGTAACTTCAGAATTAGGTTATCTTAAAATATTAGCTACAGATATTAACTACTAAATATTCGCTTAGACTAGTAGCCATGATTTAGGTGAGGGATGGGGGGGGGGGGGCAAAAAGTTGTTTTGGAGCCAATATATTTATGAAGGTTTCTTTTTTTATAAGCCAAAGAAATTTAGAGGCCCAAGAAATATTTGGGGGAGGGGGGAGTAGGGGTACCCAATGGCTACGGGCTAAATTAATCATAAAATGCAACAAAATATTTTGGCTAGTTTTGGAAAAGGAATGTTATTCATTATTTTCCCCTCATATAGAGATGATTGATATCTTATATGCTAAAGTAAGAGCAATTGATTCATCTTCAGAATTTGAGCGAAAAGTCAATTTGACTTGTCTAGAAAAGGAATTTTTTTCATTCGCTTCATACTTTAGAGATAACCAATATCTTAGATTTGTATCTATATCTTATCTAATGTTTGAATTTTTTTCATATATGAAGATTATCGTAATATAAAATGAAAAGGTTATTCCTAAACTAGCTTTCACTAGTGAAAAGACTTTTTCAGTCTATCTAAGGTGTTTAAAGATAAATTAGGAATGTCTCACGTATAAAAACTAAGTGAATTATTAAAAGAGCTAACAATAATATTTATAATCTACTTAATTATACATTTTATATATAAAAACCCAAAATTTGTGCTTTAGCGATAAGATTAAAAAATTCTATCTTAAATATATAAAAATTAATCTATATAGATTAATTTTTTTATCAGCATATCGTTAAATATCTAAATATCTTTTTACGTTGATTAAATACATTTGAAAAGTATCTTTCGACTGGTACGTTTACATCCATAATTGAATTTATTATATAGAAAAAATGCTCGGTTTATAACTTTCTGGTTCATTTGAAAATGATAATAAATTAATCAAGAATTATACCCCATTTTTAATTGAGGTAGATAGGTTACGATAAGTCTCCGAATTTGCGTTTATGAATTCTTTGTTAAATGATAATATTTCCTTTTCTTTCCTAGTTATCCATAGGATCAAATCGAATTTCCTGTAGGCTTTAAAAATTTTAAACCAATCACATTAGTAAGAAATAAATAATAAAATACCACATAAATCTCAATATATCTTTTATTAATAAATTCATAAATTTTAAAAAAACGTACTCAAAAAAAATGATTCACAATTGAAAAGATAACACATTGACCGTACATTTAATATTTAATTAATAAAAATATGCTCGTTAATTTACCTATACATTTTCCGAATTTCTTCCAGTAATAAAAACCCCTATTGCAAAAACAACCGATTATGCCTTCGACGTATTTACACAGGGAATTGGGTTGACAGCCAGAGTTGTCTCGCAGATCGCATATAGGTCCAAAATAATCGGAACCTAAGGAAGCGCCATTTATGTCTGTTTGCCAGCTGTTGGGATAACTTATGGTATTCTCTACTCCTATCTGTTTGTAACTATGTATTTTTTATTAATGAAAGATAACAATTTAAAACGGTTTATAACTCATAAATTAAAATAAAGTCCAAGGGCAAGCTTAATCCTTCCTTCCATCTTTCCTTTCCTTTCTTTTATTTCCTTTATTTCTTCCTTCATATTTATACCTTGCCCTTCCATCGCTTCTCTTGATCATGTATTTATGGAATGGTCCATCTCTGCCATCGGTAAAAGAATCGTTGTAAAATGAATTGGGTATAAATTTTTCTTCCTCCAATATCGTGGTATTAAGGGCTTGACCGTTAAATTTGTAAGCCTTCTTGTCCAATAGGATTGAAATCTTTGAATCAACCCCTAAATCTTTCAAATAGTTAGATTGCAATAAAGGGGATATATTTCTATCAACAGTGCCATAATATTGTCCTCGCGGCTCCGGATTAGTAGCGCTTTTGATGCCATCTTCCAACAAGCCAATTATCATTCTGTTCACATCCCTTTTCCTCACTTTAAAAAAAATATGTTTTTAAAAATAATATAATGTAATTCATGGGGATTCGAAATCTTTCAATATTAAAATCATTCATTGAAAGCGATTTTGATTTTGATATGTCCCTAAATGTATTTAGCCCACATTTTTAAACTGTATATATATTTTTTATATAATAATTAATATATTAAGAGTAGTTCAAAATTTGACGGAAAAATTGCCAAAAATTCACAGAGTGAGTACTCCTATAGATGCTAAAATTTATTTTCAGTCAAGCCAGATTTTTAATTTAAAAACCGCCCTCGATAAATGATTTAACACTATTTTTTTGTTTTTATCGATAAAAAAAACTGTACATAATTTAAGGGAAATAAATTATGGGTGTTCGTGTGGGGATAAATGGAATAGATTTCTCAGCCAAAGTGCTCTTTTGAGTTGGACAATCAGATTGCTTTAAAAGTCAGTCATAGAGAATTAAAGGTTAAATTAAAACCTCAAACTCTATTTTCAAAACATAGTTTAGTTATATTTTTATCATCTCTAAAATAAATTGGGAAAAAAATTTCTTAAAAATATTGCCAATCATTATCCATACCCTAAAAAAATTATAAGGCTTTTAATATTAAATTTTGAATGTTGAAATCCAATTAAATTTAAAAAAAAAAAAATAACCACTTTAATATCATACAGATGAACAAAACAAACATTATAATGTATTATTACTAAAACTATTATCAAATTATATACAGCTAATTAATCAACTGATTAAATAATATTTTTGACCTTTTGCCGAATTATTAGTTTAATTAGTATTTTACGTAGCAGGTGAAAGGCTTTGCTGTGTAAATAAATTGATATTATTTTTTTTACTTGGAATGGAATATATTTTTTATATACATTTATTAAAATTGTGACAATCATTATTTTTAAGAGAATGGTATCTAAAAAATAATAGAATAAATTACATTTTTTAATTGGCGATTTCAGGTAAAGGCTAATATTGTAGACTTCTTTGTTTTTCAACGGAGGTCCTAAGGATTCTGCCTTGGCGTCCAAGAAAAGAGAATCGTATTTAGGGTTCAGCATTTGAGCTTTAACCTAAATGCGAAAATTCATGATTTGATTTGATTTGTTTAGTTTATTTTTTTCATTTGAATATAAATAGGAAATTATTTATTAAAATAATAATTTTATATATTAATGATGCCCCTTCTCCATATAGTTGGGTAATGGCGAAATGTTGGCTAATTCTGCTCAAGCTACAGGCGCGTGCTGGGGAAAATATGTTAACATTATATTTTATATCAGTTTTCTTTCAAATTTGAGCTTGGTATATATTCAATAAAAGTCCCAAGGCTAAAGTGATAATCTTCGGGTAAAAAAATCGGTTTAGCCAATTTTTTTTAACAGGTTAGAAATCGGTATAGATTTCCCTAAAATTATAGTACCCAACTATACTCTTTCACCACTATTTACATCGTCCTGACTGATAGCCTTCATACAATCATCAATATTTATTTTTTATTATGTTTGTAAAAAATATTTGATTCCTTTTATCATGTAAAAAAAAATAAGTTTATTATATATATTGTGTATTATTTACTTCGGGAAGTAAATTCAATGTGTTGAGGCGATTTAAGGATAAATCTTGATGTTCGGCACTTTGCGATCCGCCATCTATATCCAAATATGAAGATCCTAATGCCGAATTCACATCGTTAGTTTCTATAGAAACTAGCAAATTTTGCATCTCGAAAACTTGATATTATTTATTATATTTTATTTGTGATTGTTAAACATATATTATGAGCAATTAATAGTCATTTTAACCCCTTGAGTGGTTGTGGGTAAATAGTATAACATAAAAAAAATGCATGAAACTTTGCAGAAATATAGTTTAGCATAAAAAATAGAAAACTGCTAAAAAAACAGAACACGGATTAACTGAGTTTTTTATCTTTTCCTTTCTTCTGTTATAGAATCTTAGAGGACTCGTATCATGCCAATAGTTAATGAGCCAATTCATTACTTTTGGGGCAGTTTATTATAAAATGATATTATCTGAAAACGATTTATTTTATCATTTTTTTTTTAAATTAGATTAAGCGTAGTTAAAAAAAATAATTAAGAAATAAAATTACCGGTACAATCTGTGCCATTCGGGACCATATGGAAGCCTATCCGGCAAAGGCACTTGATTTCCCCTTTGGATACTCTGCAATCCGCATTTTCCCCGCATCCTTGATTAATTTCCAAGGAACATTCTCTGTTCGTGTGCAGCAAGGAACTCAATAATGAACCACCGGCGGTGCTCATAATGGCCATCTCTGGGATGGAACTTATGTCAACGTATAAATGGGAGGAAAACCCTAATCTGTTTTTTGTGGCTAGCAAACGGTCGTGTATCACTCTGTAGATCTGGGATCTTTTAATGTCAGTTTGCTTTTATAGTTTAGTAGAAATCAAAATAAAATTTAAGAAAAGTTATATAAAAAAATTTTAAGTAATAAATATAGAGCTTGCTCTATTTGGTTGAGGAAAATATTTAAATCCAAAGAAATTTTCGCAATTTTAAACAAAAAATTACACATTTTCGCCTCGTAAACAAACCATTTCAAACTTAACAATTTGAAGATCATTTAAGTATGTAAAAAAAAGGTTTAAAATTATGTTATTCTACAAGTTTAAAATGATGTATAACTTTACAAGCTTGTAAGGTAAAATGTTATATAATGTCTCATGGATTTAAATAATCCGGGTTCGTAGAGTGCATTTTTTATATCCTTAAAGACCTTATTACATGTATAATGTATCTACCATGTGAATATTCTAACAATTTTACCCTGTGTTTTTGAACTACCTTTAACTGTTATTAATTTTTTTATATAAAGATTTTTCGTTTAAAATTAAAACAAACAAATAAAAATTTATGGCGAAAGTTTCTTAAATTAAGAGGATAGATACTCTAAAATGCTAAAATTCGATTTCCTTGCTAAAAACGTGAGTCTAATGAGCTTAATTCCTAATTTGCTTAAGCCCTACGACATTTAACATCATAACATAATCCGTCCTTAACTTCGATTATCGTTCTTTTTTATATCTTTTTTATTTCTTTCCTTTCTCTTCTTTCTTCTATTCATTTTTTTTTAAAAAATCTTGAATTTTTATTTTTATTTTATTTTTGTTTCATTTTACCGTTTTCTTAAAATGTAAAATGAAGTCCACTATAATCGTATGTTTCCAATCTGAATTATAAATGGAAGCTGGCTGGATCCTGGAAATTTCGGAGTTTATATACAGATGATTTACCGCGCTATTCCTAAATATTTCGTTTATCTTTGAAATAAAAAAAAAATTACTTTTGATATTTTTGGATTTTAGTATTTATTTTTAGTTATAACAAAAATGGGCAAAATTTAATACTTTTTTAACAATACTTTAGAACAAATTTTGCCATTTTTAATACAAAACACTACTTAAAAAAAATTACCCAAGAATTACTATTGGGTTTATTAGTTAAAAAAAAAATAATTGTTTAAAATATTCAACATATTTTTAACTTTGCTGACCTTATTAAAATAAATCTAATTAAAATAGTTTAATTCCACCAAATAACGTAACTTTTTTAAAAGAGAAACTAAGTCCTTCATATTTTAGGATTATGAAGAAGAAGGAAAATGAATTTATTGGAATCAAAATTTTTTTTTCTTTCAATCCCTACTAATTCTTAAATAAATAACCTATTTGCGCAGCAAAAAAAAATCAAAAAGTTTTAAAAAAAAAATAGCGATTATGACAATTGGCAATTTTTATATGGTATACATCTTTATTAGAAATTTTTTTTTACCCCCTTTTTAGCTTGTTTCTTTAAATTAGTTATGTGAGGATTGTTAGAAATTTCCGATAATTTTTCGTAATCCAGAGGTAAATAACCATGTCTCAAGAACCTCAAGGAAATGTGAATCGGTACAGTGACTAAATTGAATTATTTTTTTTAAATTAGAAAAGAAATATATTAATCTTCGAAACCTATTTATGCAGAGGAGAATCCCTTCATATTTTAAAAAAAAACCTTGACATGAAAGGCTGGGTGATGTTTCAACGTTATCGCTGGGGTAGTACCCTTGCAAGCAAACGCATTCGTAACCGCCGTCTGTTCCGTCCCCAATTTTTTTGGTCGCTTTGTTAATAACGCAATGGGAGTTCAGCCCGCAACCTGTAATTCTGCAGTCCGACTCGCTGACCTCCTCGGTTTTCTTAGAACTGGTAAATAAGAAAGAATTTGTAGATGACCTGTCTGTTAGATTCGATGCTTTGATAGTAGTGGAATCGTTCAGGTTGAAATTATTTGACAATATTTGGGCTAATGTGGTAGTCGATATAAAATAATTAGCTTTGTTAACACTAGTCATACTTGTAATGCTTGTAACAGTTGGCAATTGCCTAGTAGTGGCGGCCATTTTCGAAGTGGACAAGACCTCGCTTACTCGATCGTTAATGGAATTAACAATATCGCGGTTTAAAATGTCGTTTTTATCCTCCATCTTAGGTCTGCTTTTCCTTACGAGTGAGTTGTAATTCGTTATGTATTCGTAATCCGTGTCCAACGTTATGGTGGATTCTCCGAGTCTAAAATTTGTCGAGAGCAATGAGCTAACCAACGAATTATGTATCTCTATTTCGTTTACTAGATATCTCTGAAATAATATGATGTATGTTGATATGAACATGAATATAAAGAGGGAAAAGAGAAGGAATGAGGTAAATGAATATTGGGTTTAAAGGATAATTTTGGTGGCAAGAATTGATGTCATTTGATTGGAGCAAATCATAAAAATTATAAGGAATTAGCAATTTTTTTTTTAAAAAAATGGATAAATATTGGTTACTTTATGGGTGTAAAGCGTGCAATTCAGTGTTATCCCTGGAGGACCTTCTTCGTCGAATTCGTTCAAAAATCCTAAAACGCCGTTAATTCGGATATCCAATATTTTTCGGGAAATTCTGCTCTTGTTGAAGACTTGTTTCAACTAAATACATTTTTTTTCCAAAATTTTCAACAATTGAAAATTATTTTCTTTGATCAATATTTAAAATCTTTACAATCGTCTAACATTTTTTTTTTAAAAAAAACAAATTTTGACAGTTTTTTTATTATATTATTTGTAACTGTTGAAATATAAAACGTTGGGTCAAAATAAGATTTGAAAACATATATATATATATATATAATTTTATTGTCGTTAAAGAGACAAAGATTCAAATTCTGACCCCAAAGCAGATCCCAAGAATCTAATTTTATCAATTCGTCTAAAACGATTAAATTTATTTTTTCACCCAAATAATATTTATTGTTTTTAATATTTATAAACAATTTTTCAAAAACCGCAAAGTTAGTAAGGTTGTATTCCAAATGAATATTTGCATCTTAGATCAATATTTATGCGCCTGACATGTATATAAGTTCATGCTATTTACGGCTAATTCAATTTTTCCTCAAACTGTCATCGGTCTTTATTATTTCACAAATAATACATAATTTTTCCATTGCACATCGTATTCATGCTCTATCATAAAGAGATTTCAACAAAATCCATGCTTAAAGATAAAATCATTGAATCTCCTTCTATATCAAGATGGAGCCCGAAAATAAAAACTGGATAAAACTAAGACGTATCTCAAGATATAGAAGTTGCATTTAACCTATTATCTTTTAAAGCAATGATGTGCAGATTGCTCTTCGAGAACCAATATGTAATATAAATTTTGATAAAATTTTGATAGTAAATGAAATAATCACCCCTTTTCTCACGGCTCGGCTTAGTTTACGGTATTCATTGGATGATGGATCGTTATAGGAATCTATGAATTTGAGATATTTGTCGTCCATCTTGAGCAATCGTAATATAATTTGATGGGAAGTCGCTTCTGGGGATTGTACAAAATTTAATATTATTTGGTTAATTTTTCATTTCTAGATATTTCAAGGGATAATAATAAATTTATGAACCAAATTAATTATGAGCGCACATCCTAACTTTTCATTTGAGCTCACATAAAGATATGCGAAACATCATTTTTCTTTTTGTAATTCAAACAAAATAATCTACCTAAGCATCCTTCGCCGAGTAGTTCGTCCATCCCATCCGTCATGAAAATAAACCCATCTTGGCAAATACACTCGGGTAAGCCGGTTTCGCTTATTTGACACACCGCATTAGTATCGCACTGAATTCCTTGGTTATTCAAGTTGCATTTGGGTAATTTGTAAATACCCAGTGGTGGTGTCGTTGCGTGACGATTATCCTTTGGCGATTTATTTGGCGTCGTAATTGGATATTTCGAAGAAGAAGCCTTTTCGGTAGTAGATTTTTTACTACCATCAATAAGAGCATTAATTGGATCTATGACCTTTTTCGGTTTAGGAGATACGGGTAATAAGGGTTTAAAACTGGTTATGGTTGATTTCGAACTCGAAGTAACGGTCCTCTGCTCACTCTTTTTGGGAACTGTAGAAAGATCCGGGATCAAATCGTAATCTTGGTCTGGGTTGAGCGTAAGATTTAGATCTTCCCCTTTATAGTACAAAAAAATGAATTAAAAGAATAAAATATTTTATAAAATTATTTTAAAATAAGTATAAGTATAATAAAAAAATAAAATGAATAACTACTTTTAAATAGACTACAACAATCAGTGAATATTTATCTTTTTATATTATCAATATAGAAATTAAATGTAGATTGTTAGACTTCTTATCATTATAAAAAATGCCATTTTTTATAAATTAAATTTTAAACTTTCATCGGAACCATCCAAACAGTCTTTAGCACCATCTCCGACTTTTGATAAAGATATGCATTTTCTCGGGGATCCGCATTGGAATTGATTCAATTGACAAACTTTGAAAGTTAGAAAACAATTATTTTAAATTAGGTTTAAGATTATCATTTTTTAGTAAAAGCAAAAATTAGGGATCTTTTTATTTATTTATATTTTTTTTGGCTTTTCAAGCATTGCTCATCAAAAAAAAATGTATTTATAAGTAAAAGCAAATAGAAAAAGAAGAAAATTTCTTCTACGAAAAAAAAAATTAGTTAAACTGCCGAGTATTTTTTTTTTATCCAATCATTAATTTGTTCTAATTTATCTAACAAATATTTACTTTACGTTTTGATAAATAATTATTTTTTTTTTAAGGTATCATAAGAGGTGAAACAGCAAGAATGCTCAACTATATATTTTATAAAAAGATATCAACGATTAAAGGCAATTTGCCAAAATAAAAAAGAAGGGGGAATCGTTCTGTAAAATAATAAACTTTCGTCTGATTGATCTTCACAATCCATTATCCCGTCTTGATATTTAGCCAGTGGAACGCACTTTTTCTTGTCATAACACATGTAATCATCCCAACCACAATCTTTACCAGAATATTAAATATTTTTAAGGTATCTAATATAATTTCTTTCTTTATTTCTTTCTATACTTTTTTATTCCCCCATGAATATTACTCTATGTATAATGAATCGAAATATTTTACTTTCATCCAAGCCTCCCACGCAGTCTATTTTTCCGTCATTGATTTGTTCCTTCAAAATGCATTTCGGATTTCCCCATCCACAATCGAATTGCCAATCATAGCAAACTAAATTTATATTTTTTTTTGTGTTTTCGATTGTATAAGGATTTAATGGGGGGATATGTATAGATTTAGGAATTAAAACAAAAATTTTCCTATTTATTATAATATTTGATACTTATATATGTATATAACTTAAAATTTTATGGAACGAATTATGATGTATCAACAACCTTCCACCCATATCTACTAATTATGTTTTTCCAATTATTCGTTATAAAGTGTAATGGAATCAATTTTAAAAAATATATATATAATGTCGAACAAGTCTCGACATTTTACTAATAGATGTCCAAACCTTTCTGGCACATATGAGCAAAATTTCCAGGCTTGCGTAATGCTTTTTTTTTTGGCTAAAATATTGGGGTAGCCACTTTTTTAAAAATCGAGAGCCTTTTAACAAACACTGTCCCTTATAAATGATTCGAAAGATCTGAATTCCGTGGGCATCGTATCCCAATACGACATATATATAGTATTATATAATATATCGGTTTATTTAAATAATTTTGTATGCTTTTTTTTTCAAATACTAATTTATTGACGAGAAGATACTAAGTTAAGCTCACTATTACTGTCTTTAAAATTATTCGTAGCCGTTTATAAAATACAATTTTTTTTAAAAAACTCCCTTTCCCGTATATTATATAATACTGTTTATCTTATTTTTTAAAGATTATTGGGAATTCTGTATAATAGTTTAGAGTCCCTGAAATAATGAAGGTGTAAGAGGACTTCCCCCCCCCACTTACCCAGAGACAATATATCAGATATTTGGTTGCTTCACACAGAGGCTATAACTTTGAAAGGATGGGTGTCGTCTCGGACTTTTTAATCCTATATATCCGGAAAATAATTTCTTAAAAATCTTCTCAAATTTTTAGCGGCTCTCGCTTTTTTGATATTTCAAATTTTCGCCCTCAAGGAGGATAGTTATAAAGTGTTTTATATATTTGGCAGAGACCTACAAGCCCCGACCCTAACCCCGGAATTATAATTTTTTTTTAAATTTATGGGCCGGGCTTGAAAATATTATTTATTTAAAAATAGCCGAGCCGGGCCATATATTTTGAAACCAAATATTTGAAATGGCTATTATTAGCTATAAAAATCAAATATTGTATATTTTAAAAAAATCCGGACCAGGCCGAGCCGTGCAAAAGGTACCTCTGAAGGACACTGATATTTAGAAAGTTTTATAAAAAAAGTTAGCCATAAGAATCACATTTTCACAATCTATAATAGGAAAATAAAATTGATGAATGGGGAACAGGAGAACTAAAAATTAAACTAAAACCTTAAATAAAAAAAAATGTTTTAGATTCTATTTAAAACTTGCAACCTAAATCACGGGTTGAAAAAGAACCCAACAAAGAAAAAACATAGGGTAAATGACTTTTTGTTTGATAAAAATAAGTGTCATATTTATCACGAGATTTTACAAAAATTATATAATCCTTACTATGTATATATTACAATAACAAATGATTTATTATAACTTAAATATTACTTAGTTTCTTTTCCTCCCCAAAAATAATATTTCATATTTTAACTTTTTTCGATTTATAATCAATTATCTCGCATAAATTAAGCCTACGGATTTTATATGTTTCAAAATGTAATATATGGCCATTGACCAAACTTTACTTTCCATTTCACTTTACATTTATCCTTTTTAAATTTTTTTTTTTTTACCTTATGAAATATTATAAAACCATTTCCACTCTTTTTACAAAAAATAACATGTAAATGTTTATATAACAATAAGAATTTATTTTTATTTTTATCAATTTTTAGGTCGAAATCTTTCTTATAAAAGCTTAATAAAAATTTATATATGGGAACCATTAGTGCATAGATCATTTTCTCTTAAAGGTTTTAAATAGAATTTTGATAAGTTCTTATATTATTTTATTATTATTATAAAGTATCTTTATTTTTTGTATAATATATTATAATATAAAAAAAAAATACAGGAAAATAGTATAATTTACCTGTTATATATGACAATAGCAGATTCATATTTATTTATTTTAAATTGAAATGTACCCAACAAAAATTATGTTATTATAATAATATAAAATAAAAAACTTTAAAAATATATATAAAATTAAAATCTATTCAAATGGCTATTATAGAAAAAAAAAAGAGAAAATGCAATAACGTTATTTAAACTTTTTGTGGAGTGGGAAAAAAAAAATTTTTTTAAATGCAGAAAAGGCATATTTATTATTATAAATTTTATTCATTTGATTCTATATAATTTTACGATTTCACTTTTGCAAAATATAGCTAAAATTATTAATGTTAAAAATATTTTTAAAAAATCTAACACGTTAAAATTAACACAAAATTTAAAAAATTCCGGGTAAAAAACGAAAAAATTTTTTTTATTCCTGGTGGAAAACTTTTGTTAAAATATGACAAGTATACACTTTTGAGTGTGGTAAAAAAAAATTTATTTCCCATTCAATTGATTATGAAATGGTTAATATCCGATAAGGCCAATTGAAGGGGTTGAATTTATTTCATAGTGGTATGGTGGCTATTGGGGGGGGGGGATCGTTTTTAGTCCTGCTACTACGACAGACCGGGGCTAGTTAAACCTAGGGGTTTGCCAAACTGCTTGATCCCATTTGTTAAATTAAAGATGCTAGGAAATTTAAATTTTGTCCTTATAGATTTTAGTAATTTCTATTTATACACATTAAATATTTTGAAATAATTAACTATAATTGCGAGGAACCAAATTTTGATGTCAAGAGAATTCTTACAAAGTCCGCAAGATTATCGTTTATATCAAACTTAAAAAAAATATTAATTAATAATTTAACTTTTATTAGCAATATTTTATACGATATTTATGAAAGTTTTGTTTAACAAACATTATGGTGCTTTAGCTATTATCTTAGACATGTTTGGTAGTGTTATTAGGGTGAAATCCGGGCGTATTGGACCCTTAAATGTTATGTTACTTAATATTAACTAATTCAACCATTTATTGCAAATTATTTATATTTGTTATAAATATATTGCGTGGATGATACCTAATTCGTGTTATAATCTGCCTATTAACGAATCCCATTTTTTTATAAAAAAAAGACATATCTGGTATTTTTATATCATGAGAATAAGATAACAGATATGATGGAAATATGCAATTTTTTTTACATACAAATGTTTTACCTATGCCCTGCAACCAAAAAAGCTTTAGAAAATGTATCCAAAAACTTCATTTAAGGATAAAATTATTAATACACTTAGATACAATATAATTAAATTTATTAATAGCTAGCGATTCGTATATGGTTTACTCATTTTTTCTGAACTTTCCGAGCTGTTATTATTTAAAACTCCCATTTTCGTTCAACGATTACTGAAACTCCTCTTATAAAACTTCTAGGAACTGTTACCCTTTTAAAATGTCTAACAAATTGTGGCAACTATTTTATGTAACTATATATTGTTAAAATGAAAATTCTGTATTTCATTCTAGAAGGTTTACTTAATCTTTAAGTTGATAAAGTTAAGTGTTGTTTTTTAAGTAATTTTTCGCTAAGTTGTTATATTTTATCAAAAAAATAATAACAGAATTTGGATAATTTTGCTAAAATTTTCAAAAGTAACTGGTTACAGTAACATTTAGAATCCACCAATCAAAAATTATGAATATTTTTAGATATTTTTTTTTTCAAAAAATCCATTATATTTCTTTCATTTCCGTTTTTTTTCTTCTTTCTTTCTTTCCATTTATTTTTTCTTCTTTCCTATCATTTTTATTATCGATTCCATTATTTTTCCAACAAATATTTTATTAACCTTTTAAGGATATTGTAATAAAATAAATATATGATAATAATTTTAAAATAAAAAAAAATTCTAACAATTATAAAGGTTAAAAAATATTTATTTTTATTTTATATTATATTATAATATGGAATTTCATTATCAACTCCAAGCTAAAGGTAAATTATCATATAATATTCAGGTTATTTTTATATTATTGTTATTCTTGGCTTAAGTGGTGTCATTAAACCAAAACCTTTATTTAGTACATTTTTTTTTGTTTTTTATACTTTTTTTTAATATAAAAAAAATATTTTGTTTATTATATTATTAATATTAAATTTAATGATATTTACAATATTATAATAGAACTAATGTACCTATATTAAATAATTTTAAACTTATTTTTATGATGATAAAAAAATTTTCATGAACAAATTTTATTTTTTTTTAAACAATTTTTAATGAATTTTAATTTTTTTAAAAGTGATTCTTTTGTTTGTTTACTTTACTTTGACCATTATTTTTTTCGTAAGACCTGCTGCGAGGACCGAACTGCAAAATGCTTTAAAAAAAAATAATTTAAACTTACACTAACCAGATTGGGGCCTGAAATTATTATTATTTGTACAAAACCAGAGATGGGCCGAATCATTAAAGTCAAATTTATTAATCAATTTAAGATAGAAAATCGTATAAAATGTTTCAACAACATTAATTTACTGCTCTCATATTTTCACTTTTACTTTGAAAAAATTGATAAAATATAGCCTTTTACTTTTTTTTAAAAAAAGATAAAATAAGGCTTATCATTATAACGATTTAAAAAAAATATCTGGGATAGACTTAACATTTGAAATATACTTCAGATCAGGTTTAAACTTTCTTTATTTAAAAAAACATATAAAACATTAAATTATATCAATGATTTCTTTGTTTTTTTTAAAAAAATAATAAAAATCCAATATAAAAAGAAGATTTGACTGGAATATTAGAGGAGGGAAGAGAAAATATGGTTACATCCGATTATCTAGATTTAGCTTATTAATAAAACTTAAACTAGTTGGTCAAGTAGGATATGAACGAAGGCAAGAGACTATAGTTAGAGTCGGGTCATCTTAGATAGAAGTGAATAGTGGAAGAAGAATTCGCGTGATAAAAAGGATTTTCTGAACACGCCATTCTTCGATGATTTCAAGATATAGAATCTAGACAAAAAA